GAAGGAGCATTATCAGACACAGCTGCCGAACTCATAGTACTAAGTACTACTACTAGTACTCCGTAGTCCGTAGTATCTGGTACGTACAACATAGTACTATGTATGTACGAATCTGAAAGGTCCACACACACACACACACACACACACACACACACACACACACTGGAAGATGGCAGCCGCTGTGTTTCTATGCGTGCATATAATTGGCCATCACATTCTAGGCGGTCTGATCACTGGACTGAATCCCTTGGAAGGGCGAAGTAGGGATTTAGTGCTATTGTCTAGTGGACAGGTATCTGCTAACTTTAGGCATCCAACTACTAGTAGTTAGTAGTTAGTACTGTATACTAAGACCTACTAGCTAGTGTGTGGTACATACGGAGTACTACTATGGGACGTGTCGTAAAGATTGTAAAAATGGTGATCATGTGGGCCAGTTTAGTAAGCTCGATTCTGTCGGTTTTATGATATCAGGACCCGATTTAATTGATTTTGAAGCCATTCGGAAGCTATCCAACAGGAAGCGGTAGGAAGGCGGAAGAGATAATCAGACTTGCCACAGTGGGTAATTTTTACAATCTTTTCGACACATCCCATAGTACATAGTATTATCTACTAGTAGTCAACGCGGGCTGCCTGAATCAAAGGCAAACCCGGCAACTGGGTACCGGGCAACTTCCCACTTCACGGGGGAATTAACAACCGCCCCTATGATTGGACGGACTCGAGGCCTCGTGGGGCTATCCCCAAACGGCGGCCCACTCTTGACAGGCTTCCAAGCCTTCGATTGCGGTTTCCTTTCGCTCAGGATCTCGCACCCGAGAACTCCTTGCTACGATCACACAGGCTGATGAATGATACGATGCAGTGAGAACGACCCTTGGCATTCCTTATCCTGCGGTGTCTTACTACTCTAGGCAGTAGGTAAGTTGACCGCTTTCAGTCGTAGCGTAGTAGTAGCGACCGATCATCCTGGACTTTGAATTGTAGTATCAGAGAAAATCTTATGACTACCGCAGTGTTGATTAACTAGTATCGTTCCTCGTTTCCCCTTTTCATCCCGACCCAAAAAAATTTTGATGTCATGCAATCCACCCCAACCATGTCTGAATATCGGAGCATCTGTGCACACAGCGCGTTGCGTAGATCTTTACTAAGTGCACTACGACGTGTTACTAGTCAGATTACTCTTCGCATCAGCGCAATAAATTGGGTAAATCTATGACATCATAGCTATGATAGCCAGTATGTGACATGTTCCAGGGTGCCTTATCTTGTTCACCAACCAAAGAGGGAGGACTACGCAGGAAAATGAAAGCGGGAGACGGTTTGAATATCGGACAAACGAGAGTCAACTGGAGGTTTCGAGGGCTTATCATGTCCACCAGCCTTGGTTTGCTTCCACTATAGGTATTACGATGTCACGGGTTTTGTTTGAGATTGGTTATCGGTAATTTTATCTGTGCGTATCGTACGGAGTACTAGTCAGCTATTGATGCCATAGATTGTTACTCAAACACAGTTTTGGGCGGCTGCCCTACTCCTCTTATGGGAAGGGCTTGTCCCACAACCTACGATCCATATCGTCAGACTGGAGCGCCCTTGTTCTCATACTTTTTTTGTCCTCAACTCTCCTTTACTAAGCCCCTCCCCTTCTCTTATCCTTTACCAATGAGTCATAAGGAGGTTGGGTTTTCAAAGCATACCCAGGATAATTATAAGAGAGATCGGCCGGTACACAACCGGTAGAACGGTTTTGACTCTCAAAGAAGGTCCCCTATCACCCTAGCCCAGGCTCTGGTAGGTTTTCGGTTGCTGCGGCCGGGTGCAGGACCTAACTGGGTAACCATGATCACTTGGACTTTAGTAATAGAGGTGGCCGAGGGAGCCGTTCCCAACTGGATGGAACGTTGCGCCCCCTGTACCGGGGTCTTTCAAGATAGTTGTGATGATGTTCATGGCTGTTTTACAGAGAGGGCGTATTGGAATTACAAAAGGCGGTAAAAATACCCGTCCCAGTAAATACATACCCGAACCGTACCAAATTACACACACCACCATCATTAGTAACAGCCCGCAGTACCTTAGGGGTTTTGACTTTGGCATACTGAGTCTTGCCGTACCTTAATCCTTCTTCTTCCTCGTTTCTTTTTCTTCCCTGAAACTCTAAACCTAATAGATCTGTCGCCTGCCACAGGACACCCCCGTAGAACGAGGCTGCATGTCCCGTGCACCCTGCAGTCTGGGTATTGAGGGTGTTGGGGCAAGGCTACTAGTGTCTGATATCGTGTAGTAGTAGTTGGTGATAGGGGGAAGTGGAGGAGGAGGAGGGGGGGAAATGTATGCACCACTCCGGAAGAGTCCATGCCTGAGGCAAAGCGCAAAGGCCGTCTTAGCGGAGCCTCGTCGAGCCTGTTCCTTCGATGCGTCTTCGATGCTTCAACCTTCTTCGCTTTCTCCAATCTACGGTCGCACGGCACACGCTGCAGGGTGTCATTCGGTCAGCGCCTTGGTCTTGATCCCAATAATGATGCCGCGATCCGGTTTTGTTATGGACAGACTTTGCCTATCGGCCATTCAGCCAGACAACGTGTTGTGGCTTGCTGATAGCCGAATGATTCCTTCCTATTGACAATGCAGTACGCACGGGCAAGCGCCCTCTGGCTGTTGTCATCTCCATACGGAGTAGTCCATTCATTATCGACACCGAAGCCTCGTGACCGCCCAATAGTTTGGTTTCTTTTCCTCTGCCTTCTAGGCCCCCTACTTCAGTTTCCCGCCATATCGGTACCGCATTAGGATATGGCCTTATTGACCGTCTTGACGGGCAGGACTCCTCTCGATTAGCTCCTCATCGTTCGTTCCTCAACCTATCGGAGGGGTATACTCCCACGAAAACCGAGACCTGTGACACCATTCACAGAGACAACTCTCGCAGGGGTAGGATTCCATTCTGAGACATGTCGACTTGGCGCAACCAATTTAAATGGTCAGGATTTATGCCTGGCAGCCTGCGTTCCTTAAACATCCGGCCCAAGCGGGGGACGGGGCAGAAATGCTCTTGCATCGTGCTAATGGGGACCCTGGCCCCAGGTCCCTGGCTCTAAATTGAGGCTACTATGACATCGGCCGCTTCGGCCCACTGCAGTGGCAATACGTACACACCCGGAGAGAGGAGGGAGAGAGCACTGCGGAATTGACAACCGTAACTTGCCTCCGGCTCCAACCTTGTCGGACCTTGAACATAAAGCTCATTGAGGTTATGAAAGCATAGAGCTCAAGCTGAACCCCCTCATTGCCCCCACGATGGGGTTAGACTTCTTCGGTAGAAGTATAAGCCCTGCCTGACATCCGACGGGTTGCAAGGTTGCTGTTAGCCTGTTACGGTTTGTGACATTTCCGGTATTCCTTCCAAAGTTGAGACCCCATCATCTCACACAGAGGTCTAGACTTGATTCCTTTCCTCGGGTTCCAACCCAATCACCTTGACGAGACTTAGATGGTCATGACATAATTTTTGTGCCGTGTTCAACAGCCAGGGACAAATGGTGCAATGCTGGGACAGCCGACATGACTCCCCGGTGACGTTATTTCTCGCGCCTGTACGGGGTACTTTTCTCGGATAGCGATACACTAAGGGTTGCCTAAGGGCTGAACCGTGTTGACTCGTGACCAACCAAGGCCATCGGTTTGAGCATTCCTTGGTGGCTGGATTCCACCCCGTTCCACCACAATCACCATTCCCTGGCCCCCGAGCTGGATCATCGGCTAAAAATAACTGGAGACACACCCATCTACACAATCAGTAATTTCTATTGGACTGGCGACTTTGGTACCTGGGTTCGAGAATCCTTCGAGAATCGGGCCAGACGGTGCAAGGGCCGTGACCGTGTGGAAATGGTTGAGGTGATACTATGTCCGTACCGACAGTACTAATGCTTGCGACGCCGGTCAATTCCGTTTCGCAGGTTTTCCGTTTCAGCTTACGGTGGTCCAGTCAAGCGAACAACCCATGAAGGCCCTATGTGGGACGATTCCCGATCCAGCATATGCTGCGACCCCAATAAGAACATGCTCGTAGGACGGCGTTGTCGCCCTTGCCGTTATCAGATTGGACTTCGGCTGGCCTTGTGCTACTGCATTGATTGCGTGCCACAGGACCGTCTATCCCACTGGACGGTGCATCTGCAGGCAGTCCGGCCTTACTACGCCGGCAAATGCATAGCTCTCAGCAGTCACTTTGGCGTAAAACACTGTCTCTCGACACGTGTCACCCTCAACGATGCTATTTCACTCTTTGAACACAGTCGTTGAATGCCGGAGATAGAGGGCAGGATTGGGGCAGTAAGCCGAGGGCCATGCCGTCTGGAGTGTAGATGGGCTTTGCCTGGCTGTGTCCGCTTTAGCTGTGATTCGTTTCGTCTTTTTCCCCTCTAGATTTCACCTGTCTGGCTCCTGATTTCCTAAATAAGTCGCTCCAAATCCGGTTGCTTTGTTCCCCATCCAACGCGCGCCCTTTGGCGCCGGCCTGGTTCTCCGACTTCTCATTTGCTGCAAATCTCCACTTGACCAGGAGCCGTTCTCCAGAGTGGCAGCACCTCAATCTACACGAAACCAGCCTGCGGAGGCGAATCGTATATGGCTTCTGTGTGTTGCTTGTTGCGAGATTGCCGATGCGACCCGGTGAGCTCGGCCTTGTGGGCCAAGATGATGCTAGGGTCCCTGGATATTACACCTACGAGGCCTTTACAAGCAACACGTTAACGGCTCAACGCCTCGTACGACTACGCCAACAGTCAATGGCACTACTGACTCGATTTGATATGCGGCCATTGGATCCAGTGGGTTACAGCATTGATAACGAAACTAGCGCAAGGCGATTAGGTTACAATTCCTAGCGCAATCGCATGACCAATTGCGTGCTGTGATCCCCCAAACCCATTCTCCTTGTAAGCTCATGATGTTTCGCTATGAGGCTGAAGCAGCAACTCCATCAGGCCCATTGAAGGTGCCCTCCGCGTGGAGCACATTTGATTGTCGGCTGATTGCAGCGCGGTTGGGCGGCACTAGTCAATGAGGATGGATACGAGGCGTCTTCGTAGATGACGGAATCACACGGCTCACCCGCAACTCTCATGACCCAGACGCACCCCAAAGCCGAGCCAACAGCCTCGCGCGTACGCTCTCTTGTTCCCCGTCGGCCTTGTCGGCTTATCCTTACGCGGTGGATGGGTGGAAGGTGTTGCGACACGTCAGAGACCCGTGCCGGAAGCGCTCGGTCTCGGGAGGGCGGCTTGTGCGTTGGATCTTGGATCTAATTTATATGCCGTGTTTTAATCTGAGGCTCTAGATACCGCTCTGGCGCCATGTGTGGAGCTCGTATACATTGCGTGTTGAAACATAGCTGGATATCCTGTATCGAGCCCTTTGCAACGGGCTGGGGCAGTGTCGCATCGTGTTACCTCGGACCCCCCGATCCTTGGTCCCGAAACATAGCATCCGGGCTAAGAAAGACTGCACCAGTCAGCTGCTTGTCACCGTGCAAAGGATTCACTCATTCGATACAACCCCGTCAGCTATCCAGGCCGACGACTATGGCTTCAGAATCGTAAAGGGGGCGCGTAGAAGGGCCGCCGTAGAGTTGGACGCGCTGGCCAGCAACAAATGCAGCACAAGTCACCTGCTCTTTCCCCGACAACGCAGCGCCGCCGCCATCGCACTTTGCCTCCCCCTCCCTAGTCCTTCGCAACTCCCCTCGGATTGCATCGACCAGAACCATCCCGGTAGACAAGGCAATTGCCTAGATCCGAGGTTTCTACCCTCAGCACGGTGCTCCCTCGACCCTCGACCCACGAGCAACGGCCATCATGGACCTCTCCAAACCAGTCGACCCCGCCTTCACCAAGGCCCTCCCCAAAATCGAGGTAGGTAATATCCACCCATCCACTTCGATGCACATCATCGAACCCGTCCCCTCCCCATTCATCACGCACTACCCCGGAAGTAAAGCAAGGAAGCAAGAAAGAAAAAATTCCCGATCGTTAACACACCTCACCTCCAGCTCCACGCCCACCTCAGTGGCAGCATCAGCCGGCAATGCCTGCATGATATCTGGGCGAAGAAGAAAGCTCAAGATCCGAGTTTCAGCGTCGAGGATCCATTCGTCTCCATGCCCCCGGGCAAAGTGGACTACTCGTTGCAGACGTAGGAAGCCTACATGCCTAGTACCTCCCACTATCACTACAATCCACCCCCCAACCAACTGCCCTATCCAAAGAACATGCCATATATACCGGGCGACTCCCGCTAACACCCCATACAGCTTCTTCCAGTCCTTCAACAAATCCATCTACCATCTAGTCAACGACCTCCCCAGCCTCACCTACGCCACACTCTCCGTGCTAACCGACTTCCAAAATGATGGCGTCACCTACCTCGAACTCCGGACCATTCCGCGCGCCTCCCCATCCTCCACCTTCACAAGGGAGGAATACCTCATCACGGTCCTCGACGCCATCACCCACTTCCAATCAACTCAGACACCTTCCCAAAAAATGACTATAAATTTAATCCTAGCCCTAGACCGCGGCTACAGCACCCCATCCTCAGCCCTAGAAATCGTAGACCTGGCCATTGCCCACCGCGCACGCGGCATCGTAGGCATCGATGTCTGCGGAAACCCAACCAAAGGTGATGTCTCCATCCTCCGGGCCGCGTTCGCAAAAGCCAAAGCGAACGGATTGGGGGTGACGGTCCATTTCGCGGAGATGGAAGAGGTAGCCACGCCCGGGGAGTTAGAGACCTTGTTGGAGTTTGAACCGGATCGGTTAGGACATGTGATTCATGTGCCGGAGGAGTTGAAGGGGGAGATTGCGCGAAGACGGTTGGGATTGGAACTGTGCATGTCGTGTAATGTGCATGCCAAGATGTTTGACGGCGGCTTCCTGGATCATCATTTCGGCTACTGGAGGTTTCAGGATTGTCCGATTGTGCTTTGTGTGAGTATTTTCTCTTATCGTTGCCCTTATCCTCTCTACCCCCTTTGGACGGTCGGTTCGGAGTGGTTTACGTTTGTTTACTGATGATGTGCAGACCGACGACGTGGGTTTCTTTTGTAGCCCCGTGTCCAACGAATACCTCTTGGCTGCAGAGCACTTCCAGCTCAACCGGGCGGATGTCCTGAACATCTGCAGGAAATCCTACGGGGTGATCTTTGGAGGCGAGGCAGAGAAGGAACGTCTGAGACGGCTGCTAGATGACTTTGAGGCAAACTACGGCCAGTGAACGCTAAAGATGAACTGGTTACTTTTTCTTTCTTGGGCAGAGAGACATCCCTGCTACAGACAGCCGCCCAGTACCGAAAGGATATTCATATTTAAAATACACAGGCAGAACATTACCTTTCAATCAACTCTGCCATCTGAACCGGCCTTCTTTCAGCGTCTTGATGACCCCCAGAGGCATAGACTCCCGACTCACAGCCGCCAAATTGCCGTAGGTCCTCACCATTTCCTTCTGGTACAGCTCCGCCGTCCACTGCCAATACGCCGACATGTTATACCACTGGTCCGAGATCACTCGGCGATTCTGGGCATCTTTGGCGACGGTCTCATCCAGGGACATTTGGTGTCGGTGCAGTTCCGGAGTCAGATTGACGCTGATCTCCTCAGGAACACGGATCAGATCCTGGTACGCAGCCAAAAGGGGACGACTGTAGGTCTCCGAGTACCTGGTATATTCTTCCAGAGACAGGTCAGCCGAGTCGTCATCGACGCCAGTACTGATTGTACCAGTAGGCTCGGCAGAGCCGCCTGCCTCGAATCGCTGCTTAGCAGCGTGGTATTGCACCTCGTATTGCAAAAAGGCCTTCTGCAGTCGACCCTGCGGCGTCGCTTTGATACCCTCTCGCATGGCGAGAAAAGGGATATACGGGTTCAGAAGCTCCAGCCCGCCAAATTCTACCGGGAAGTAGAAAAATCCTTCCGGGAGGTCGTTGACCCCAAATCGATCCGCAATTACGTGGCGCAGGTGATCGGTCACGCCGCTAGAGCTGTCGGGGAATAATGTGCGTTCAATGCGGCTGAGCGTCGAGATGGCCATGTCGATATGGCTTCGTCCGAAACACATGGCTGGCTTGGCAAAGTTATTGGCAAAAAACCGCCCGAAGTAACTGTTCCATGCCTGCGTCCACGAAAAGACGCTCTTGCAGGATGCGAGCTGGCGCCGCAGCTCTGAAATATGGCTGTCGACCTGCTCTTGGTCGATGACGAACCGACCCTCCAAAGGATCAAGCTTCAGAAATCCCCAGCGAATATCGCCTTTGGGCAGGGGATCGGGGTCCGACAGTTCACTCTGGCAGCATTTCCCATCTTTGCCCGCCAATCGCACCGTTCCCGTCTTTTCCTCGTTGAATTCGAGGCCCATGGTTTTCGTAAACTCCGTCATTGTCGCCCAGGCTTTGACGCAGATTTCTTCATGCCCCCAAAACCAAAAGTCGTCGTGCAGCCGATAGAGATAGGCCCCATCGGTGTTTTGGTTGACCGCGAAATCCATGCAGAATAGAACGGCCTCCCCAAAGCAACTTGAGAGGGCATGACTCATGGGGACGCCCCGTTTTCGAACCTGTTTGGGCGCCCCCGACCCGTCTTGCACAAATGTAATGGGGGTTTTCAGGAAAGTATGGAAAAAGCTTAGCCAGGTTTGCGGAACCCCAAAGTATTCCAACACCGTCAGGATTGTGGTATGCGCGAGAGAAGGCCCGAACCACTTGAAGTCCGATCGGATGGCGGTGAACTGGCCATGCAACGAAGTGTAGATCAAAGATTCGGTGATCAAGAGATGTAGGAGCGAGTGCTTCGTGGCCAACGGGTTTTTCTCGGTGGTATCGGGCTTCTGACCGTCGTCATCATAGGAGCGCATGCCCTCATCCACGGAGGAAGGCAGGAGGGTCATGAAGTAGTCTCGTATGTACGTATCCTTTCGGTGGTCATTGACGCTTGATATTCCATGGCGCTGGGTGCGTTCTCCAGTAAAACGAGAGCGACGAGACATTTCAGGCCGGGATATTTGTTCACGCAAGAACTTCCATGCTGGCGTGTGGAGAAATGATTTGAAAGCAGACTGAAGGGTCACGGACCATTTTACCCCCAGATACTCGAACATGAGACTGTCCAGCAGATCCTCGTCCATGAATACCCGATATTTACCATTCAGCTGACGACGCATCTCCACTGGGATGCCCCCAGTAGGCCAGTTCCAGTGGTCCAGAGACGCCAGACGCATATTAAGAACGTCTGCCACCTCCTGGGCGACGGCGGGATTGCGCATGAACTCCTTCAATACGGCCGTCTTCTCTTTTGTGAGCAAGTCCGACTTGAGCAACGAGTCCGACACCCAGTCCAGATCGCTCACTTCGAACCAAGTCTTTTTCGATGCAAAAGCAGTCCCAAAGGTCTTGATTTCTTCTCGCAGTTCTTTCAACGCTTGCTGGGAGGGGGCTGTCGCTTTGAACAGATTGTCAAGGTAGGCTCGGATGGCGCTTGCATCGACATCTTCCTCGGTGAAGACCAGGGATTCCCATGTGGCCCGCTGCTCTTGCATTTCTGCGCGACCAACCTTTTCGAAGCTGATGCCTTCCTGACCATCTTCGTCCGATGTGGGAGAAGCAACTCCCCCTTCAAAGTCACCCAGCCATTCCGTGACCAGGTTGCTATAGAAGTCGGCATGTCTGTGCCTTAGCTCTAGGAATCGAAGCTCCTCCTCGAGCTGGGTAATCCAGTCCTTCAAACTGCGATCTGAAACCGACGGATCATACTTGCTCTGCAGAAGAAAACGACGAGTATTGGCGTGAGTCGCGCGCTCGGTACGATCGGCAACCGCGGTATTCTCATCCGACGAACTGTCGGTATCTAGGTCCTCCTGATCGAGTGCATCATTGGGGAACCCTTTGAGCTTGGTTACGCCTTCCAGGAGGATCTGGGCCTTGGAGCGCAGACTCGGGGCATCCTCGGCCGCTCTGACAATTTCGACTCTCCGCTTCTCAAATAGGGCTCGCTGCTTTGATAGTTCCTTGATCTTCGTGGCGGTGATTGAACCTAGAGTCTGAGGAAGAGCGCCGCCGGACGACATGTTACTGGGCTTTCCGATAATGCGCGGGGAAGATTGGATGATGACTGAAAATGGGATAATTAGAGTTCGGGGATGCGATCAGTCAATGAGTGGAGGAAGCAGAGAGTGTCAGCTGGAGTAGTGAGGAGGTGATAACCCAGGGACACCTTTTTAATGGTACTAGCCTCTGGGTTAAGGAAGGAACGGCAAGAACGAAGGAGAAGCAAAGTGGTAGTAATTGTTTGATGGGAGAAAAAAGAGATTGAATTGATCGACCGAGAATGATCGGCGCGGGGCAAGCACGAGGGGCTCCATCTAAATAGCCACTGGTGGGGTCGCGGGCACTCGAGCGGGAATAGTCTCATCACCAAGAACGCATCTCATGATGGGGACAAGCGATGCACGGCGGCCTCCAGAAAGGGACCCCGACCATCCCAAACGGGACCCCGACCGGGGCCATCGCTTACCAGGCCGGGTCCAACCGCTTGAGTTCGAGCCAGCAGTCATCGTACTGCATTTCCAGCCAGCTCCGACCTTCCAATTGCCCTACGCTTCGGATTTGCCATTGCTGGACGAGCGCCATGACCGCTCTCGCTAAGACCAGCAGCGCCAAATCCCTTCCAATGCAGCCACGGGACCCTTTGCTGAAAGCAACGAACTTGGTCTCCATTTGCCGCCGGTGTTCATCATCTCCCAGCCAGCGCTGTGGTGTCCATTCGTCGACATCATCCCCCCAGAGCTTGCGCGACCGACCCAGAACGTATGTATTGGCGGACACAGTGGTGCCAACCGGTAGCGGACTCGACAGGCTGGGAATAATGCCTTCAGCGCCAGGCTGGATCACTCGAGGAAATGCAGTGGGGAAGACTGCTCGAAAACGCATTGTCTCTTTTATCACGGCTTGTAGCTCGAGCGGGATAGGGGCGGCCATTGTGCTGCTTCCAATAAATGCTGCCTCCTGACGGATCTTTTCTTGCCAAAACTGCCCTTCTTCTAGTCCCAACTGGTAAGTGATGGCCGTGAGAGCGGCCGTCGTGCTCCCAGGGCCGGCGAAAACCATATTTATGGCCTCCGCCAGGATTTCCCCCTGTGTCATACGATTTACATCGTCGGCAGGAACTTCCAGCCAGCTTTTCACAATGCCAGGTTGCGGAGACTGCGCGATGCTTTCCGGATCCCGCATGATTGAGAAATGGCCCGCAGCCATGAGGCCAGCCATTCCAGTTGGTATCCCATCTTTCGTGTAAAAAGGCCTGCGAAGTAGAGCACTGACGGTTCGACTGTTCATGACCCACCCGTAAGTTGGCCACAAGGAGAAACTCCATGCCATCTTGGTCGTCTTGCGAAGCTGCGAGCAGATGTCACCGGCCGCGGCGCTATCAGTGTAAGGGTGTGATGCCAACGCCGGGCCAAACAGGATCTCCAGCATTGTGTCCAGAGTGAACTGGGTCATCAAAGGAGCCACATTCACAGCGGCAATCCCGTCATCTGCTGGACGTCGCGATGACTCCAGTCGGGACAGTAGGACGGCGACATGTTTGGTAACCACGGACTCATATTTTCCTACCTTTGTCCCGGATAGGGCCGGTCCAAAGACCTTCTTTTTCTTTTGACGATGGACGGCATTTGATTTGGTCGAGAAGATACTCATTTCACGTTGGCTGGGACCTCGCCCAAAGGTGAAGAAGTCCCCCTTCTCGACCGACTTGTTGAATCCATAGATGGCATCAAAATCCTGCAGACTTGAGAAGGAGAGCCAGTTGGGGGCGACACGGACTACGCGACCGTATTTTTCATGCAAATAGTGTTCCGAAAGATGGTGGTGACCGCCCAGGAAGGTGAAGAAGCGCCTTGGGGATGGAATAGTTAGTGCAATGGGTTCTAGGATGGATACGGGTGGGTCAGGACGAACCAAAGGTTCGTAAAGCGGGCCCAGAAGGGCCCTGGATAGCGTGCCAGAGGATGGAAGTAGCACAGGTAAACACCCCGAATGACGAGGCTGACCACTGCAAGCTGGGCCAGGATGAAAATCAGAGAGGTCATGGTGCTCCGTAGGGTGTTCATTCAATCAGGATGCCGGTTTCATAGTGGATTGGTGAAGCAGCGAATGTCAGGAAAGAGGACAATGGGTGGAAGTTGGAGGAGGTGAAGACAAAGAGGACGAGGACTGGAGGATGGGAGACCCCGCCATGCGTGTCACGCGATCCTGGGATTTGGGTTGGACCTGGCGGTCCATGGCGGAGTTGCGGCGGACGTCGGTGTCTATGATTCTCACTGTTGGCGACAGGATGCAGTCCGTGTAGATTCGTATTCGCTCCCTCCCGTGGCAGTGGGGGCGGAGCGGCAAGCTTATCGATCCGTCAACGCGATACGAGTAATCGGATGATATGGAATGTTCATGTGTGAAGTAATCCGTACACTGGGCCCCTCTCCAAGGTACATGCAAGGCCACCATTTAATCTTTGGCTACGTTTTCACTATTGCGTTAGGTGCCTGAACTAAGGATGCCATGACTAATCGATGGTCTGAATGGCTTAAATGGGCTGATGCCAATCGTGGAAACGCTGGATTTTGAGGCCATTTGCTTCCGCCAGTCGCATTCCCCCCACTTTGTTCCTGACGAGCTCGGTATCATTTGAAGGCGATAGGCCAGTCCGGGTGCCTGAAAGCTCAGGCTGTTGTTGGGCCTTGTGTTGGATGCAGGGATTGTCTGGTGCGGCGTCCAATCTGATGGGCTGAACGCAACCCCTGTCACCTTGCCCAGCCATGGGAATATCGAGCAAACAGAGATGCGGTGAACTCCATCCCCAACGGTAGGAGGAGTCTTTTCTTCTACTCTAGTTGCCGATAACTCAAAGATTGATCGATTCGGTAGATTTTAGCCAGAACTGGATTAGGATGGACTTTGTCTTCATCAATGTTAAGGAGCCTCAGGACGCGCTCCAACTCGCCAAGGAGCCCGAGATCCGATCGCACGTAGCTCGCCACCAATGGCGGCATGTCGCCAAAAGGAAGAGAGGCGAAGGCCTACCCGCCTGCGCGGATCCGAACTGTATAACGCTGCGAAAGCGGGTCAATGCCCAGTCTTCAGCTTCTGATGGGGTGCCGGGGCCCGTAGGCGCGACCGTTCTGTCTTTCTCCATACCCCGTCCGCTAGGGGGGCTGCGGATTGATCCATTCCGCTCTTATCCGATCGCTTGGAGACCATTTGTTCCACGGCTGGTTGACCATTGTGAGTGACGGCAGTCACCAAGCTCGAAGTGAAGCTGGCTAACCTGTTTCGATGTGATCAGATCTGGTGAGCATGGCTGTTGACATTCCCGAACTCGACCTGCCAGGCAACCGCGGTCTCCTCCGGACCAGCTGGTTTCCGCTTGTGATGACCGAGCCTGCGCTATTCCTGGTTATCATGTTGCTCGCAGCATCCCACCATGCAACTGTAAACCCACAGTCTCTCGAGATCAGGCTGAATCTCCTCAGTCTTCGATGCGAGGCCGTCCAGGCCATCAACAAAGCCCTGGGCGAGCAGCAGCGCGGACTGAATGATGCTCTCGTTGGCGCCATTGCCAAGATGGCCAGCTACGAAGCCATGTTTGGGAGCATGGATGACTTCGGGGTGCACATGCGAGGTCTCCTTCGCGCTGTTGATCTTCGGGGCGGTCTCACGTCCCTTGGGTTGAACGGCCTGTTACGTCGAATCGTAGTGTGGATTGATCGCAACGCGGCCTTTCTGCACGGCTCATCTTTGTATTTCCCTGGTGCGACTTTTGTGCCCGGGCAGCCACTGCCTGATCCGAATCCGGGTCATTTCTTGGGGGCATCATGATGATGGGGGTGGTTGTGCAGCACCCTGAGGCTGGCGATAGAATCAGCGATTGTGATCTTACGGTGATAGTCAGCATGAAGCCATTGTTAGGTCATTTTACTTTCACGGGACTGGCGAGTGGACTTACACGGATGTGCAGGAAGGCAATGCAATGAATGAACATATGATGTCACCTAACTGCCACTGCAGGGTTGTCCAAATGATGTCCCTACTACTATGTCCAGAGCAGTTGATCCCCATGAACCACTCCGTATCCATTCAAGTAACCTTGTGACGGCAGGAGAATGTGACTTCCCCAATCGGAAAGAACGATCTGGAGCCGGTTCTCAGCCTTAGGCATCAGTTCTAGCGGATCTGGCCCGTGGGGCAGCTGCAACCTTCTCCCCACCTGCCCGATCGCGATATGGCATACTAAACCCGATGCGATCAAGATCAACCGTCCAGGTCCAAATTGCAAACAAAGAATTTCCGAGGGCGGCTGGATCACTGGCCAAACTATCTTTGCTAATGGTGGATACACGCTTCGGTAATTGTCTATGCAGGCAGAACCGTATTAGCCAGGTTCAGAATGAAGTGTGGCGATGAGTTAGAAATGATCATATGTCATGTGCCTTGATACATATATATACTGATCGACTAAGATAATCCCACCACATACCTTACTCACACTACGAAATACAAGGTCAACTGCAAGAACCGAGCTTCCAATAGCATTAAACTACGATCATAGCACGGTATTAATATGTACCCGCAGGTAAGTAAACGTTCAGTCATTAGAATACAATATCGACATAAAAGGAAAGTCATGTCTCGTTCATAGCATCGACGACGCCGTCGACTTGGGGTGCTTCTGGTCAACAGGAGCTTCAAGATCCAGCGGCTTGCCCGTCGGGTGCTCATCTTCTGGATACACCTCCTCTCCATCGGCAATGGACAGACGATCTTCGTCAACATCGGCGTCGACCTCGTGCCACTTGTCGCTGGTGGCGGGGATGGGGAACAGCTTCGTCAGCGCCCAGTACATCACAAATGAGACAACGAACCCGGAAAAGTAGTTGATGTTGTAGATGTACTGGGCTCCGACCGGCACGCTTCGCCCCACAGCACCGGCAAATCCGACAATGTTGATGATAATGCCCGAGAGATACGAAGCGTATGCGTGCCAAGAAAAGCCAAATATGTAGCGGTACGCCGAGTCACTCTGGGCACTGTACAGATCCTTCACGCGTAGATACCCTTTCCGGACGACGTAATAGTCAGAGATCATGGGCCCCGCGATCGACGAGAGGAAGATGGAATAGGCCGAAAGATAGGTGGTGAACTGGTTGGACGAGGACGAAAGTTTCCACTAGAACCCGTCATTTTCCACGTGCCCATCGAGGCGACAAAAATAGGGTCATACCGGACACATGCACAGACCAACCGCAGCGCAGATATAACTACCCCGTCGGATGTTGAGGTAGCGAGGCAACAAGGCCGTCATGTCGGTACCAGCAGAGACCGAGTTGGCAGAGATGTTCGTACCCAGCTGAGCCAGAGCAAAGCCAGTCGAGATAATGAAGATCCCGAAGCGCTCAGCGGAGCTGGCCCCCTCCAAGAACTGCCCCAACAGGGTCAACGGATTCCACACAAAGTCACCGCCGAAGATGACTGCCGACGATGACGAAACAATGATGCCGATGAAGGAGGTGATGCCGAACCCGATCGGAATCGTGAGGAGCTGCGACCACAGCGCCTCCTTGGGCGTCCGAGAGAACCGCGAAAAGTCAGGGTCATTCACAATCAGGGTTGCAAAGTTGCCGAGACAGCTCATGATGGACTTGACAACAGCCCAAGCCAGGGCGCTACCATGTACTGTGGCGGGTTGGTGGACGATCGGACCGATTCCATTGGCACGGGAGATGGCCCAGGCGAAGAAGGCGATGGCAGCAATGGGAGAGTAGATCGCTTTGACGGTAAAGAGGTGCCTGATCTTGTGAACCGGGAACCAGAGGGCCGGCAACGAGAGAAGCCAGAAAAGGAAGAAGCTCAGAAAGTCTTTGGAGGTAACCCCAGAGCTTGCAGGTATATGATTGGGCAGGTTCTTATAACTTGGCCAGATGGACTGGATCATCAAGGTCACACACTCGCCTATCCTGGGGGTCAGAGTCGCTCCGACGTGGACCATCTGGAAGACTCACCTCCAATATAACCTTGGACACCATACCAGACCACCGCCATGGCTGCCCGGTTGAAGACAGGCCAGAACGAACCCCAGATTCCAAAGGTGGATCGGCATGCGACCGGGAACGAGATGTGATAGACTGCACCGATGCGACCGGTCAAGCAGACAAAGCAAGCAGCAATAAAATATCCAACCCAAACGCAAATCCACGCCTGCCACCAGGACAGGCCATCGACAATCATTGAGGATGAGATCATCCATGTGTTCTATGGTGGTGACATGCCTTGTTAGCCCCTCCATGCCGGACGGTGTCAAGCGTGATCTTGCACGAGGCACTCACAATATTTAACGAGTCTGCGATCCAGAAGGCGACAAAGTTGAACCATCTCCATTGACGACGCTCATATTCGACTGCAGGGGGCAACAGCCAAGATTTGCACACGGTCAGCTTCTAGAGTTCTCGTTGTATCCGGCTGAACAAGCACAGAACGTCTCATGATGATGCGCCGGCCAGTGTTATGATCTCACCTGGCCGCAAGTCACGGTTCGTCAACATCAACTGAGTGTTGGTCAGCCCGGGCTCCGTTGGCACCTCGAGCTTCTCGATCCATTCTTTAATTCGAGGCATTTCAGGCCTGAGGGTGAACGAAAGATGAAAATTGAAACCGAAACCGAAAATGGATGGGACGGAGACGATATGTACGGGGTATCGATAGGTTGGGTGGGGGGGTATAGTGCAGATATCGCAGCGCAGAGGAAAGGAACCACCAGGGTTGGAAGCGCCGAAACAACCGAGAAACTGACGGGGAAGCAAAGTAAGAATTGGAGTCCACCCTCGAGAGCCAGACAGCCGGACACACGATGGGATATAAACAAAATCCTCGTCTGGGATATACTGAGACTCGGAAGGCACTATCAGCGTCATCGCCCCGGGACGGGCCAATCAGGGCCTCCCAGGGGTCCGATATGGAACGGTTCCATCAGAAATTTGGCTGATATGCCGGGAGGCCAGGATGCCACCGGAGGGAAAGATGAACAGGCCCTTACGCAAGATAAGGATAAGAGAATTGGTCAAGCGAGCCGGGATCGACCTGGCCAGCGCCACCCAAGGATGGCCTTATCGCCCTCCATGGGCCGCTGGTCGGGGTACACCGCGTGCCCCGGCCTGGCGATAATCCGTTTCCATTGCTCGATTGGGTCGAGTAAGCGTCAACGTTATCAGTTTCAGCATCTCCACTGGCCCTCCGCAATCAGCCCGAGCTGGGGCACCCCCCAGAGCCAGCCAGTGACTTCCAGCGAGTCACAGCCCACTATGCCTCGACTAGTGGCCGGGGCCTATCTAATCGCCGGGCCCGCTGACTCGATGGCATCGAGTAAAATATTCATCAGGCAATGTGATGAATCTTTCCAGCTTCCCTCCTCCCGGATGATAACCGGTCTGCTCCACCGGCACACGAAGCGGAAGTGGTTCGACTTCACCACAGGGGGCAGAGGGCCAACACTGGGCCACGTGCGTCTCCCGGCCTGTCAGGCGCTCATCACATGATGTGCTGCTGCTCCACCAATCAGCATCCGCGAGATTCGAACTTGCATCGATAGCCCGCATCCGGCACGCTATCTAGTGTAGGTCTATTACTCTACGAAGTATATTGTGCAGCTACCCTACGCCCGGTGTAGCCGGGGCTGGCTTGCACCCTTTCAACTAGATATGTGCCGGGCTGATGGAGGGCCATCCAAGTCCGGCGTCGGCACCTTCCGACCCTAAGCCGGACGGTCTCAACAATGGTGGAGAATTCACTCATGGCGAGTGACTATTCAAAAGGCTGGCGAAGATCCCTCCGCTCCGACTAGCAAGACTCTCTGGTTCATCCATCCCCACCACCCTTCCTTTGTCCAGCACGAGAACCAGATCCGAATCCTGGATGGTGCGGATGCGATGCGCCACGGTCAAAATTGTGCATGTGTTGCACGGCGCCTGTCGCAAAGTTTCCTGCATTCGGGCATCTGTTTCCACGTCCACGCCACTGTCAAACTTGGCGTGGCTTACGCGAAGTCTCAGCGTCGCATGCCCAAGCTCCAGAAGCTGCTGCTGACCGCGCGATAAGGACAGAGTATCTTTGATCTCCGCGTCGAGTCCGCCTCTCGCTTTGAATACGTCCTTCCAGAGTCCGACTCGGTCCAGGGTAGCGATCATGTCGGTATCGGAGAGCTGTCCGGCTGGGTCTACGTTGAGTCTCACGGTGCAGCCTACTAGGAGCAAAGGGTCACTGAGGAATAGTGACAAGTCGCTCTCGGACGGTCTCACGGGGCATGGTGGCGAGGTCAATATTATCAATGACAACAGACCCACGGGTGATGTCGAGCATGCCGAGCAGGGTAGGTAAGAGGGAGCTCTTCCCAATGATTTATCATAATCAGATCATGCCTTACCCTTACGTCGCACTTTGTCCCTGTGGATATAGTGAATTAAACTTACCTTCCAGTGCGTCCGCAAATGCCAATCTCCTGACCAGGGTGGGCCTTGAAAGAGATGTCCGTCAAAGCAACGGCATCCGGACTGGTCAAGATAATCTCAGCAAGCTGTTGTGTGGGGCTTCGTTCACTGGGGTACATACCTATACTGCGCAGTCACTTCCGAAAATTCAATTGCTCCCCGGTTGGGCCAGTCACTGGGGGCTTTTATCTTCTGACCTTCGTCTTTGTGGGTGACATCTGGATCGAAATCTCTCACGCGCGAGATAGAACCGAGCGATATCTCCAGCTGGGTTCCATCCAGATATCAATGAAAAGAGGCTGCTATTGAATGCTACAACGACATAAGAGATTAGTGGGATACGGTCATCTGAGGAAATGCAGCCAATCGTGACATATTAAGCACGTCATTAAGGGAGACTCCGAGTAGCCCAATACTACTCGAATGCCTGAAAAACACGGCCAGGCTAACAAGAACCACCGCCTCTGCTGCAACAATCAGATCCAAGGCCAGGGCGAGCCAGCGTTGGATGCAGTATAGCGGACAATGTGGCCGTTGGGATACATCCAGCAGCCTTGGGTTCTTCGTGCGGAAGTCCTCTTCCCAGTCGCAAGCCCCTTGACGGAAATGCGAGTATATCGGGTGTTTACTTTCAAGATCCAGGAGTTGAATCGCCGCGATGTCTCTTGATGAAAAGGAAAGGGGAGCGATTCAAGCGATGCGAAAAGACTGAGCAAGAGTATCTACTGGTAACTGTGACCAACACGCCAACAGAGGGTTGGCTCTCGATTAATGTCATATCCTGTCAAGAACCACGTAGGCCAAAAGGAATATATCCCTTCTTAGCCCCGGGCGTAGAAGGTAGAAATCGCATGGCCCAACATATTGTGACTGAACCTATCTAGAATCGTGCCGCTATCAGTAGTAACGCGAAACCGTGGAGATGCCCTGCAGCAAGAGATTAGCAGTTACCCACAGATACTGATGGTCGTCAAACCTCATGACGGTCTTCAGGAAAACATAGTGTAGCGTGCGGGCGGTTGCAGGCGAGATAGGTACAAGAATAGCCCTGCCGGTCAGTCAGCATTGTTGAAAACGCAAGACTGACTTACGACTAGTGCTGCAAAAGGCATGGACAGTCACGAAGATAAGGAAAGTCGTGATCTTCACCCAGCCAATATAGCGCAAGTAGTAATTTTAAATGGGAAAAGTCACCCACGACCCTTTCCAGATTGTTGATCTGATTCCCTTGAGAGACTTGAGCTGCTGAATCCTTGATGGCGGGCTTCATGTGCTCTCTTTCTTCGTCTAGCTCATCGACAGCCGCAAATGAAGGATCTGGTGTGCAAAGTTTTCGTTCATGAGTTTCTTTCTGCCGGAGGTTGCCGTTAGACAAGACTAAACCTTGATCGGCGTAGGAGACGTATTCCGCTATTGCAATGTCAGGCACGATGAATCAATATGGCAGTATCCAAAGGGTTGATAGTGACCTACTTCCATGTGTCACGAAGATGACAGTCCACCTGAGCCTTCGATGAAGACCATTATCCCCAAAGAGACGCTCCACGATAACGATCTTAGTTTTTAGTCCAGTGCGCTAAATACATCGTCCAACAGAAGCAGCTTCCTCCGAGCATAGACGACACGGGTGAGAGCCACCCGGTGCATTGCATCTGACCATCGCTCAGCGTAGGACTCAATCCACTGCCTATATGCGTGGCATCTCTCTCCAACAATAATACTAGATCTGAACTGAGGGCACACGCATGCAAAACAACTTCGTACCACTCACAATCAATCGTTTGCTCATGGGCTGGTCCTTCCTGGACTACTCCGCAAATTGCATCACGAATGGTACTATCTAAGAGCTATGGCGTTTGCGCGCAATAAGCAGGGAGTGTGAATGGTCACTGTAATGGCTCTCGCCTCGCACACAGCTTGGCCAAGCGAAGCTTGCACGCAACAGAGTGGATTTTCCCGATCCCACCGGTCCCTGGATCATGGTCACAGTTCCTTGAGGGACCGGGGAACTGATATTCTTCAGTACAGACTTTGCTTGTTCTACTGGACGGATACTGACACTGTCTACAACAATCACTGGGGATGATGAGTTTTCAGAGCTTACGTTTCTCAGCGGGAGAGACACCAAGCTTTCAGAGCTCATGCGGGTGCGAACGTGAGGATGTTTCACGATATCAGCTACAGTCCCTTGGCTGGGTTGCCCGATAGGAATCAAGAGACATGCTTGGATCCTATCAAAACATCCGACGGCTGCTGCCGTTGAAGGTATAGCACTCAGCAGCTTGGAAGCCGAGTTGGTCAGTAGTGTGATGACTGACAGGCTACTCAAGGCATTGGTGACATCGAGTGCCTGTCCGTGGGCCGCATAGACCACGAATGTCTGGGCCGGTGCCAATGCCCACGGCAGGTTCTGGATCATGTTTTGCTAGACGATGCTCCATCGGAAACCGGCCATCCGATGTGTCTCCTGGCCAATTTAGTGCTGACAGTCTGACACCCCTTGGCACTAGTAGTCCGGAAATCATGTGGGTTGGTGCGGGCACCGTTGAATTGGAGTCTAAGGGATATATTATACAGTCATTCAATTCCAGGCCAACCAATGCAAATAACTAGGTACAGAAGAAGTGTACATCCATGCGAACTGCCTCCCCCAGGCCATCACTTAGCCCTTGTTCCACTTGCCAAACTTCACATAGTCGTCGTACAGCGCCTTGAACACGGCCCGCCCAGACACATCCAGACCCGCATTCATGGCGCGCATGGTCTCGCGCGACATGACATCCAGGACCGCATAGAGACCCGGAAGAATGGCGGCCTTCACCTCGGGCGCCAGAGTTCCGCGCAGAGAGCTCTGCGTGTACTCCATGATCAAGTACTGGAGGTACTGTCCGGCAATACGCTTGGCTTTCTTGGTCTGATCGGTCAACCCCTCAAAGCCACCCGCCGACTGCGCCGGTCTCGACACGGCGGATACGGTCGGGTCGCAGAGGGACGTGAGGAGACGGGTAAAGTGAACGGCGTGCGACGCCTGCAGGGGGGCGAGCCAGTAGGGGTGTTGGCCTAGTTTCTTTTCGTGGAGCATGGATCGACTGCGCTTCTTGGAACGAGCGAACAAGCAGTCCAGCAGGCGCTCGATAACGGGGAGGATGAGATGGAACCGGCCTCCAAGCTTCTGACGGTGGAGTCCCAGGAGGACACCCATCAGCCGGCAGAGACGGATATAGACGGTCCCGGAAAATTCGGGGTCGATACAGGGTCCGGATTTCGAAGCGCAGACTGCAATGGATGCCAGCAGGTTGTCGACATTCCACTGCGTAATACAGCGCGTGAAGTTGCGGAGCAGGATATCCAAGCACTCAGAGGCAAGAGTAAACTGCTCGATGGATTTGTTGCGGGGGAGCGATTCGGTCACGGCTGTGCAAACCAACGACAGCTCTTGGGCTGTATGGCATTCTTTGTCTTCAATCGGAGGCAATGAGGCAATGGCTAGACCGGCAATAAGTAAGTGGTACTCCGCGTTCTCTCCAACAAAGCCTAACGCCCGGACATCTTCAATCACTCGGGTCAGCTCCTCAATTGACATGGACTGGAACCTTGCGCTGGTAGACCGGATAAACAGTCGCTGTTCCTCGCTATACATGTGTTGCAAAGGAAGAGCCTCGGCACATTGTATCACAGGCTGGGTGATGCTCTTTTCGGAGCCCCGTCCGGCCAGGACACGACGTCGAATGAGTCTGCTCAGCGAAGGGTCCGAGTCGGCCGATTTCTCCACATAGCTTTCAATCTTCGACAGGAATTTCTCGACCTCGGCATGATCCGTAGCCAAGTCCTCAAAGTCTTCCAGCGCATCTATGATCTTGATAAGGGTGATCGTCTCTTCTAGTTGCTGTCTCTTGCATTGATCCTTGACGGACTTCACCTCCACCACCACGAGGTCGAATACTTTCTGCCGGCAAGCAGCAAGGTCCGTCTCGTCAAAAACACTGGCAAGCTGCTGGCGGTGGTGCCAAAGTTGAGACAAAGAGATTCTCAGATAGAAGCAGTCCATGGAATCCCTGTCGATGGTCTGCAGCTTGGACGCCTTCGATGTGACCTTGCGATACATCTTCTTGAATAGCTTGTGCCGTTCTTCGTCAGACAGCACGAGTAGCTTGGCTATGACTGCTCGGTGCAGATTGCGGAATGCTTTCATGATCTGAAGATCAATGTCGTTACCCTGCAGAGTGACGGCCTTGGCGACTGTCCAGATCGGCTCCCAATTGCTGGTCACGGCCGCTGTACATTTGGGCATGTCAGCCAATTTCGCCATTAACGACAGCATCCCCACAGTGACTTCGGGTGTGCTGTCTTCCTGCACGATAACCTCCTGCAACAGGTCCAGCAGGACCGCTCTCTGGCGGCGCATGATAAGCGGGGCAGGAATTCTCTGCAGACTCTCAACGAAGAGTTTGCGATTCAAGATGTCCTCCTTGACTCGGCTAGCGAGCACAGTAATCAAGTCAGAAGTAATGGCCGGGGCGTTGAGAAGATATTCGTGACAGACCACGCTAGCCCAGGCTTGGAGGAATCGAAGTTCAGGGCTAACGGTCTCCAGAGCCGATGGGGATGATTTGTACTGAGATGTCGCCAAAGACAGGATATGGCCGAACAAAGAGCGCCTGGTTTCCGGCTCGACTCGAGCCCAAATGTCCGGGCTTCTAACAAGAGTCAAGAAGTAGGCCAAGGCGAGGGTTTCCGGCGTGTTCAACGTCTCGATGCGCCCATTCCAAGGGGATGCGATCGAATCCACAGCATCCTTACTGGAGATAGACTCAACCAGCTCGGTGATCTGACTCGTGAGTGATTTAAACTGATCATTGTTCAGGGATCCTTTAACAGCAGCAAGGGTGAATTGATATGCCTCGAAACATTCCAAAGGCGCCCAAGGCTTTTGCAACCGGTCCTTGTGATGACGTCGGATGGTCGCCGCGCTTGTGTCCACGAGGCTCATAATCGCAGCGCCGAGATCATTGTCAGTGGACTGAACATTGTTCTCCAGGAGATTCCGAGCAAGCCGCCACAGCCGCCATCGCCAATGCAACGTCTGCTTCAATGACAACGTCGATGCTGCGGTCTTGATGATGGAGCTGAGAGCCTCGTTTTTATCCTCAAAGCTCAAATCACGGTTTCTGAACCCAGACTCCAGGATCACAAACTGCGCATATGCGCCGGGGGTGTTGGAGATTTTGCCATCTTCACCTCTAATCTCTACAGTAGCTGCCTGAAGCTGTGCAGCGGCATGGGCATGAGTGAGGGGGTTTCGCATGATATCGCCATACGCGTTGCAGACGTCGTCGTCTTCCCACACGATGAAAGATTTCAAAGTCTTATCCTGTGACCGCGCCTCTTCGACCTCGATGAGTTGTTCGTACCAGAACTGCATGAAGGTGGGTAGGTCTCGAGCAGCCACGAACCCGCGCAGCAAGGGGATCACAATGCCTTTCTTTATAGTCTCGTAGCTGCCGTCACTCTGAGACTTGCCGCTGCGCCAATGGGAGAGGATCTTCTCTAGCAAAGCTTTCAACAACTTCGTCGAGTCATTTAGCCCCGAATTCGGGAGGAAAATGTCAACGCCAAGCTCAACAAGCAGCGCCGTAAGGCTCCACTCAACCTGCGATAAGCCATCCTTGAGGAGACCAGTGTAGGAAGCGTGAGTGAGCAATGTATGCAGAGACAGCTGCACGTTGCGGACGAGAATCACGCGGAAGAGGCGCTCCAGAATGCCAACAAATTCAGGAAGGTGAGAGGTTGTGTTTTGGGACTTGACGATCGAAAACGCCAGCTCCGCGATAGCGACGAACAAAGTCTCCAACCACGGAGCCTCGTGAGTCTGCCTCCGGAAGGTATCCCTCGGAACCGAGCGGACGGCTATATCGAAAAATTCAGGTAGAAGCTCCGCTGTCTTCCACATGATTTTCTTCTGGATACTGGCATCCTCAGCAGTCTCGGCGGGACACTCGACTCCGCAAAGGATAGGTCTGAGCGCATCAGAAATCGGCTTGACGGGAGCCCAGTCCGGCTCACTGGCTGAATAGTCGATACCCGCACCACCTCGCTCATAGAATCCTCCACGGGCTGGAAGCACCACATGCAGGGCGATCAAGCGCTCCACTCCATGCAATACGTGTGCCCTCTCATCGGTGTCGAGTCGGATAGCGCGAACACAGACTTGAAGTCTCAGTGCACTCTGAAAACAATGCTTCGCAAAACAATCCTGCCCCACTGTTAGCCTGACGATTACCCAACAGGCATTTTCCCAAACTTACATTGCTCAGTCCTTTATCCGAGTCGTCCCGACGAGAAGATCTCAACTCCCACAGCTCTAGGACGGCGGGAAACACGTACAGGAGATGCTGTAGGTCCGTAGTCTTGCGCGCGTGGGAGAACTGGGTCGTAATGACGGCTGCTAGTCGAAATGATTTCTGTAGCGTGACAGCGTTTGACTCGGGCTCGCCCTTGAGAGCATGCTTCAGGTGAGAGCTTGCAACTTCGTCAACACCCAGGGTCCGATTCGCCAGCATGACCAAGCTGTACAGACAATCCAACGCGCGGATGAAAGCCAAGAAACACGAGATCGGGGTCCGTGGCTGGTCATCGATATCCATGGCGTCCGCCTCGTCGTCGCCAGCCCTCTTCCTCTTCGTTCCCTTTTTATCGTAGTCGCCATTGCGGTGGGGTGAGTCGCTCAAGGTGTGACTCGAATCCGAATCCGAGGGCAGCAGGTCGGTCGTCCCAGTCTTCAACGCAGTGAAGACATCGTCCTCCAAATCGGCGATGGCCTGGTTGAAAATGGCGAGGAACTTCTGGTCCTTGAGGGTCGTAGCCAGGGTCTTTGGCGGGATCAGGTCGATCAACTGGCGGAGTAGGAGGAAAGAGGTCGAGTCGACGCGATAATTCTTGCCCGCCCGCAGTTTCTTCAACAACCATCGGAGGACCCATTCTTCCTTGGGCGCGGCATTGTTCTGGACGTGAGGGGTTCGATTGATCTCGGGGTGGCTCGCACACAGGGCCAGATCCAAGCCGATGATCTGGGCAGCCTCGTCCAGCTGGGTGGTCGGGGAAGCGGTGCCTTTCTCGAGGCGGAGCAGAGCCTCTTGCGACGAACGCGGGCGCTGTATAGAAGATCCCAGCAGGTTAGCCGAACACCAGGTTGGATACTTGGATGCACCGAGGGGGGCTACCACACACCTCCGCGACTGAAGGCATCTCGGAAAGACGAGTCAGATTGTAGTACCGGATCCCCTAGTTCCTCGGTGCCACCGCGTCAACACGAAGCGACCATAGTCCGCAGGGTGTGTTAACGTTCTGCGGGGGGCGGCCAGGAGGATCAAGAAAAAGTTGAGACTGACGCCAGAAAGCGGAGAGTGCCCAGCCTAGTTTTTCCGACCGCCTTTAGCCCGCCCGAAGCAGAGCTCGAACGTTGCACCCGATCGTTCCCATCGAATCTCCTCCCAGTTCTCTTCGCCTTTCCTCTGCACCTCCCCTCTGTCTGTTGTTGAAGGTCAGTCGGTCCCTATCGGTGCAATTGACGCCGTTCCGCTCTCCCAAATTGACCCCCGGACATTTAGCCCTATCGCAATGGCCGACTCCAACGAATCCCAGCCGGTCGCCCCGGTCCCTCGCTCCACCAAGCCCGTCAGCGAGGCCCTGCTGAACGAAAAGGTACCTACCATCTGCACATCTCCTGTGTCGCGTGTCCCCTCGGGACGCTGAGTGGTCTGCGTGATTCGTCCCTCGAGGAGCTTCCAAACCGCCGCCCTCGAATTTCATCCTGCGAGTTGCACTGCGGGATATACATATGCCATGAGAAAGTGTCGTGCTCGGGCTAATGCGGAACTTCCTATCACAGTGGGATCGCGCCATCTCCTCCCTGATCATCCGCTCCTCTCTCGGTCTCTCTTTCGGTGTCGTCTTCTCTGTGCTCCTCTTCAAGCGTAGGGCTTGGCCCGCCTGGGTTGGTCTCGGCTTCGGTGCCGGACGTGCCTGGGAAGAAGCTGATGGTACGTTGACTTCATGAAATAATGAACCCAGGTGAAGTGGATGTGGCTAATATGCTCCAGCTTCCTTCCGTCGGGGTGATTCCCCCCTCAGAGATGCCCTGCGTCGGTAGAGCCGCTCAGCATCCAATTCTGTATGATACCTGTATAGCTGGGACGGGCACGAGCTATATCGAGACACCTGCCCCACCGTTTAGAAGGGTCTTCTAGACTTTCCTACTTTAGCATTCAATCCATCGTCGTGCTATCTTTTCTACCTGGTTGGAAATCCGTAACGTTGCTCGCATAGTAGCTATCTGCGGGAATCCAGGACAGCCTCGACGATCACGCGATCATGCCGTCCGATGCCTGGTCTTTTTGCTCATTGCCTTCAACTCGCGGCGAGTGGCATAAGGGTGTTTTCTTCCCTGCGATGGTTGCTACAGAAGTTGTGTCTACCAAACATAGAACAAGCGGGCACACGAGAGGTCAAGAGCTCGCATAGCTTGCCGCGATGCGCTACAAGTCACCAGGAAACTGTAGCGAAGTAAAAGTACTCATATAACTGTAGACAACATGGAAGGGCTTTATGTACTCTATCATCCAGCATCTATGTGAGAGGGGTATCATGAAAAATCGTCAGTCATCCGAGTGCGCACGAGATGCTAGCGAAGACAGAAAAAAGAAGGGTCGCGAACGGATTATGCAAGGGACAAGGTTTTAGAGCATGGAGTTCGTGTAAGCCATGAAGTGATTGAGCGCAGGCATCTGGGACGTGTTGGCACCCGCAGCTTCCATTGAGAAAGTCGGAGCGTCCATGTTGGCCCAGTCGGCGTCGGACATGGTGGGCTCAAGAGCAATGCCATTGTGCCCGCTGTGGGTGAGACAACCAACGCAGGTACAGTCATTCCCGCACTGGCAACTTCCAGTTGTATCAGCACACGCACTGGGCAGTCCCACGGGATATTCTAGAGTATAATACTCCGAAGGCTCCATCAGTTGCTGCCCGAGGTATTCCGCTGGCGGGGAGGAATAGCCGCTATTCGCGTGGCTAGCGTTTGTGCTTTGTTGGGAATAGGCATGCATTGCAATAGGCTGAGCGCTATCCCCAGTCGAATGTTCAAAGTTCGAGTATGGGTATTGTAATGAAGCGAAGTCTGTGAGCTGCCCCTGCAGAGGGGAGCTTATATGGGAGTTTAGCCGATCCAGACTCTGCTCGCCGCCGTTCAAAGACACCAGGAGTCCCATCTCTCGAACATGCTGCCTAGTAGTGTTATTAAAAGGGTGAGATGCACAGCCCAGGCACTGGCAGCCGTCGCCACAGCTGCAGTCATGGGTGGCTTCGGCTTCGGCAACGCTCTGAGTATTTGCTGGACCCGAAGCGGCATTCTGCGCACATTCCGAGAGTGGCTGCGTAGTCGAATCTTGGAAGGATCCATAATTTTCTAAATGTTGTTGATGTGGATAGGCCAAGGGCTTGGAAGTGATATGCGTAACAGGGTCGGGCATAGAAATATATCCAGGCTCAGACACTGGTAATGAGAAAGGTTGCATGTACTGGCTTTGCTTCGCTGCCTGGAAATCTTGCCATGTCGATACCTGAGGGATAGGACTCGTGTAAATCCTCTCACCATTGTCGAAGACCGACGAATTGAAGTAATCGGAGCTGCTGAATACGGGGCCTTCATTCTCGACATTTTCAACATTTGCGGGCGGTTTGGGCTTTCCACAACAAGAACGTTGGACCTGGGGAGCTGGTGTCGGCGCGGGTTGCTGGGGTTTGCGAGAGCAACAGCTGCTACCCTGCAGTGTCTTAATTTCGCTGGCTTGGTGCGAAGAATTGTGCGAAGATTTTGAAACTTGATTTACAGTATCGTATGGGTCGCTCAAAAGCTTCTGGGCCGCATAAGGAGGAGGTTGGTTTGGGACCCCAGTCTCCAGGTGCTGTTTCCTAAATTCTGGTATGGAGTTTAGGGCTTTGGTGAGATTCTCTGGGGCTGTCTTGATCTGTCGTTTGACGGGTTTCTGGACCTTGTTGGGAACAGCTGACAGCATCGGAGCAGCAGGAATTGGTGTAGTCGAGGCTGATTCCGCGGCATCGGCGGGCACTTGGTAAACTGGTCTACACAAGCAAGTGGAACCTGAACGAGACGGTCAATGTCAGTCATCCATTACGCGATTGCAACGCATAAGAACAGATGAAGATGGCGCAACTACCGACCTTTGGGAATGCGAATCATGAATGCATACAGTTTCTGACAGCTGCATGTCCCTTTTGGGTGGGGGCATTTAGCTAGCGGGCGTCCAGCCTTGGGGACCTTCATCATCATCCTGTCGAAATGCTGACATTTTGAGGACCGATGGCCACGGATGCATGGTTCGCTGATCGGAGACTAATTAGCAAGAGTGTCTCTTGACTGGCGGGGATCCATACCATGACCATTTGGCGCCGTCTTCGTCAAGAGGCATAGTGGCGAGCTCAAAGTAGCATCAGCCGAGACTGTCGAGCACTGAGCCAGATGGACGGCCTGAGACTTCAGGTAAGATAAGTGCGCAATAGCCTTACCCCACCCGAAGGTCTGATCGTACCACGGCCGCGGACGGGTTTTGCTAGGAGCTCAGGCGATCGCAAGAACCTTGGGGTTTTGACCATGAGAATTGAGGATCGAGTCTACTACAAGAATCTCTCGTTCTTCAACAAGCAAGCGATGGTGGACCAGGCTCCGGGAAGGATAATCAACAAAGGGAGTGGGACGGTCGGAACAGTGACGGAATTGACAGAGCGCGAAGCCACCCGTTGCAAATGAGAGGCGGAGGGGAGGCGTGGGGAGGGGAGATGGGAATTACCGAGGGACAGCTGTTCGTAATGCTGCAGGAAGGAAGGGCAACCCCGCGGGTGATTGAAGGGGAGGTCAAGCGAATGCAGTGGGGAGATGAGGATCGTGGAGGCCGAAGTCCGAACGGCGGAGCAAATCTTCGAGAACCGATAAGCCGATAAGGACAACACAATCAAACCCTCAAACCTCAGGCAGTCCGGGCATGGGTGCCTGGGTGCCTTTCTACCTGAGGCTCTCCAACACGGCGGGCTTGGCGCCGGAGATTATCGACCGACGAATAACAAGCCAGGCGAGGCTTTTGAGCTGGACTCGGACTATGCGAGATTCAATCTGAACCACTGCCTCGCTGCTTGGTCCATTGTACCTACGTCTACCTCGGTTGTCTAGTCAGCCCCGTCACCAATTCCTCACACCCCCGATACTGACCTTCAACTCTTCCGCTCTTGTCGACCGCGATCCTTTGCTCCCTACGCTCTTCCAATGACCCCCGAACGCCGTGATTCTCCCGGCCAGACCCCGGACAATGTGAGCACGGCGTCGCGCGCTCGAGACTTCTTCTCCGTCCCTGCACCGGTCAAGCGCATCTTCGACCGCTTTCCTCTCGTCACCTATCCCTCCAATGATCTTCCACACAGCGCATGGTCGGACAGACGGGGCAATCGGCTGTACGTCTTTACCGATGCCGCAGGTGCCAGGCATGGCAGACCGTCGTTCAACCCTCAGTGTCTCAAGTGGCAGGTATGTATTTCAGCATTCTGTCAATTCCTATGTCGCTAATCGAGCGCCTCCTTCAATTCAGGCATATTTGCGGTTTGTGGGGATCGACTTCGACGTGATTCCCTCCAACAACCATGCGTCTCCGTCTGGCGCCCTTCCTTTCCTCATCCCCGCCCACCCCGTCAACAACAACACCCCAATTCCCTCCAGTAAACTGCAGAAGTGGGCCATTGAACAAGTCCATTGCGAGGAGGAGCAACAATTGGATCTGCGATTTGAGGTTTATGCGTCGTTGCTGGATCACCGGATAAGAAATGCTTGGGTGCGTCACAGATTGAACTTGCGATAGACCTGCCGATACTGACGGACCGGTAGTTATATACCCTCTATCTAGACCCGGAAGAGTTCGCAGCCGTTGCGAAGCCATTATATGTGGACCCGTCGAGTAACAATTCCGCCGTACGGACTGCCCTTGCAATGCAACTCCAGCAAGCTGCCCGAACAGAGATCCTGAAAACATCGTCCTATATCGACGTGGGTGCTCTGGAGGCCGAGGCCAGCGATGCCTTTGAGGCACTATCGACACTTCTTGGTGACAACCTTCACTTCTTCAACCGACCGAACCCTGGTCTATTCGACGCCAGCGTCTTTGCATACACACACCTGATCTTGGACGAAAAGCTCGGCTGGCGACGAAACCGGCTGGGACAACTACTGCGACAACACGAGAATCTTGTACAACATCGCGAGAGACTACTGAAATTTTTCTAGACGGATGGAACCATAAGAAACATCTCAGTCCTGTACAATAACAACATGTGTTAATCCACCATCATCTAGATCGGAACTGGCTTCCACCAGCAATACCGTTCACTCACCCTCAATACTCACTCATCTCCCTTTCTAAAGCAAACCCCAAACCACACCACTACACCAATCCACTTCTTCGCCCTAACCCCCAATACCTCCGCCAAACCCTCATCCACCATCCTCTCCCTCACCTCCCCCTCAACCCTCAGCCCAACCTCCTCCGCAACCCTCACCACCTCCCCAATGCTATGCCTATAACTCACCGGCCGAATCTTCACCCCAGTCTTCACATCCACAAACCCCGCCTGACTGATCTGTCCCATATCCTCATGCATATTTGTAACCAACAAACACCCACCCGGCCTCAGCATCTCCCACACGGCCTCAAAAAACCTCCTCAGCGGCACATGTTCCAGCACCAACGTCGAAATCACCCCCGCCGCCCCAACACTCTCCCCCGGCACAGTCATCGGCTCCTGCAGCAGATCAAACATCCCCAACGACACCCGCGGGATCCCCTGAATCGCTTCCCGCGCGACCGCTAACATCCCCGACGACGCATCCAGCCCGATGATCTCCGTCCCGGGGGACGCTAGCTGGGCAAGAAGAAGGGTGTTTCGGGCGGTGCCGCAGCCGAGGTCAATCACTTTGGGGTGATCGGGAAAAGATGAAGTGGGGAGGGGAAGGAGGTCGAGGAAATATGGGAGTAAAGTCTGCATTTCCAGGCTGTCGAGGGCTTGCAAGAAATTGTTGTCTTTGTCGTAGACCTGGGGGTTTTTCTAATTAGTGGGGTGTCATGAGGTGGGGTGGGGAGTCGCTACTGTAGCCCATTTATCGTATGCGTCTATGGTTTCCATGTACTGGACGCGGCCATTCTTCGATCCTAGTTTGGTAGGACTATGATCCTGGGTCATAGTGAGGGGTCTTGAATGAGATGATTGGGTTTAACGACGGAGGAGGCGGTTGTATGTAGATTAGGGACAACAACAGAGAAGACGTTATTCTGTTTATAGTATTTGCCTCGAGTTGGACTCGGAGTGAGAGTATAAGTACCACCGCAGGAGATAGAAGAGTGATCTGGAAACGCGGGTATAGATACGAGGGGATCGTTGCCAATCTTATACTACCATTAATCTAAGAAAGCCTATCGGGTCACACTAGTACGAACGGAGGAGGAGCGGAGTATAGGGTGTGCATGCATGACACTTGCTGTGAGTCATACACTGCTACTAATACTAGCTAGGGGGTTTAATTTATCACGTTATCGTGGACTGAGGAGATTAGAAGTGTAGTAGGGATGGTATGATTCTAGGGGTGTCGGCTCTTTGGTTGATTGTCATCGAACTTGTCCTCGTTTTTTGCTTGCCTCAGCATAGGTCGGGGCTAGACTTGGGGTCAATAGGGTTTCGCCCGATTTTATAGTGATTTTTCCATCAACCGATACTAGCATGTGATGGAATTAAACTGGTTCGCTCTGCTATTAGATAAATCTATGCTGACCAGTAAGCCCGGGAGTGTTCGCTGTGCAGCAGAATCACTACTAAACAAAACTTCAGACGTTGTTGGCCGAGTTCGTCTCGCTCTCCGCATAGGCTTTGGTAGTCGTGGTCAACTCGCCCTGCCCGTAAATCGGAGCAATGTGCTCCTGGCTCTCGCTCGCATCGTAGTCATACACTCTCTTGATCTCCGTTTTCTTTGTAATCCCTCCTATCGTCCAGCTATTCCGGCTTAGCTCGAAATTCGATTGATGACTTGATAGCCCTTCTGTGGAGTAGCTCTTCGACCTCGGGGGATCAAAGCGAAACAGTTTGCGCAAGGATGGAAGAGATCCCGATATCAGACCCAGGTTGAATTCAATCTCCATCCAGATAAGGGATGTGGAAGCCGAGTCTGAGCGATTAGTTTGGATCCTTGGCGGTCGAGCAGAGACTTACAGGTGAAGTTAGTGGTGTCATTGGCAAATTTCAGTGTCGAGAACCGCACCAGTGCGGCAACACATGCCGTGAAGCCTGAACGATCATTAGTTTCCGATCAAATAGAACGCCTTCTCAACCTACCAATACAGAGCAGTCCTAGCACAAGTAGCCGCTTCCTTACAGGCATCTGCAGCTGCCAGATGGGCCGTATGGGAAGCGCCAGAATCGACACATCCAGCACGAACATTATGACCCCTTGCATCAGGAGGATTCCATACGATGTCTCTGTGGGATAGCAAGTGGCATTGCCGATGGTCTTATCGTAGGCTGCCATGACGGGGCGACATTGGAAGACCAGCGCAAGGGTCCCCGAGAGGGTGAAGGCCGCGATGATACCGAGGAGCGTTTTCCCGGCGACTTGGACGGAGTTGGTCGGGAACAGCCGCATGATGAAAACCAGCAGACTGGCTTTCACAGTGGCGGCGATGACTAGGTAGGCGCATTGCGAGGCATATTCGAGCTGCAAAAATTAGTCTCGCCTAGAGCCCCGAGTCTCGATGTACGAACCGTGAGAAACACCGCTAGATGGTCGTTAGGGACATATTTCAGTGGCCGGCCTAACCCATAGTATGTGATGATGTACGCCAGCGCAGAGAACAGATCCACCCCAATCTAAGTCATCAGCCACGTCGCACAGGCAATTCACGAGCAACATCACTTACGAGACCAGCCAAGACCAGCCAATCGTCCAGGCCAAACTGCCTCACGACAAATTTGCGCAGATACAGCTATCACCGCTCAGCTAGGGTCAGTTTGGGATAATGGGAAACGTACACGAAGCAGACACACCAGGGTTGTCGGAATTGCCAGCACCAGCACAATGATCCGCACTGCGATGGTCATAGAGGTTGTGCTTCCATCGTCCCGTTGTGCCAATGACCCGCCCATCCTGGCTGTCTCTCACATTCCCAGCAAGAGTGGTCCCAGGAAGCACCGGGAAGGAAGAAGACATCTGGGGGGAGCCATAATATCTATCTAGGCTCTTCGCCCGGCGCAGAGTGGATCGGAGGGCGATGCAGGCAAATTGTGCCTACCTTCTCTAGGCCCGGAACAATCGTGGCTCCCACATGTTTCAGACGCTAATATCGCCGGCCGCCATACATTGGCGTGGATGCGAATCCTGGCAGGCATCGGTCCAGACGCCGGCGCACATAGCGTCCTGTCCGTCCCGAGCGGATATCCACCGTCCCCATCACTAGAATGAGGGTGTCAGAACCCTCTTCGGCGGCATGTTTGCTTCTCTTTCCTTTTTCCTGCTTCATTTTTGGAGTGTGCCTGAATCAATAGCCCGTGCATAGAGTACCATGGCTGCAATAGTCGCTGCGATCGTCAACAACGCCTCCCATCTGGAGCAAGAGCAGGTGGTGCAGATTGAGACGCTTCTGTCGCGATTTGACAGATTGTCCCCGGCCGAACAAAGCCAGGAACGAGTGTCTTATGTGTCTGCAGCCTTTCCCCTGGTGTTCGGCCCCGATGCCGTAGTGCATGGGTCCGATGGCTATGAGCCGCAGCGTCAAGTGCCCTGGTACGTCCATCTAGATAGACTCTAGAATTCCAATTGCTGGGTTGCTTGCATCAACCGGGAAAATGCATTCACCAACCACCGCCGTTGTTCCCTCAGGTCCGCCAATTGCTGGCTTCAGCCTCGCGTGATTGTGCGCCTCGCGAGTGCGCAGCAAGTTGCGGTCGCCCTCGCGCTGTGCCGGTTTTTCCACGTCCAGTTCTCCATCCGGGGTGGGGGCCATTTGCAGATTCCGGGCTTCACCAGCAATCAGGACGGCGTGGTCATCTCCCTCAGCGCCTTCGACCAGGTGCGGCTGTCCGAAGACCAATCGACGGCTGACATTGGGGTCGGATTGCGATGGTTGGAGGTGTACCGACAGCTGGACGAGCACGGGGTGGCTGTGGCAGGAGGAAGAGTCCCGTCGGTGGGCGTCCCGGGATTGTTGCTGGGCGGCGGCATCTCCTTCCAGAACAGCCAGTATGGCGTCGGTGCCATGGCCATCTCTAACTACGAGGTCACCTTTCTCTCTCCCTTCCTCCATCCCCGATTTTGATTTCAAGACGGAAGGATTCTAACAGTAACAGGTCGTTCTCGCCGACTCTCAAATCATCAATGCCAATGCCCACGAAAACCCCGATCTCTTCTGGGCCCTCAAGGGCGGCGGTTCCAACTTTGGTACGATCTATATCCTCGCCAGACTGATTCCATCCACAATCGTCACCCCTTAGCTAACCTCAATCCCAGGAATCGTCACCAAGATCGAAATGAACACCATCCCCAACCAAATCTGGACCGAAGTCCGCATCTACCCCCTCAGTGCCGCCGCCCAACTGCGCGCCGCTCTAATGCAATACCACGACGCCATCGAAACCGACAACAAGGCCTCCCTGATCTACAACGCCACCAACGACATCATCCTCGTGGTCTACTTCTATTGCGCACCGATCGAAAATCCCCCCATTTTCCAATCCTTCTGTGACATCCCTTACCTCACTAGCTTCGTGCCCCCGGGCATCCGCACCGTCTATGATCTAGTCCAGGCCGTCGCATCTGTCAACGAAGCCGAGCCCTCCGTGTATGCCCCCAAACCCCTTTATGCATTCAATTCACCACGTAAAGTAACTGTCAATGCTAACCCAATCCCCAGCCATGAATTCCGCACCATGTCCAGCCGCCCTAACATCGAAGTCTACGAGGCCATTGAGCGCGCCCACACCGAACAGGCCGAAGCCCTCAAGGACGTGGAAGGAATCGCCCTCACAACTGTTATCCAACCGATGTCGTCGCTTGCTATGCAGCAAACCCACAAGAATGGTGGAAGTCCGTTAGGTTTGGAGCCCGTAGGACAGCAATGTATGCCTACCCCCTTCTTCCCCTGCATCTATACCCCAGATATTTCATACTAATAAAATATAACTCGCAGGGTTCCTCGCCCGCGCAGACTGGACCCACATCCGCGATGAAGAGCGAGTGCGCTCAGCGGTGCGGAAGATCGTGGATGCGGCAGAAGAAGCGGCGAAACGGACGGGCGTGTATCTTCCGTACAAGTACTCGAACTATGCGGCGCGGGATCAGGATCCGTTGGCGAGCTATGGAGAGGAGAATGTGCGGAGGTTGAAGGAGGTGGCTCAGAAGTATGATCCCGAGGGGGTCTTTCAGGAGTTGCAGAATGGGGGGTGGTTGTTGAGTAAGGTTGGCTCTACTTTGGAGCGGTAAATATCAGGAGGTGTATGTAATACTACGTAGGTATGGATACGAGGTTGATAGAATGTATAGAGTTTGTGGTTCCTATAGTGATGTCGATAGTTAATGTGGCTTGCGGAGGACAGCTTGCACGGAATGTTGATCATAGCATCGTTCAGGGTTGCGGGACATTAACTAGCGATAGTCGCAACGTGGCACATGAGACATCAAAGGGATGCGAGAGTCAGATGGAGAGAATGTGGACAGAAATGAGACAAACAGAAGAGACGTGTTCCGGATGCAGTGACCGTACCAGACGGGTGAGGGACAGAAACAAAAACCAAAGGAAAGAAACTTGAGGATATCAAGGAAAACCAGAAAAGCAAGGAATAAAGCAAAGACATAACCCAGCCATGATACCATAATCCATGCACGCTCAACACAAACAGAGATTCAGAACCCATTGACGCTCGTAACACCGCTAATAAACTGTCGCTCCAAACGGTGCGGTTTCTTTCAAGTCCTCCACCAGATCCTCCACATTGTTCAGATACCGTCCGAGCAACGCCTGTTTCTCATCGGTCGTACGTGTATCCCGGTGTGCCTTGCCGCCGCCGTGAGGCCCGGGGACATTGACACTCCGGGATGCCTGTGCCGCAGCCAGTTTGCTTGGACTGCGCTGGTGTCCGAGAACGGCCGTGTTAGGCGCACTGGCCGTGCTCGTGGGGATCATCGGGGTTTCCGGCATCAAGTAGAAGTACAAAAACTCGACGAGCTTGAGTTTGACTTCGCGCGACGTCGCGCGCTGCTTGAAAAGCGAGGTCACCGTCAGGAGTCCGTCGAGTTCCTCGAACGTACGCGTGTTGGCGGGGTGGTCCAGAAGAGCCGTGACTAGGGTGAGAAGAGTCGCGGACTGGATGGCGGGGCAATTGATTGGGTCGAGGAGGTCCAGGAGTAGATTCATGTAGATCTCGCGGGCAAACAGTGTCCGCGACGGAGGGTGGAGGAGGAGCACGCCTTGTATCAGGTCGAGGGTGGAGACGATGAGAAGATCGTTGGTGCCATTACTCCCCCGCCCTAGTAGGTGCTCCAGACACGTCACCAAACGCATTGCGACTGGTTGCAGCGCATTAGTATTGGGAACTGGTAGCGAGTACAGCATCTCGAAGACAGGACGGCGACACCTACCATTCCATTGAAATCCCTCTTGTAATTTGAAAAATTCCCTGAAGGCCGGATCATCGCGAAGCTCAGACAAGGTTTTGGGAACCGGTTGCGGAGCCCCAAAGGATAGCAGTGACCTCCGTTTGTCAGACGCCGGGCGTTTCGACTTGGATAAACAAATCTGTGCGAGGAGGCCTTCGACCTGGCGCAATCCTTTGCGAACTTTGCTTGGTTCGTAAGAGGAAAGGTAATCGAACGAGTGTGCCAACAATGCCTCCATGAGTAATACAGACAAAAGGGTGATCCGTAGCACAATGAGTTTCAAAAAAGTGGCAGGGACGGACGGACACTAGTAGTTGGTGAAAAAGAAAAGACGGCCGTGATCTGTCAGTGGCGAGGACCCTGGGCCAAGAGATACGGCACTATCTATATGTACCTTAACTTAAAGGGCACCAGAAAAATAATCGAAGACGGCTGAGCCCAGGCGCTTGGAAGATGGGGACCTCAATTAAAGGCGATGGCGATTGGTGAGCGATAGTCGGTGGACTCGATCAACTAGTGAGGAAATAGTTGTTGGCATCGTCTGAAGCTGATCGCGCCGATTTAGACTCGGCCACGGCCAGCCTTAGTGACTGAATTCCCCCACATCCGACAAAAACACCCGATGGTTGTCCCGGCGACCAGCGATCGTGTTCCAATAAGCGGGCGACAGCGCCGCCATGAAGAACAGGATCTCCTCGATAGCATTCAGCTAATGATGTCAAGGGGGGCCTGGGTTCAGCTACGCCATCGGATCCCGCTCTGGCCAACATAAATGGGGTGGCTGGTCGGGCCGTCACTTGGCTTGGGTTTGGGTTGGCAACTGAGCTCTCTCCCACTCCGTCATTCAGTCAAGTCAACAAGTCAACAAGAAGATGTTGACGGGCGGAGTAGACCTGGCACGGGGCTGCTGCTCGAGGCTGGTGCAACGCGTGCATTTGCGGCCCCCCCCCCTCCTCCCCCCCTTGCATGTGCCGCATGAGTTCCCTGACCCGAAGATGTACCTCTGGTCACACCCAGACGCACATGGGTGTCACGGCGACCAGTCCAGAGGTCGGTCGGAGTTTGAGTTGGGGAGTTTCTCCAAAGTCCCCCAGTCAGGTGACCCGCATGTGATACCGCCCAGAACTCAGCCGACGTCACGTTCCTGTTTTGCCTTTCCTTCTCGCTTTTCCCCCCGCAGCGACCGTGCCAGGGTGCCTTATGCAGCCAGCAATCAACCTCTTCTCCTCTTCTTCGTTCTTGGGGCGCAGCTCCTACTTAAAGCGAGTGCGCCCTCGTTATTGACTCTTGTAAGATGGGCTTGCTCACCTCTTCCCCCTTCCGTGCTGGGCTGGCTGTCAGAGCATCGTCTGCCCTCCGAGGAGCCCCCCTTCTCCGCTCGCGACGATCCCCAGCGATCACATGCAGGACACTGAAACCATTAACGCTCAAGCAATGTCTCCAGAACCTTTCGTGAATTCATCCGCTGAGATCATTTTTCGGCCTTGTTGGCATTCCCTCCCAGAAAGTCCTATTGCCAGTGCGGGCGCAGCTCTCCCGGGGGAACCAACCCTCATGGTGACCCCGGCCATGGATCCAGCAGGCCCGAGCGAGGATGGGCTCGTGACAAACACCAATCACTCCCGTACACACAATCGTAATCGCTCCAGCGTTGATGGAACCAAATACAAAGATGGCCAGTGGTCTCCGGAGAATGAGCGGATCGTGTTGGGGCCGTATGACTATATGCTCCAACACCCCGGCAAGGACATACGGCGGCAGCTCATCAACGCTTTTGACGTGTGGTTGAAGGTACCTCCGGAGAGCCTGGAGATCATCACCAAGGTGGTGGCCATGCTCCACACAGCGTCCTTACTGTAAGCTTCTCTGCCAGGCCCTGAATGGGTCCGGACACCTACCTAACCCGTGGGCCCGAGCTAGGATCGATGATGTCGAAGATAATTCCATCCTGCGACGCGGAATCCCAGTCGCCCATAATATATATGGCACCGCACAGACCATCAACTCTGCGAATTACGTGTATTTCCTGGCTCTGCAGGAGGTGCAGAAGCTGAACAACCCGACCGCCATCGACATCTATGTTAAAGAGCTGTTGAATCTACACCGCGGACAAGGAATGGATCTTTTCTGGCGGGATACTCTGACCTGTCCCAGCGAGGAGGAGTATCTGGAGATGGTCGGGAACAAAACTGGGGGTCTGTTCCGACTTGCCGTGAAGCTGATGCAAGCTGAAAGCAGCTCCGGAAAGGACTGCGTGAGCCTCGTCAACGTCATGGGACTGATCTTCCAGATCTGCGACGACTACCTCAACCTATCCAACACCACGTACACGAAGAACAAAGGTCTCTGCGAAGACCTCACGGAGGGGAAGTTTTCGTTCCCCATTATCCACAGTATCCGCTCCAATCCGGGCAACCACCAGCTCATCAGCATCCTCAAGCAGAAGACGAAGGATGAAGAGGTCAAGCTGTACGCAGTGAGTTACATGGAGAGCACTGGCAGTTTTGCGCACACGCGGGACGTAGTCCGGGAATTGCGAGAGAAGGCACTGACGCTGATCCGAGACATCGACGGTGAACAGCCGGACGGACCCGATGACGGCGCCATGGTCCGGGCGATTCTCAACAAGATCACCGAGTCCACACTGCGAGACAGTAGTCAATAGTCCTAATTGATGAGGAGCCAGTGCTCACTTGGGGGCTTACCCCGGCCATCCCTGGTTGGTTGGTTGATTGGAGAGTCCTCGTATTTATGAAGAATGTTGAACATGATACATTTGGTCTATTGGATGCCTTGGACTGAGACAACACACCCGTGGCGATTTCAATACGAACCCTTCCTTCCTACCTTCTTCCTTTCTTTTTCCCACTTGTAACAAATTCCCGCCCGCGAAAACTTATACGGGACGATTCGACATCGTCCAGAACCGAATCCAACATGCTCCAACTATCCGGGGTATATGTAATCCATCCGCCAATGCGAGAATAACAATGCGATCAATCACAGCCCCTGCCCTCTCTAGTTTATACCAATCCAATCAAATCTAATCGTATTAGATCCAGATACCTCGCAGCTGACCCAAGCCCGATACAGAAGCATAATACCGTTCCAATTACATCACCACACAGCAAGCCTTCTCCAGCTTACGCAGCACCTTGGGCAGAACCGCATTAACCACCTGCTCGATCTCGTCCTGGTTCGCGCCCTGTTGCTGCTGCTGCTGCTGCTGCTGGGGATATTGTTGCTGCGCCGGCTGTGCCTGCTGGCTAGGATATTGCTGCTGTTGCTGTTGGACATGCTGCGACGGCGGGTGAGCATGGGAGTGAGGGTGAGCATAAGTACTCTGCTCCTGCTCCGGATGGGGATGCGCATAGCTGGGCTGTTGTTGCTGCTGGGGAGGAGCATAGCTGCCCGACGGGTGTTGCTGCTGTTGCTGGTAGTGAGGATGCGAGGGCACCGGGGCGGTCGCCAAATCGGCGGGCCCACCAGTAAGGTTCACATAAATCCGGCCTGCGTTTTCCTCGGTCGCGTACTGGAGGCCGAGTTCCTGACAGACTTGTTCCACTCGGGGCTTGATTTTCTGGATGTGGTTGACGGAGTGGTTGCCTTTGCCGACGATGCTGTTTATTTTGGTATTGCGGTATAAACGATTAGTCTTTCTCTTGAAGTTGTTGATCTTGGGGGCTTTTTGTGGGGAGTGGTGGAAGGAGTAGTGCGATTGATTTATTCCATGGGGACGGGAGGAAAAGGGGCTGGGAAACTTACACATGAAGATGGTCCTGTCCATGCGTTTTCGCATATTTGATCCTCTCCTCGAGAATCTCCTCTGCCTCTTCGACAAACTGACCATGCAGATCGATGGTGTCGGCTGCGACGCGCCCGTTGGCATTGTTCTCGCGGAAGATGAAATCCGATGCTTGTTTGTTGTAGTCGTCCATCTTGCGGCCGTGGGCTTTGCCTTGTTCAGAAAGTTCCTTGGCCCTGGCGCCATCGCCGCTGGAGTAGGCTTCTTGAGACTGGTCATTGGGACGTTGGTTAGCTTTTTGGAGGCGGTTTTGTCGTTGGTTTAAGGAGGGTGGTGGTGAAGTACCCGCTGGAAACAAGAGTTGCGCTGCTTGGCTTCTTGACGAGCTAGATCGCGGAGACGGTCGTATTCGGCCTCTGCGTCTGAGTTTTGGTCGTGATTGAAGGCTTCGAGAGGGGTGGTGTTAGTTCATTGGGGTTTGTGGTGAAGACAGGGTATATATCCCACCCCGAGGGCCCATGTAGGACATTTCATGCTCGTGCTCGTGCATTTTGAAGACAGGGGTCTCGATTGTAGGCGGGTATAGCGATGGCGGTAGCAGTGGTCCAGTAAGAATAGGGCGTAATGATGCGGTCTATCATGCGCGATTCTAATCGGAGGGAGGATCGCAATGGGCGACGAGGCTGAAAGGAAGCCGATCGCGAAGTGGATGTCTCGTAGGCAAGACGGGCTGGCCCTGGGATCGCGGATCGGAGCCCTGGATGGATATGGATCGGTGGAGCAGCGATCGGATTGGCCAGGGATCGTGGGCGGAATTGCGCAGGGGGCTGGGCTGGAGATCCATGGCCACGGGCATCTTCAATGTTCCATGGTCATGCTTCTCCTGCATGGACACATTGGTCACATGGGGGTTTGGACAGAGTACTGAGTAGAGTGTTGACTGTCTTCCTCAGCCCTTCCTTCGGGATGTCCGGACGCACGGTCAGCCACTCATCACGAATGCGACGGGCTAGAGATTTTAAGCCCGTAAGCCCAGTTCCGACGGAGGGCTGAGTTCTGCATGCAGCGTTCCGCCAATCCTTTGCCTTCTGCAGCAGGTAGATAGATAATGGCTGAGTGCTGAAGCCTGAAGGTCATCATCGTCACGGTCTCATCCACCCGCCGGCTCAGCACTGACTGTCTGAGAATCGGGAAAGCGTCTACAATCACAGTAAGGTGCCAGCGCTAAGGTCACCAAGCCAGGTTGAGTGGGAACCAGGTCAATAGTCTGGCCTGGCATGCTCCATGCGCAGATGCGATAGATAAGGGAATCCCGAGCTGCCCTTTTAGGTTATCGGTCGACAGCGGCCGGGGACTCCAGATCATGATTATCATCATCATCATCATCATCATCATAAAAGGAGAGATGTATATCTATAACCCTGTTCGCTGACATCGACCCGAGAAGGCCTGCCTGGCACCTCGCCACGAGGAGCCTAGCCAGGGGTTAAGGCGGGCAGGCAGAGGACGGCAGAAAGGAAGGAGACGACAATCATGCATGCGCGGTAAAGAACGCGAGAGAAAGCGACTAAGGCGACTAGACGGTGGGGGGGAGTTGGCCTCTAGTCCCCTGGCAGAACCACGGATATCGGTTAATGACCTCCATCCGGTAGGGTTCGGTGTGGAAGCACAATTCAGCTTCGATTCCCAAGAGACTCCAGTACGGAGTACGTAGCGGGTCTTGCCGCCGCTGGCCTTGAGCTGAGAATGTCGCAGACTGAGTGCACCTCGATCTGGCTCGGAGGGGTTCAAGAGGGACGGAATCTCAGGTGTGTATCAGATGAAGAGCACGATGGGGTCATCACTCTAGGCTCCGATGGACTGATGCATGTTTCTCCTCCTTCTCCTCCTCCTTCTCCTCCTCCTCATCATCATCGTCAACCTCTTGCGGAGAAGCGATCGACGGGCAGTTGCAGGTGGGGATTACCGTACGGTACCTGGCCCTAGGTACAGTACGTCCAGGACCGACAAGATTCCTCCGTACGCTAATGCCCATCCCAATCTTGAGGCCATCCACTTGGGATAGCCTCTGCTTGTTATCGCCAGGGCCATGGCATCATCCCATCATTCCACCATCCCAATCCCATGGGAACCCTCAAACCCCTCCCGAGACATTCTGGAACGAGCCAGCGCGTCACGCATGGCAGACTTCAGGCCGTCCAGTCCAGTGGCCACGAATCCATGGTGTGTCCAGTCAGCCGTGAGTCCTCCGTGCCTGGCGATCGGGCGCTGGGCGCGTCCCGGGCCTCCACCGCGTGGTGGGAACTTGAAACTGCAGGCCTCTTCACGCCGCGCAGCCTGGCCAGGGCCAGAAACGGTCGACTACTGCGAACTGCTGCAGCAGTTCGACTTTTGCAGTACATATGTACATAGTATTACTGGCAGCAGCAGCAGCAGCAGCAGCAGCAGGAGCGATCTCGATTTCGTCATCAGTGGAGGTCAGCGCTTAAGGATGAAGGATGTCGAATGTCGAATGGTATCCCTCCCCGGTCGCCGTCAACAGCAGCTCTTACCGGTGCAGAACAGCAGATCTGCGTCATCCGGAAATTAATTCATGCACCTGAATCATTAATCATCGCGACGGCCACAACACCTTGGGAACTAGTTGCACTCTATATTGAATTTAAACCTCTCCAGGTCTCATCAATGGCTGGATCTGCCCCCATGGGTTTGGTGACGGCGCCGGTGGTAAGTAGATAGACTGGTAGCCAGATCATTTCACTGTCCCAGTCAAGGCTGACTTCTCGGAGGTGGACGCCATCCGAAGTATCGCCAGATATGGAGTAGATACTTATAGTGGCCTCGGAATATAAGAGCCTCTGCTATAGCCTATCTCATGCCACGATCTGACCACCGGGAGGACGACAAGATGGAGGCAATTGCTCCGGACGGGAGGCACTTCACTTACACTTCCAGTGTCTCTGGGATGTAACAAACTTAGAACCAGCCGCTCGTCGAAAAGGAGAGGGCGATTGGCGTGTTTCCATTGGATCGTGCCGGTTTTTCCTCCACTGCCACCCCTTACCCGAGTCGCCAATCAGCCGCCGTGCTGGGGGTTGCCATCGCCTTTTACCAGACGAGACGGCTCCACTGCCCCCTATTGCTGTGCTCCAGTCATCGTTTCTCATAGGTTGGAACCGGGTCAAGTTATCGTTCCAGAAAAAAGAGGGAATGGGAAATTGGAGTCCAGGTTTAAAAAAAAAAAAATTGAAAATTAAAAATCAAAAATCAAAAATGAAAGAGAGAGTTACCTTTCCTCAGGCCTACGGCCAGTAGTAGCAGCAGGTACCGACTCCGGGATCCTCTACCGTATCAGCCTGCTGCAATTCCCCTCCCCTCCTTTTCCCGGTCGTCTTGCTGTGCTTCTGCTTTTGACTGCCTCAGAACCGACCTCACCTTCCAATCCTTCCCTTCTCTTGGCCCCTCTTTTCCTTTGCCCGACTGAATCTTCCCCCCCTTACACCTGTTGAGCTTAATCCTTTCCCTCCGACCTTCAGCCTCGCTCGCTTTCTCTCTCTCTTTCTTTCGTGTCTCATCCATCCCCCTCCTCCTCCCTCCCCCCCCCCAAAACCCCAACCCTCACGGATCGGGATAGACGAGCATCTACTATCATAATCCCTGGTTCGACTTGGACTTTTCCTTTCTTTTCTTTTTTTTCACCTCCTCCTTTCGCTCTTCTTTCCTACCGGCCATCTTGCTGGATTAACCTTGTTCAACCACCGCGCGATTGGTGTATTCCTGTTCCACCTTCCTTTCGCCTCCTTTCCGCCTAGTCCCAAAGGCTCCGCGCTTATATTTGATTTTTCCCCTGCCGCCCGTTCCTTTGCGTCCGCTTGGCCTTTAGTAATAATACCATCCCCGGGTTAATCCATTCTTCTCCTTCTCCTCCCCCGTCGGAGTCTGATATATCAAGTTCTCGAGCAAGGTGAGTGGTTCTTTCGCCGTCTGGTCCTCCCAGTTCCCACATCCTTTGCCCCGGAATCCTCATGGTGGACGGTGCTCTCAAGCCTTCCGATTGACGCATCAGCTGCACCTCCTTGCGTCAGCACGATCTCTGACCCTGGGAAGCCTGCTGCTGCTGCTGCCTTCTTGCTTATCCTTAATTGGATTTCAAGTGGTTGCCCTTGGGATACTGATTGTGGCTCGTTCCGTATCCAACCACGTTCAATGCGGGCAGGGGGCTTTGCTTCATTTCAATCTTACAGTACGCGGAGAATTCCATGACTGACATCCTTCCTCGCGGACAGGCTCGCTACTCTTGACGCTCACTACCACCCACCACTCCCCCCACTACCCACTAAACTTTTCGCCAATTACTCCTACGTTCCTTAATCACCGCCAAAATGGGTTGTGGCATGAGTACCGAAGACAAGGAGGGCAAGGCCCGCAACGAGGAGATCGAGAACCAGCTTAAGCGGGACAAAATGATGCAGAGGAACGAGATCAAGATGCTGCTGCTGGGTATGCGCCTTCTATCTCCGTGCATTCTTCGCATGGCCTTCGCTGGGACGCGCCGTTAACGATATCTTCATAGGTGCTGGAGAGTCCGGAAAATCGACCATCCTTAAGCAGATGAAACTGATCCACGAGGGCAGCTACTCCCGCGATGAGCGCGAATCCTTCAAGGAAATTATCTACAGCAACACCGTTCAGTCTATGCGCGTCATCTTGGAGGCTATGGAGTCGCTCGAGCTGCCCCTGGAAGACGCTCGTAACGAGTACCACGTCCAGACCGTTTTCATGCAGCCCGCCCAGATCGAGGGTGATAACCTGCCCGCGGAGGTCGGCAATGCCATTGGCGCTCTGTGGCGCGATAGCGGTGTACAGGAGTGCTTCAAGCGGTCTCGCGAATACCAGCTGAACGATTCCGCCAAGTAGTAAGTGGCACATCTGCCCGGTCTCATCGGAATTGCCATTAACCGAACCCTTAGCTACTTCGATGCCATCGACCGTATCGCCCAGCCCGACTATCTCCCCACCGACCAGGATGTTCTCCGCTCGCGTGTCAAGACTACCGGCATCACGGAGACTACGTTCATTATCGGCGACCTGACGTACCGCATGTTCGACGTCGGTGGTCAGCGTTCGGAACGTAAGAAGTGGATCCACTGCTTCGAGAACGTCACGACGATCCTTTTCTTGGTCGCCATCTCCGAATACGACCAGCTGTTGTTCGAGGACGAGACCGTCAACCGTATGCAGGAAGCGCTTACCCTGTTCGACTCGATTTGCAACTCCCGGTGGTTCGTCAAGACCTCGATCATTCTGTTCCTCAACAAGATCGATCGCTTCAAGGAGAAGCTGCCCGTCAGCCCCATGAAGAACTACTTCCCCGACTACGAAGGTGGTGCCGACTACGCCGCCGCGTGCGATTACATCCTCAACCGCTTTGTCTCTCTCAACCAAGCCGAGCAGAAGCAGATCTACACTCACTTCACATGTGCTACGGATACCACGCAAATCCGTTTCGTCATGGCCGCAGTTAACGGTAAGTCCCCGCATGCATCCGGTGATTCCGGTGATGGAAGACTGACTTCGTCCAGACATTATCATCCAAGAAAACCTGAGACTGTGTGGTCTAATCTAATGACCGGTATATCTCGATCGAGTGCGAACCTCTCGACATTTAGACCGTATGCTATGTGACTTGTAATCTCGTCTTTTGCTCTTTGTCATACCATGTCGCAATTTGTTTTTCTTTTTCCTTTTTGAGAGACCCTGGCGTTGAGACATTCACTTGTCTATCTTACTAATTCCCTATTTCCTTTGTCTTGAAATGATATCTAGCCGGCTCTTCGTTATCAGCATTACCGATATCCATCCCATGACACAGAGCAGGAGTTGTTTCCCTTGGCCATTTCCATTTTGTTTCCTTCCTCTGAGCCGCGGGCGCCCGGTGGATGATGTCCACCGAGTCGGCTCGTGTCTTCTTTTCTGTACCCATGGGATTCCCGCGTCGTTCGATTTTTCTGGGCTCATCTTCCTCCGTGTCTGCGTTCCCCCCTGACCCCTCCTTCCGCTTTCATTTCGTGTGTCTTGTTTTGCCGCTGGATATCCCATCATCTCTTGGTGCTCTCATCCGCAATTCTGTGTGTAACCATATATCACGCATTCTCATCTTGGTCTCACGTGCACTGGGGAGGGCAATGAACGGCGAGCGGGCCATGGGCACGGGGAATATGGCAGGGTCCGCCCGAGTCTCATGTCTTTTTCTTCTCATGTGTCATGCCGGGTCGGTCATTGGGTCATAAGTCAGAGTTAAGGATTGTGAACTACCTCTTCCGTCGTAGGGGCTGTAGCGTAGGGTCGATGACAGGGGTCTGCCTGATAGACGCATCCCAAAGCATGGGTATAGATATATTAAATTGTCGTGCTCAGACACCGCTTTAGCAATGTTTACATCCTTCTAGATAAGGAAGTCGGCCAGTAACTGCGATACGATCTCCGCACAGCGGATCCGTGGACCACCCAGCCCCAACCAAGCATGCACTAGATACATACATACACAGTATGACAGCCGCAACAGCAAATCAAAACCTCAACTTGGGCCCCAGAAAGACGATCAGAATCGCGACCACCCACAGTCCGAAGATCCACGCATACAGCATCATCCGTCCCCACCAGCCCTTCCCCTCCGTCATCCGCCGCAGCATGCCCATGCGTCGCTCTGCCGCCTGCATGTTACCCGTCGTACGATCTAAGCCGTCGACCGCCCGCGCCAGAACGGACTTCTCCGCCTCCAGGGACGAATGGAACGCCTGTGACGATGACTTCAACTGCGATGCCAGCGCAAGTAGCGAGGTTGTCAGGTCTTCCTGTTCTGCCCGGTGAGAGGAGAGCGTGTCTTCTGTGGCTTGCAATCGGGCGGTGGAAGAGGGCGATGATGAAGGTTGTGGAGAGGTTGGGGTTTCATGAAGAGAGGATCCAGTTGCGATTGCGGTTACTGTAGACGAGGTGGTGGTGGGGGCGTTGGATCGATTGCGGAGGGTAGATGGGGGTGGAGGAGCGGGGGTTGCTTCTGAGGGTGGAGGTGTTGCTTCGGTTGTTGTTGCTGTTGTTGTTGTGAATAATGTTGCTGGTGTGGATTCTTTTTCTTCTGTAGCGATGTCGCGGTCATCCCTTTCCTCGTTTGATAGTTCATCCGTGGTGCTGCCCTCCTCTGGGGTGCCAAGGAGGTCTTCGCTGTCTAGGGAGTCTTCTTCTTCCTCGTCGATGTGGTGGGCGGATCGAGCCTCCGCTTCGGAGGTGAGTTCATCGAGGACATTTTGAAGTCGTTTGAGAATTTGCCGTTTACGTGCTAGGTCGTTCTGCAGGTCGTTGCGACGATCGGTAGGTTTGATTTGGGGGAGGGTGTGTTCGAGGCTTTGAAGATGGGTGCGGGCGTATTCTATGTTCTATGGGGTTGTTAGTTTGAGTGGAGCTGGTGGGAGGATGGTTGGGGGAAGGGAGGGGGGGGGGGGGGAGATGTCCTCGTTATAAAGTGAGGTCGAGGTGCAAAGTGCAGTGCAAGTGCAGCATGCAGGAGGGGAGGGATGATGTAGACGTACTGCTCCAACTCTCATGCGCTGGTACTCTGACCGGCGTAATGGCCTCAAGTCCGCGGCTGAGGAGAGGAGATTATGCTCGAGACGGGTGAACAGGCGAGAGAGGTTGAGGATTGCGAGGTCCGGAGAGTCCGGGGATGAGGCATACGTCGTGAGCGTCATCTTCCCTGGTCCTGCTGAGTCTGGGCTGGCGAAGAGGGAGGAGGGGAAGCGTTGGGCATGAGTTCTTGTTGGCATCTGGTGACGGGGTTCCTGTAGATCGGCTGACTCAGCCAGATATAGAGGTGGCTCGCTAACCCCAATCCGGCAGTCACGAACTATAGCGAGAAACAAACCAAAACCAGGCCGCCGGCTGGCTTCTTCTTCTTCTTCTTCTTCTTCTTCTTCTTGTTCTTGTTCTTGCGCCTCTGCTGGACGGATTAGAATGCGGGGAATCCAGATTACCATCATCGTGGAGGTCATCAATCGTCATTGAAATGCTAAACTAGCTGAAGCAAAAGTAAACTTAAACCACAGTCTGCCGCCCTTTTGGGCGCCGTCCTTGGGACAGGCGCCTCATGCTACTAGCCCGAAAATAAGAAGCGCATCCTCCCGGGAAACAGAACATGGAACGAAACTGCAAAAGCCAACAAACAATCGAAATCAAGGATGGAAGCCACGCCCGGAAGGAAACAAAATGCATCACTCTTGAAGAAGAAAACATCAGACCATCTGTCAGCTAGCTATACTCGATCATCAACCGTCGCCAGGACCGCATCCCCTCCTCATCCGCATCGTGCAGGAATTGAACTGCATAGCCGCATTTTTGAGAGGGTTGGGCCCCGATAAGGTTTGCAATGCTGGGGACCCCCTGTTCGTGGCTGCTGGCATGCCACTGGGCCGGCGCCAGAGACCCGGTCTGTCGCGGAGGATCTGACACAACGATGGCCCCGTGAGCTGGCCCTTCCTCAGATGACGAGTCACCGAGGCGACCATCCATGGCCGCGGTGGGTGCTGCTGAATGATGGTCCTGGCCAGGGGCGGAGGCGGCACACCCGAGCGACGACGGCACCAGATGATCCTCCGGTGGATATGGTTGCTTTGTCCAGTTGGTCCGCTCCCGGGCCAGAACCGCAGCCAGATAACCACTAGAAGGCAAGGGAGACAGATGGGACAGGGGCTGCAGGATATCACAGGCGGATGGGAATGGACCAACGCTATGGGAGGCTGGGCCTTTGAGATAGGCTACGCCGTAGCCGTGGCCCTGGCCCTGGCCCACTGCTGCATTATTGCCGACGGGCTCGTCTTCGCCACCACCACCCGTACCACCATGACCACGCTTCTCGGAAGGAGATGATGGCGGTGGATCCATCATTTGCCTCTCTAGCGGTGCGTAGGCGTAGGATCTATAGGCTCGCCGGCGGAGACGCTGCGCTAGTAGGACCAGAATGCAAATTATGCTGGCCACCACGTAGAGAAAGGCGAGAAAAAGGATCCGGAGGTCTTTCGGGCTGGCCGATTCATGGCTCAGACAGCGCATTGCAGATGATTTTCTATTGTGTTGGCTCCTACTGGGGTGCAGTAGGATACTAGAGCCGCGCACACACAGACTAACGCTTTCTCCCGTCGTCGAATGAGGCACAATTGGGTTTCTCTGGGGGCTCAGTAAGTACTGGGGACACCTTTGGAGGGGGAGAACAGTGTCACCCGCGCGATCAGGAAGAGTGATTTGTACCGAGGGAGTTGAATCTCTGGGTAATCGATCCGACGTGGCTTTCTATCTAGAAATGATCGGTCCGCGAGGCAGGGAGGGAGAGGCACAAGGCGGACAACTTGAAGGTTCAAACACGTCGCAAAGCAGTCGCAGAGATACCGCAAGCGAGGAGGAAAGAAAGCAGATGGATTACGATCCAGCTTCGACGACTTTTTTTTCCTTTCAAGGATGAGATCTGATGATACTTATAACTGAGACCGGCATGGCGCAAGCAACGCGCATCAACAAATCAAAAGAAAACAAAGCACTGGTCTCAGGACGACCCGGTGAGGGAATTCCCATAGTCTGATATTATATAAACCCAAGGAGAAATGGAAGCGACTCCACCATGCAGGGACATCTACACCCGTATAGTGGGATCGCAACATGTTTTGAAGCTCCCATTGCGGCTTCGCTCTAGACTACGTATGGACAGCGGACGAGCAGCGAGAAAGGAGGAGGGGGGCCGCCCCTCCAGGTCCAGCTCTGTCATGATCAGCCACGAGAGCTTATGCAGTAATTCGAACCCACGGGAATGGGGACTTCCACTGCAATGTACCACCGTCATAGGACCAGGAACGTCTTGGATGCAAGGCAGGTTCAGCTGTCCAGCTGGAGCGCCACATTCAGTACATCGGCTGGAGGAGGGCCCAGGGCCCGCTACTAAGTCACTAGGGGGAGTTTTAGCGAGAGCTACTCCCTCTTAGCACCTCCCCGACGGACTATAAGGCGACCTGGCCCGGGTGAGGCTCGAACACTGGTCGGTCCAGAGGGGGTATCTAGGCCAGAGTAAGGCCGAGAAAAGAGTGGAGTTTGGGGCCAACGAGAGTGGAGGAAGTCGTTGGACTGATCCAGTTTGAGATATACAAATTGCTCACGGACCAGATAGGGATTCCCTCGGTCAGGTGTGGTCAGGTGCTCTCGTCCGTAAGATTACGGGTACGGGGTAACTTTACCCGGCCTCGTGATGTCGTACAGCATACAGCGTATAGTCACTCTTCCATCTCTCTCCCTCCTCGCCTTTTCCCTCCCACCTTCCCTTTCCCCTCCCATTTCTCTCTCCCTCTCTCTCTCTCTCTTTCTCATTCCCTCTGCTTGTCGCTTCATCTGTCCGTCGCTCCCCATTTCCATTCATGGCCCGTCTATCTCAGCTGCGCCTCCCCCCGAACTGATCGTCTGGATGGCCGCAGATCCAGTTCGATTCCCACGGTTACCGGCGTCTGACCCGGTGGGGGGGGTCGGGAACATAGTTATCAGCTCGCCATCGCAAGGTGGATTCGGGCTCCATGAGACATTCCTTGAGTCCTGACATTTGACACGGACAGGCTGCTACTTTTCTTCCCGCCGCCTTCGCCTGAGATGGCGATTCAGGGACGAGATCTGTCGCCGGCGCCCCAGTGTGGCGGTGTCATCGGCGATCAGTGTGGCGCCGATTTGCCCTGAGGAAGCCCTCGATTGCCCGGTCTACTCGCAAGACAGCACACCATTTGTGGCCCGGAACCATTCTCCATCGACGCTCACCCCACTAGCCTGGATTTGATGGGTCTGTCATAGTGTTTCGTCGCGATGTTATTGCCCCAGACTGGTAGCCTACGACCCAGGTACCGGGTTTTCCCCAACGCACGCCGGCGATCCAATATTGAGTTCTCATATCTATTCCAAATCCTACGCTGCACTGTACCCCACTAATAGCAATGCTCGGATCTGAAAACCCCCTTGATGGCCACTGATGAGCACGCCACGTACGCGGGAAAGTTGAATAGACGGCGAATGGGATTCAGACAAGTGCAACATGAAATGGGTGGTCCAGCGCAGTCTACAGTCTAGCGGCGATAGTGTTCTTCTGCATCTCCTCCTTAGCCCGATCGCGGAGCACCTTTCGCAAGATCTTTCCCGAAGGATTTTTCGGGATCGCATCGACGAAGATTACCCCTCCGGTAATTCGCTTGGTCGCGGACACTTTGCCGTCCATAAATGCCACAATCTCCTTCTCGGTGGCGGTTTGTCCGGGTTTTAGTACAATATATGCCCGCGGGCCCTCGTCATCATTTCTATTTGCCAACCTCGTATTAGCTCGTTCGCTGAGATGGAGCCACCAAGAACTCACCTGGGCACGCCAATTACTGCAACGTCGGCCACTCCGGGATGCTCCAACAGAAGAGCTTCTAGCTCGGCCGGTGCAACCTGGTTGCCTTTGACTTTGATTAGCTCCTAGCGCAAAGATTCCAGTTAGCATCGCGCAACACGACAGAAGCAATGTATTGGGTATCGGCTTTCGCCGGGGGGTGGCAAGTCAGATTTTTGCTCTCTCAGCTTACCTTCTTTCGGTCAACTACATGGAACTTGCCGCCATCATCGACGAAGGCGATGTCTCCTGTCTTCAACCATCCGTCCTCCGTTTTGGTCTCCCTCGTTGCTTGCGGATTTCTCCAGTAGCCCTTCATGATATTGTGGCCTCGGACCCAGAGCTCACCGCGCTGATTGCGTCCCAATTCCGTCATACCATCGTCGGCCATTATCTTCGCCTCGCAATTGGCATTCAGCTCTCCAACTGATGCCGACTCTGATCTCTGATTGGGGTCCCAGCCTAAAAGGGAACACGTAGTTCTTGAGGAAGAAAAAGTCTGTCAGCCTGCAGGTCCTTCGCCACCAGGCGTACGCAAACAACGGGCTATTGGTCATCAGAACAGCAGTACATACTCAGTCATGCCCCATCCCTGCTTGACATTGATGCGTCCGGGCTCCCACATTGCCTCTATTTCCACGCAGACCTCTCTCCCTAGCGGTGCGGCGCCGCTGAACACCCCCTCCACACTGCTCAGGTCATATTTGCCGCTCCGGACCGCAGGATGCTTGGCCAATGCAACCACCACCGGTGGGACCACGATGAGGTCGCTGATGCGGAACTTGCCCGTATATTCGAGCATCTTGAGGAAGTCGAACTTAGGCATGATGTACACGGGCACGCCACGCTGTAGAGCGGCTGCGATGAAGATGGCCTGCGCCATGGCGTGGTACATGGGAAGGAAGCAGAGCCAACGTGTGCGGGCCTGCTTTTCCCTCCAATGCGGGTGAAGGTAGAAAAGATGGTTGTACTGCATCATGTTGGCGACATAGTTCTTGTGCGTGATCTCCACACCCTTGGGTTTCCCGGTCGTGCCACTGGAATAGTTCAAGGCGAGAGTACGATCGGCCATGTCCGAAGTGGACAAGTCATCCCAAGTGAACTGGCTGCCTTCGTCAACGGATGCGATCAGCTCGCCCCAGTAGCGGCAGCCCTTCGCGCCTTGTCCTTGGCCATCGAACACGACGCTGTTGAAGAGAAATATGCGATCTTGGCTTAAGCCAGCCAGCCTCGCTGCTTCAATTCCCGTGTCCAGACTCGCCTCCGCACAAATCAGATATGTTGCGCCAGAATCTTGCAACTGATACGCCAGCTCCCTGGCGACGTAGGTGGGATTGGCGCCGGAGAAAATGCCGCCGGCCATGGTGGTTCCGAGGAACACGACGGGGAAGAAGAGGCTATTGCCGGAGAAGAGCAGCACACGATCGCCCGTCTGCAGCCCGCTCTTGCGCAACCCCGCTGCAAACCGTTGACACCATAGTCGGAAGTCGTGTGTCGTCAGGTAATGCGTGTCAGGGCGTGCCGCCTCCGAGAAACACCGATGCGTCTTGGAGAGGGGATGCGTCGGCGACGTCAGCAACGCCGACGCCAAATGCGCATTGGGGATCTCAAGCTGCCAACGCGATTTGAACGGCATTGCGTAGTTTATAAGGGTCGTCGTATATTACTCTGCTAACTCAGTGTGCCCTGTCAGTTACCAAGATACCACAACCCAGATAAAACAGTCAGGGAACCTCACATCTATCAAGAACAATGCCCCACAGCCAAACAACTCACAAGAAGGAAAACCCCGGGGGAAATAAGGAAAATGCACGATATATAAACTGCAACACAACCGCCCCCCTGTCATGCATAACGATTCATAACCCGTATCGCAAGCAAGCAACCAGCCAACCAACTGAAATTCTCGACCCCGAATCCCTGCTTTTCGGGTGTTGGTTTCCCCATCCGAGCTACGTGGTTAGCGGAGCACGCAGAGCTCTCCCCGCAGTTTGAGAGGAGCGGGGGCGCGTAGAGCGATCGGTTATTCGGTCGGTTATGAGGTTGATCGACCCGAGGAGGGAAAAAGGAGGGGTGCTTTCCTTCTACCGAGGTGATTTGGGTTTGGGTGGCAAGTACGGATTACCACGTAGATGGTTGTGCACGGTTGTCAAGAAGGACCGGTGTATCTGGTGTATGGTGTGGTGCCTTAAGCTGTTGGTTTGGTTGAGGGGATCAATCAGGTTCTACTTAGGTAGGTGGGTGGGTGGGTGGGTAACTTAGTAGTAATGTAGGAGGTAAGGGGTGGGTGCGGGTGTTTATTTCCGGTGTCCGGAGATTATGGTAGAACCGTAAAAGGTGCCAGGCCCGTCCAACAGATGGGACGTATCTACGGAGTACTACTGGGACCTGGGATTAGATGAAGGTGGGACAAGGGCGGCTGCGTGCAGCAAGGTTGGATGGGGATGGATACCAACCGGTCAGTACATACGGAGTAAGTAGTATAAGCGTCCGTGAACATGTGTATAATTTACGAGATCTACATAGTACACTCCCGCCGCACCCAATATATGCATGCTAGTTGTATTGAAAAAGAAGAAAGAAAGCAAGCAAGCAAGCAAGCGACCCCTAAGTCATTGACCAGATAAATCATAATGAAATAAAAAAAATATCCAGCCCCTCAAACAGCTATAAACACCATTTCATTATGCCTCGTCACCATCGCCCCCAAGGCACGCCAACGTTGCCTTCAGCTCGCTTACGATCTTCTCCTCCAGCCGACTCTGCGCCCCCGAGGAGGCGTCGACCGGCTTCTGGCGAGCCAGTTCCAGTTCCTTCTCGCTTGTGGCGGTGATCCGCGTCCGGAGATTCTGCTTCCGTTCGAGAAGCTCTTCGATGTCCTCCTTCACCTGTGCTTTGTCCCATTTGAGTTCCTGGATCGACTGGGCATCGATTCCGAGGCTGGCTCCTGCTTCGCGGAATCGGGACAGGATGTACGAGATGAGCGCGAGCGAGTATGCCTCGGAAGCCATGCTCAGACTGATCCGGCTGGTCGGAGCGGCGGTACGACTGGCCGCGAAAGACTCGGTAGCTCGTTTGAGTTGGCCTTCGAATTGGTTGAGGAAAGCGGCTACCTCTGGCGCAATGCGGACGACGTGGTAGAGGAGGTTCAGGCACAAAGGAAGGATTCCGCCTGTCCAGATGGAGTACAGCCGGGGCACAGGGTCGAAGGGACCGAATCCCTTGGAATCGCGCAGGATGTTCGTTAAGCGGCAGGTGGAGAGCCGGACCAGCACCACCTCGACCGCTAGGTGTTCCGCTAGCATAGGGATAGTAGACATTTTGACGAGTAAAGACATGCTGAGTTCGCCGTATACGGGGTCACCGGCCACTGCGAGCTGGTCGGCCCATGAGAACAACGACGTCGCCATTCTCGCGGTGTCATTGTCGGCAATGTGGTAGACGATGTGCTCATACAAGCGGTCAACGTGTTTCACTTGTAATGAGCTCTGCAGTATTGCGATGAGGATGGCGAAATCTTTCGGCGTGCACTTGTCGGGTTGATCATGCAGGTACGTGGTTAGGGCCTTGAACCCTTGCGCTACCACGACTTTCACAATCTCAACAACGATACTCAGGTCCGACGAGACCTCGGGTTTCTTGGTAAGAGTCTCGGGCGCGGTTCGAGAAGGTGAATCCAGATGGAACTGGAAAGCAAGGAAGAGGACATTTAGAAGCGATCGGTAGTACTCCGTGTCGTCGTTGATCAATGCATCCTCGTACGTTGCACGACGAGTGCGTAAGGCATCCCATACGACCTTCAGGAGACCGAAGACTTCGGCGCCCTTTGCTCCAATCGCTACTAGTCGCTGGAGCAGAGCTTGGGCGAAGTCGACCCGAGTTTGTTGAATTCTCTCGAAGATGGCTTCCTGGGGGACGCCCCTGGTGTTGGCTTCGAGGCAGCTCTGCACAACAATGGCCATCGATTTTTGAACCTCACGGTCCGTCATAAAGTCTGCAGAGTGCTCGACGGCGAAGAATTTCCAACTATGGAGGAGACTCTGCAGAAATCCAGGAATTAGCTATTTCACATCCACGGGTGTTGGTTGAAACCTACCACTTGTGCCTCGACCAAAGACAAATTGAGATTGGCCCGCTGGAATTCTTCGGCAAACCCTTGGTTGCGGCTTCCAGTCCACGCGAAGTCATGGGAGAGGAGCTTTTTGCCGAGGTGGATATCGTAGTAGTATTCTTGGCCGAGATAACGGGACTGCAAAGAGGTTCGCTTGAAGTCGACGAGCTTGCACCCGGCGTACCTCATCTCAAAGTTCTTCTTGAGGTTGGCATGGAGGGAGGCATTGTACCCGGACACTTCGACCGCGTCCTTAGCAAACCAAGACACGAGCGGAATCAAGGTCTTATAAAAGCCTGTGTCGTGCATTTCCTTGGCAGAGTGCAGATAGACGGCACAAATATCGGCCACGACAGCTGCAACCCGAGTAGCAAAGATTTGGTTGGCCATGGACAGAGACGATATTTTCAGCTTCGAGACGTAGTTAACGAGGCTGGTGAAGAAATTGGCGTGCTTCTTCAGTTCCGGGGTTGCCCACGGCCAATTTTCCTGTGCATGGGAGACGAATTCGAGCAACGAGACAGCCAGCTGGAGGTCAAGCTGCTCAATATGTGACAGCATATCGAGGGCAATCTGCAGGAAGGGGGCGCCCCTCATCGCTACGCTCTTCTCTTTGTCGGATTTCTTCAGCGACTGGCGAGGTGAAGTGCCCGTAAGGATGTAGACTGCCAGCCACTGCTGGCGCTTGCTGACGAGGGTTGACAGCAGGTGCCATATGGCCAAGTGCAGCTTAGAATCATTCAGCGGTTTGTCGAACTGCGCCAGGACATCGAGGAAGAGACAAGCGGATTCGGCTCCCAGATGGCCGACCAAGGACGGCGGCTCGTTGGCCGGATCCAGGGCTGCGCCTGCTATGAGAACGTCAAGGAGCGAAGCGACCGGGCGTCGATAGGCATCGTCCGAGGCATACAGTTTGACGAGAGCGGGGGTGGCCTTGAATAATTGGTCTTCCAACAGCGATAGGGGCTGCTCCAAGAGTTGCGCCGCCTGTAGCAGCCTGATCGAGAGCTCCAATGTTGCTAACACCTGCTTTTGCACGAGAGTCATGTAGCGGAGGTACAACGTCGACGGGGTCTGGAGGCCATCGACGATCAGGCGGAGGATGGAATTGAAGGGTAGATCGGCGGCCGACTTTGGCCGTAAGACATCGAGGAGATACTTGGCCGACGAAGAAAAGACGCCCGTGATCTTCGTATCTAACTTGGTGGTTTCGTTCGTGCCGTAAGTGTAGTAGAGTATTTTCTCAAATGCCGTCGGGAGTTTCGTAGTGATCGCGAGCCTCTGTTCCGGCGCATTGAACCTCCAATTGCCACAGCTATTGTAAACCTCCACCATGATCCGCACGAAATTCAACAGGGTTCCTCGCATCATATGGGATGGAACGCCCGCGGTCCAGTCGGAAGCGAGCATTGGCTTTCCATTGGGACCACTTGGGCTCCGTCTCAACACTGCACGGGAGGCAGTGTCATCAACAACAGCTTCGAACAATTGGACGCAGCCCAGCAAGAATGGGTAATCGCCCGACGTCACTTCTGCAGCAGAAACGATCGCCGTCATGATACCACCCTTGCCGTCGGAGCCCAACAAGCTACTGCGAGAAAGCAATGGCCACACCCTGCCCGGCAGAACATCGATGAGAATGCAGATAAAACGCAGGCAGGCGATTGTAGACTCCAGAATGGCCTCAGAGCCCGCTCTGGGCCCGATGTTGGATAGATTACGTTCGAAAATCTCAAATACCAGCGAGATAATGTCGCTTTGGCGGGATAGTCCATCGCTTGCAAGCTCCAGGATCCTTTTGGCACTTGACCCGTCCCCATTCTGCACTGACGAATCCTTGACAGCAAAGAGAAGGTCGGCTAGTAGCCCTATTGAATCTGCAACCGAGTCTTCTCCATAGCCTGCTGAGAAACCTCCGTTCTCATTCCATTCCTCTAGCCAACTTCCGAGGTAACTCAGGCAAGAATACTGGTGATGCCACATGACCACCGCAGGCCGCGACTCGGAAACGACTTGGCCGATGGCTGCAGAGGGGATTTGCGACGAGCCTGTTACAACCAAGGCATTACTGACCCCCTGCTCAGTGATCTGTTTTCGAGGGGACGAGCCGACCATTGGCAGCGACTGAATGAGAGTGACAAAGTTCGCGTTCTCGTCCTCTCGAATCGTTTCGTAGCCTTGGAATCCAGGGGGTACGACCTGCGTAAAGGAATCCATGTTCTCTAACTCGCCAAGTATATCCGGAAGACCTTCCTCGTTGACCAGATCTTTGCTAACCAATGCGCGGCACAGCTTCAAAAATGGCACGGTTTCATAAGGGAAGCGAGACCGCGCTATCCGAAAGATGTTGTCCATCATGGCCTCCTCCCTAAGAAAGATCGAACGCGGGTCGCTAGCGGGGGTTGACGGGGTGCCCTGAAGCCTTTGGGATTCTGCCGGTGGACCCTGAAGAATTGCCAGGACGGACTCAACGATCTCCGGAGAATAGTCCAGGTACACGATGGCGATGCGGACGAAATCTAAGAGTACGACCTGAACCCATTGACTTGTCAAAGGGTCATCGACTGCTGAGGCGGCTCCAACTTTGGTAGCTAGGATAAGGATCATTTCAAACACGACGTCCCTCATGGCATCTGACGTTAGAAGGGTTATTGACTCATCCGCAGTGAAATTAGGCGCACGAGCGTTCTCAAGTAACTCTTCGTATAGAGAAAGCTCCGAAGCCCGAGAGGAACTCGCTTGAGGCGTGTTTGACTGGAAAGAATCGACTGCACTGTGGAATTGCTCGAGCTCCCGACTTTCTTTGTCATTGAGCGCAAGCTCTCTCATGGTATGCAAGACCAGTCCCCAGGAGAACGCGGCTGGGTTAGCAGACTTCGCGTCTACACCTGCTGTCAAGAAAATCTCATTTATCTGGCCGATCTCCTCTTTACAGAGGTAGTAGGGTGCCTTCGTAGACAGGCTTTTCTGTGAAGAGTTGTTGATGATCGAGGGAACTGATATTGGTAGCTTCATGAAAGCGAGCGTTGTCAGGGAGACGAAACCCTGGAGTGGCACCAACAACTCCATAGGCTCCTGGCATGGCTTTTCCAAATCAGCAAGATCGCCACCTGGAGAACGGGGTAAAGTACTCACAACTCGGAGCGGTTCCAGAAAGCTGTAGTCAACCATGAGACGAAGCCAAGAGAGCAGGATGTCCGCAGCAGGAACCTCTGCGGACGCTTGAAGCTGCAAAAACAACATCTGCACTATATGTATTAGCTCCTCGATGAGAGTTGTCGCCCGCAAGTCTTCCACTTCCTGGTTGCTCTCGGCAGCGCCTAGCCAGCCACTATCACCATCTAGTGAAGACAACCGACTCCGCATAGCATCAATGCATCCTTGGTTGAACGTGCGCCAGCCTTCACCCTCGGATTTTCCTTTGAATATCGTGGCACCCAATTTGCATAACAGCTGAACGTGACGGCTTGAAGGTTGCTGGGAGAAAACGGTATCCTGAGTGTCGCTGAGATGCAGTCCAAGGAGTTTGCGTGCCAGCTTGACGACATGGCTTCTCTCCGACAAGTATAACGTGCGCAGGCGCAAGCGGCGATTGGCCTCTGAAGAGAAATCAGAAGCACCTTCTTCACGAGCTGCTTTCCGGTTGAGAATCTCGGCGAAGGCAGGTCCTGCGAGAGACACGCGGAGATTGTCACCTCCTGCTGCACTCTGGAGGCTTGTTGTTTCCTCATCGGCGAATCGCGTAAGAAGGCGCGTGGCAGGTCGGTTCTGCCATTCAAGAATCGTTAATCGAAGCGCGCTGATTTCATCGATACCCGCCTTTTCGCTCAGCCATAAAGCATCCGCTTTGATTTCCTTCAGGTCGTATGATGCTTGCGCATTTGTCTCCACATGGATCGCGGCTGTCTTCGAGTCAAAGTCCGATTTCGATTTCGCGGATGGAGAAGGGAAGGCGTTGAGGCAATTCGAAAGGATCTGGACGCTGTCGGGATGCGACAAGAAGGCGTGCAGCTTTTCGACATCATCGACATTGTTGTCAATATTGCATGTGTGAAGGAAGGCTCTCCTCCAGGACCTGGAGTGCACGGCGGGTTAGCGGCTGTTCCTCAATGGGCAGAGACGAATGAATGCGCGTACAGAAGCTGAACGTCCCCGGAGAAGCACTTGTCCAGGGACGGGAAATAGGCTTCCGGGACGGGAGCCATTGGCGAGACAACTATATCATTCTAGATGCCCTATGTGCTGCGAAAAGAGAGTGCTGCTCGCGAGGGTCCAAGGCGACAGAGACCCGGAGCAGATGAAAGGTTGATAGTGATAAACACACAAGAGCTCACAGCTCAAAGGCGGGAACCCAAGAATATTATTGCAGGAGCGGGTTTGGCTGGCGGTCTCCGGGCGGTGAGCGGAAATTTTGCGCCGTTTGCCTGCCCGCCCGAATCGGGAAGGCGATCCACCGAGGATCTGACTCAGGCTCGCCGTCGATGTTTGCTCCGCTGCCACTTTACTCCGATAGTGGCCAATTCATCTTATAAAGGTGAGTCGGTGGTTGTGGGCGCTGCATCCGATTCTTTGATTTGAAGCTAATCTGTCTTCAATCTCACGCAGACTCCCATCATGGCAGACTCCGGGCTTGTCGATCACTCCCCCCACCATCCCACCAAGGCCGAGAAGCTGAGCACCGCATCAAATGTCATCCTGATTGATAACTATGACTCGTTCACTTGGAACGTCTACCAATATCTGGTCCTCGAGGGCGCTACCGTTAATGTGTTCCGCAACGACCAGATCACTCTGGAGGAACTGATCGCCAAAAAGCCCACCCAGCTAGTTATCAGCCCGGGTCCTGGTCACCCCGAGACCGACGCTGGTATCAGCAGCACCGCAATCCAACACTTCAGCGGCAAAATCCCCATCTTCGGCGTGTGCATGGGGCAGCAGTGTATCATCACTTGCTTCGGCGGAAAGGTGGACGTTACCGGTGAGATCCTGCATGGCAAGACTTCGCCCCTGAAGCATGACGGCAAGGGTGCCTACGAGGGATTGCCCAGCTCGCTCGCTGTCACTCGCTACCATTCACTGGCTGGTACTCATGCGACCATTCCCGATTGTCTGGAAGTGTCGTCCTCCGTCCAGTTGGCGGACGACAGCAACAAGGATGTCATCATGGGCGTGAGACATAAGAAGTTGGCCGTAGAGGGTGTTCAGTTCCACCCCGAGAGTATTCTCACTGAGCATGGACGTACCATGTTCCGGAACTTCCTCAAACTTACCGCAGGTACCTGGGAAGGCAATGGCAAGCACTTTGAAGAGCAAAGCAGCACCTCCAAGGTCGCCGTGCCCGTCACTGCCCCTAAAACGGACAAAAAGTTGTCCATCCTGGAAAGGATCTACGATCATCGGAAGGCCGCTGTCGCTGTGCAGAAGACCATTCCGTCGCAGCGCCCAGCAGACCTTCAGGCTGCTTACGACTTGAACCTGGCTCCCCCGCAGGTCTCATTTCCCGCTCGTTTGAGGCAGTCGCCTTACCCACTGTCCCTCATGGCTGAAATTAAGCGCGCCTCTCCTTCCAAGGGTATGATCGCGGAACATGCTTGTGCGCCTGCGCAAGCTAGACAATACGCCAAGGCCGGTGCCAGTGTCATCTCTGTCCTTACGGAGCCTGAGTGGTTCAAGGGCAGCATCGATGACTTGCGCGCCGTTCGCCAAAGCCTAGAGGGCTTGACGAACAGACCTGCCCTTCTGCGGAAGGAGTTCGTTTTCGATGAATACCAGATCCTGGAAGCTCGTTTGGCCGGTGCTGACACTGTTCTGCTCATTGTGAAGATGCTCAGCGTTGAGCTTCTCACTAGATTATACCACTACTCTCGTAGCCTTGGAATGGAGCCTTTGGTTGAAGTGAACACACCCGAGGAAATGAAGATTGCGGTCGACCTTGGGGCTGAGGTGATTGGTGTCAACAACAGAGACCTTACCAGTTTCGAGGTTGATCTCGGTACCACTAGCCGGCTCATGGATCAAGTGCCCAAGAGCACCATCGTGTGCGCCCTCAGTGGAATATCTGGGCCTAAGGATGTGGAGGCTTACAAGAACGAGGGTGTGAAGGCGATTCTAGTGGGAGAGGCCCTTATGCGGGCAGCAAACACGTCTGCTTTTGTTGCTGAGCTCCTCGGGGGTACCACACAGGGCATTCCCAAGGAGTCTCGAAGCTCACCCTTGGTTAAGATTTGCGGCACCCGATCCGAAGAGGCGGCTCGAGCCGCGATTGAAGCTGGCGCAGACCTCATCGGCATGATCTTGGTCCAAGGACGAACGCGATGCGTCCCGGATGACGTTGCACTACGTATCTCTCAGGTAGTCAAATCTACCCAGAAGCCTGCCAGTCAGTCTGCTGCGACATCTCAAGGGACGCCAACTGCGGCATCTGTTGAGTATTTTGATCATTCTGCCGGAGTCCTTCGCCACCCTAGCCGGGCGCTACTCGTTGGCGTCTTCCAGAATCAGCCTCTGGAGTATATCCTGGATCAGCAACAGAAATTGGGACTCGACGTTGTGCAACTTCACGGATCTGAGCCGCTGGAGTGGGCCAAGTTGATCCCAGTGCCCGTCATTCGCAAATTTGGCCTTGACGAGCCCGCAATCGCCCGCAGGGCTTATCACACTTTGCCGTTGTTGGATTCCGGTGTTGGGGGAACTGGTGAGTTGTTGGATCGATCGCGCGTGCAGACCGTTCTCGAAAAGGACAGTGGTTTGCGTGTTATTCTGGCTGGTGGATTGGATCCTACGAATGTCGTGGACATCGTTCAAAGACTTGGTGAATCTAGTCGCAAGGTCGTTGGTGTGGATGTCAGTTCTGGCGTAGAGACCGATGGTGCTCAGGATCTCAACAAGATCCGGGCCTTTGTACAGGCTGTCAAAGGTCTCCAGCTTTAAGTCATTTCTATCATCCGTCCAGCATGTGATGCATAAACTTTGTTAGCTCTTTCTTCCTGTGATCTGCTTCTCAGAGATCAATCCTCTTGATACCTTTCGGGTCATTTATGGCCTTGATGCCTAAATGACACGAACACTTCAATCTTGCATATTCCTTTCGTCTTACAATAGCCTCAATATCTTTTGACGTGAAATCGCTTTTGGTCTACCCTCGTAGGACCTTCCTTAGCCACCCACTAAAGCATACTAGTATCACCTTACTCTTTACCCAGACCACTCTACCTCACCTTCCTCCAGCCTCCCTCGTGCTAAATCCTCCATTCATCTCAACCCCACCTTACTCCCTCTAATCCAACCTCTCCTACCCCAATCACCAAAATGGGCCAAACATTCAAGAAAATTCACGCCAGCTCCACCGGCAAATTCGACGGCAATTCGGACAAGATCCCCCAGTGGATTCGAGCCAACGGGGGACAATACTCCAAGGATGTTAGCGAGAAGATCACGCACCTAATCACCACCAAAGAAGCATTTAAGAATGATGTGGAGGCGAGTACGTGGATTTACTTCCCTCTTACCTTCGCTCCAATCTGTTTAGAAGGCTAAATTAAGGTATACCTGGCTAACATAAAGTAGTCCGTAAAGCAAAGCGATTTAAGAATATTAAGATCGTTTCATTTGATTGGCTGGAGGATTCGCTTCTGTCTAAGAATCGACGACCGAAGCGTGAGAAGAAGTATCTTTGGCACAATATACTTAAGAATGAGAGGAAGAGGAATAATAAAAAGGGGAATGATAGGGAAGAGCAGAAAATGAATGGCGAGAATGGCAAGAAGCGTGCGGGTGAGCTTATTCTTGTCATCTACACGGAGAGAGAAGAAGGTCGGAGCTTCATCGTCTGGGGTTCTGCTAACGAAACGATGCTTTAGATAAACCGGAGAACGAAGATCCGTTCAGAAAGAAGAGAAAGGGGGTGAAAGCCGGGACAGCAGTGTGTATGTTGTTGTCTTTTTCTTGCTCTCGGATGCTGGCGATGCTGACACATGTATGGTTTAGCAAGGTACCACCTCTATACGGATAAAGAAGCGAGAGTCACATACAGTGCTACGCTTGCGCGATTTATGCTGATGAGGAATTCAAGGGAGAGATACGTGGTCAAGGTGAGGAGGCTCTTGCTCTATATATCTTCTGTGTCGGTATAGCTATTGTCATTCCGATTGTCGGGATATAGTATTCGCCAGGAGAAGAGGAACTAGGTAGAGGTCTCGTTTTCTCCATAAGTAGTGTGCTAATTGGAAAATATGTATAGGTCTACGAATCCAACAAGGAACCGCACGTCTACGCCACACACCTCGAGTACAGTCGTATCGGGAAGCAGCAAAGCGAACTCTTGACTCCGCTGAAAGCAGATCGGGATACTGCAGTAAAGGCGTTCAAGACGCTTTTCTGGGACAAGACGGGTATTGACTGGGAGGAGAGGCTGGATGGGGTCTTTCCTTCATCCAAAACGGATGTTGATGGCAATTTACTGCCTCCTCACGAGGGCTGGTTCAACTACGAGAATCCAGGAGGCTTGATATCGAGTTTTCTTCGGGAGGAGGTGGTCGAGGCACCCGGTGATAGCTCAATGATTGGGAAACAAGGCCATCCACTGGATTCGCAGGGGGAGAGATATGAGTCGAATCAAGATGAGGAGGGCGAAACATCGGTGACTTGAAAAACATATGATTTGACCGGCTCGGACATAGAAATTTCGAGCCCCCTACTCAAGAAAAGACCCCGTTCGGCTAGCCCTAATTACGGCCGGGGCTGGCTATGTTGCCTGTTATATATTGTAATTAGGGATCCTTTGCAAGGACTAGTCCATTGTAAACCAATTCGAATGACTACAAGATGCTCTCGCAGATAGAACGTGGAATATAAGAATTTCTTTCAGATGGGTATACAATAGCGATCAGACATGCCAAATGTAAATGCCGCCCTTTGAGCTCCTTCCTAAACACCTCATGCGCCAAATCAGACTTTTCTTTTGCCTTCGTGAATAATTGTACACTGCCAGCTGAAAGCCACAGATGTCCTCGAGACAAACGCTGGCTCACAAATAATCCTTCTTCTTGCTCGTCCTGGTGTACTGGGTAAGAGCCCATTCGACATCGCCACTGGAGCCCTTCTCCAACGTTCCGCCGCGGATTTCGAACAGCCTCATTGTCATACGAGGACCAACTTCCGCCAGCTCAACATCCCGGTACCCGGTCTTGACAAAGACGTGGTGGCGCACCTCGATGCTGTCCTCCTTGTTCACAAAACTGACGACACGGTTGCCGACCTTGCCGGTCTCGCGCGGGGGAAATAGATGCTTCAAAATTTGGACCACGCGAAGACCCAGCTTAGTCGTGAATCCCTCGAAGATGAGGTGAGGGTAGCTCTCCGACACAGTTCCGCGGGCAGCGTCGGGGATATCCGCACGGAGAACAACATTGTGCAGGGAGAAGCTAGCAGTCGGGCCGTGGGGAAGGTGGGAGATTGTCATCGCAGTAGGCGTACCACGGTGCTCGTGCAGAAGGATCATATCCGTCAGTGCCGCAGCGTTGGCGCTGGAGATCAGGTCCGGAAGAACGAGGTTACCACGGTTCAGGCGGATGGAGGTTGGAAGGAGCAGACGGATCTCCTTAGCGAAGGTGCCCAGACGGACAGACGGAGAGCGAGAGGTGGTCACGATAGGACGGGGGTCGGCAATGCCCGATGTGAGGGCATATTCGTCGTCGAGATCAACCACGTCGTCTTTCTTTTGTTTGTCTGCCGGGGTAATGGATTCATCGTATTTGAAGTCCTCGCGCAAAGCTTTATCGTCTGCGACCGACGGATCGAGGGGCTTTCCGGAAGCCAGCGACGCCTTCAGCTGGGCGCGCTTTTCGGCGATGGAAGCATCGCGGAGAGTGAGAGCTCTCCGGTAGAGGTAGTCTCGACGCTCACGGGCTTGACGGCGCTGAATCGGCAGTTAGCACGGATGTCTCTTGCGCAGGAAGAAATTCCGCCCCGAAATTCGAGCAGCAACATACCAACATCGTGAAAATGGGGGGTTGGAAGGAAAAGCAGACGGGTTGAAAGACAAGAAAGGCGGGCAACTTTTTTTCTTCGGCAACTGCCGGTCTGGTCCGCCTTGGCCACCGGAACTTGGACTGTGTGGGATTTGGCGGCAACGACGCCGATGGCTGGCCTGAGCCGATCGCAAAATCATCCACCACCTGGTCTCGTGGATTGACACACGCCCCATTCACTTGCGTCAAGCTCTTCTGTGGTGGCAGGGCTCTGTGGCGTGAAGGTACGGCTGTCGCTCCCCGTGGCTTGCAAATTCACCTTCCTTCGTGAATCTGACTGAACTTAGTCTCATCTCATATACAGTTTGCCCCTCTGCTGTGGCACACTGGTGACCCCGACAAAGAGAACACAACATCCCCTGCTCCTCGACTTGGACAGTGACTGCTGTCGTGTCCTCCACACTCTTTTATCTTCTGGAACTACCTCGCGTGACCCTTCGGATTTGTGCATGACCGCTTAATCTTCGGTGACCTGGGCGTCTTTCGCTTCCGCTATTTTCGCGCTTTCTGACTTTACGTTGGGATAGCGATTGTCGAGAATTTGCCATCGGATATTATTCCCTAGATTACTATGGCGGCACTAGGTGATGACAGGATCGCGGCGGAGATGGACGACGCGGCCTCCCACTTCCGGCCGCGGAGGCATGATGATGACGATGAAGCTTCCGGAGACGACGATGTAGAGAGTACCACCAGTGCTCAGGCGGCTGACAGCAAGCACCATCAAGGACATCTAGAGGAAGAGAAGGAACTTCCGCCACATGCGTGCGCGTGAGTATATCGCCACCTCTTCCTATGCTACATCTCCACTGACGTTGAGGGTCTCGACAGGTATTGCGGCATTCATAATCCGAGCAGCGTTGTCAAATGCCTGGCCTGTAGCAAGTGGTTCTGCAGTGCCCGTGGTAACACTTCCTCATCCCATATTGTCAACCATCTCGTTCGAGCTCGTCACAAGGAAGTCCAGTTGCATCCTGGCTCATCGCTGGGGGATACGATCTTGGAATGCTACAATTGCGGAACTAAGAACGTCTTCCTTCTCGGGTTCATTCCGGCCAAATCGGACACCGTTGTCGTCCTCTTATGTCGTCAACCATGCGCTGCTATGCCATCTTCCAAGGATATGAACTGGGATACTTCGCGGTGGCAACCATTGATTGAAGACCGCTCGTTCTTGCCATGGCTGGTGGCTGCTCCGTCCGACCAGGAGCAGCTCCGGGCTCGCCACCTCAGCCCGCAGTTGATCGCTAAGCTGGAGGAGATGTGGAAAGAGAACTCACAAGCAACGTTTTCGGATCTGGAAAAGGCCACAGCTGTGGACGATGAGCCTGCCCCCGTGCTTCTTCGCTACGACGACGCTTTCCAGTATCAGAACATCTTTGGACCGCTGGTTAAGATCGAAGCCGACTACGACCGCAAGTTAAAGGAGTCCCAGTCACAGGACGGACTCATTGTGCGCTGGGACCTCGGTCTCAACAACAAGCATCTGGCTAGCTTTATCTTGCCCAAGCTTGAGCTTGGTGACGTGAAGTTGGCTGTGGGAGATGAAATGCGCCTCAAGTATACCGGTGAATTACGCCCCAAATGGGAAGGAGTTGGATATGTCATCAAGATTCCCAACAACCAGTCTGATGAGGTGACGATCGAGTTGCGGGCAAAGGGTGATCATAAATCTGTCCCTACCGAGTGCACGCACAATTTCACGGCCGACTATGTATGGAAGTCGACATCCTTCGACCGTATGCAGCTTGCCATGAAGACCTTTGCGGTTGACGAGATGAGCGTTTCCGGTTACATCTTCCATCGCCTCCTCGGACACGAAGTCGCGGCCGCGCCGATGAAGACCCAGATGCCGAAGAAGTTCAGTGTTCCGGGACTCCCTGAACTCAACGGCAGTCAAATCAATGCGGTCAAAAGTGTGCTGCAGAGACCTCTTAGTCTGATTCAGGGTCCTCCGGGAACCGGAAAGACTGTCACTTCTGCTACAATCATCTATCATCTCGCCAAGATCAACGGAGGCCAAGTGTTGGTGTGCGCCCCGTCCAACGTCGCAGTCGACCAGCTTTGCGAGCGTATTCACCGGACCGGTCTGAAAACAGTACGTGTGACAGCCAAGTCCAGAGAGGATGTCGAGTCGCCCGTTGGTTTCCTGTCCTTGCACGAGCAAGTTCGCATCAACGATACCAACATCGAACTCATCAAGCTCAATCAGCTCAAGGCTGAGCTTGGAGAACTATCTAGCCAGGATGAGAAGCGACTGAAGCAGCTCACTCGCTCGGCGGAGCGCGAAATCTTGAACAACGCCGATGTCATCTGCTGTACTTGTGTCGGTGCCGGAGATCCTCGTCTGGCCAAACTCAAATTCCGCACTGTCCTGATTGATGAGTCGACCCAGTCCGCTGAGCCAGAATGTATGATTCCCTTGGTCCTTGGATGCAAGCAGGTCGTCCTTGTCGGTGACCACCAGCAGCTGGGACCTGTCATCATGAACAAGAAGGCGGCCAAGGCGGGTCTTAACCAGTCGCTCTTTGAACGTCTTGTCATCCTGGGCTGCTCCCCCATCCGCCTGAACGTTCAATATCGTATGCACCCGTGCCTTTCTGAGTTCCCGTCGAATATGTTTTACGAAGGTTCTCTGCAAAACGGCATCTCTTCCTTTGAGCGCCTTCGCCGTGATGTGGACTTCCCCTGGCCCATTGCTGATAATCCGATGATGTTCTGGTCGAACCTGGGCAATGAGGAGATTTCGGCATCTGGAACCTCCTACCTCAACCGCACTGAAGCAACAAACGTGGAGAAAATTGTCACTCGTTTCTTCAAAGCCGGCGTGCAGCCCCAGGACATCGGTATCATCACGCCTTATGAGGGCCAGCGCAGCTATATCGTTAGCTCCATGCAAGCAAATGGCACGTTCAAGAAAGAGCACTACAAGGAAATTGAGGTTGCTTCGGTCGATGCTTTCCAGGGTCGTGAGAAGGATTTCATTATTCTTTCCTGCGTGCGTTCCAATGACCACCAGGGCATTGGTTTCTTGAGCGATCCGCGCCGTCTCAACGTTGCACTTACTCGTGCCAAGTATGGTCTGGCTATTCTCGGAAACCCGAAGGTCTTGTCGAAGCACCCTCTGTGGAACTGCCTTCTGCAGCACTTCAAGGAACGGCACTGTCTGGTTGAGGGGCCCTTGTCCAACCTTCAGGAATCTCTGATCCAGTTTAGCCGTCCCAAGCAGGCTTATAGAGGACCTCAGCGGTTCCAGATGGCGTACAACCATGCTTCTAATGTCACCAGCGGATTGATGAATGGAAGGAACGGTCACCGCAATGAATTCCATGACACCGGGTCCGTGGTCGGTTACATCCCCGACGATGTCTCTTCCGTGCACTCGTCTGCCCTGGGTGGGGTTGGCATTCCCTCTGGATACCCACCCATGTTCCAGAACTTCGCAGACTCGTGGCCCGCTCTCCCCGGAGCCCGTCGCGCCAATGGTAACCGAGTGAAGGGGGCGCCTAGCATTGCCGGCGAATCCGTAGCAGCCACCGAGTCTGATGTTACCGGCAGCATCATTGATGGCAAGAGCGTCGATCAAGGTGGTGTCAGCCTTGCTGGCTTGAGCATCAACGATATGGGCAAGCAGCCCAGTCTCAGCCAGTCGGATCGGCTGAAGCGCTACGTGGAGTCTGGTGGACGGGAGCCTTACAAGCCCGGGGTGCCCGACAACGGCAGCATTTTTGGCGGAAGCTCTGCTAGCATTCGTGTCACTCGTGGTGTGCCCGGGCACATTCACGACGATGACGATACCCGCAGCGTTTCCACTGCTTTCGCCAGCCAGGTCGGGGGCAACTATGACTGAGTGGGGAACAGTGATGCCCTTCGCGGTTTAGAGCGGGCCCAGCAGCTTGCAGCCTTTCCCGAAGCTCGGGGGACAACGGTCCGTCGAACCATCAGGTCATTCCAACATGACTCGACTCCTGGGATTCTACTCGACGTCATCCATGTCACCGTTAGACGTGAGACATCTGTAAGATTCAGGGAAGCATTGGCGAGCGCCAACCTTCAGCCATCTGGTGGGAAATGAGGCATTCCTCGGATTCTCTTCGTTGCTTTTATCGATATGGAAAGAGGCTGGTCTACAGGGGCTGCACACGGTTTCCTGCCGTTCCGACAAGTGATCCTCTCCAGTCAGATCCCAGGGCATGGTGCGCTCTGCGAGATGACCTGCCACTGGCGGCGACCGTTTAGTGCATATGCCCCGTTATCAGTATGGTTAGTCGCTGTCGACTATTGCCGTCGGAGAGAGTCAGTGGAATGTTTAGGCAATCTTTCAGGCTCGTGGCTGTACTCATGTACGGCTTCTTCGAGGCAGCTGACGAGTCCCAGCATTTCCGCCGACAGCCGGAAGCGGATGGCTCATCACCGATGATGCTACGCATTCTTATTCGTTGCCACTACTGCTTTACACGAAACTATTTTAAAATCCTATGACTGCCTATTTTCGTTCTTTGCTTTCCTCATCCTTCTCCGCGCTGTGGCATTGCTCGGGCGATGCGGTGGTTCTTCGAATCCCTGCCGCTTGGGAAGCCGGAGGATGTTCTCCTGAACACTGCCCACTGTGCCTGTATCTGTCATCCGATCTACGCGTATGTCTCGGACCTGACGGGCAATGCCGCTGGTCAAGTTGAATGAGCTGTTTAGTTCCGCATCCCAATCAAACCCATTGCCGTTCGTTATCACACCGCCTCGTAGTTCCAGCAGGATCCGGCAGAGCTGAGGATCGTCTGCAGGATGAATAGGCACCCACGTATCTCGCATCCTTGGCAGCGGTTTGGCATTTCTAGATTGATGGCGGATCTGGCCGACGGTCCACCTTCGCTGCAGTATCCGTAGATAGCGGCCATCTTAGCCGACTCCGCCACAGTCTTGTCTTGCAAGACTCGGAGTTAAGCTGAGGAGCGGCAGGGCGCACGATCAATACGCCCAGCTGCACCTCAGCACTGCTGATTCCTGAAAGGAGCCCGGACCTGGGGCCGCACGCGCATCCGGTCCTCACGGAGACCCCGGATGCCCTGGAGGGGGGACACCTGCCAGTTGACCTGGATTTCTGAAGGATGCATTAACTAGTGGTCCATGCAGATCATCGGAGCTACCAGGGTGGTCTTGCATATGCCGTGGCGGCGCTGCGCCACTGGGGAGAAGATCCGTCCCATGGCAGGGTCCCAACCCGGGCTGATGATGCTATTTTTGAAAATGAAGATGCCTGATGGAATCTGATATGGAAAATTCTCGACCATCTTGGGGCCGTGGGATGGGATGAAGTGACGTAATGGGTCGGAAAGGCGATGGTGACCATGCTTCCGAGGCAACAACGATGCAGGGCGGCTTTGCTGGCAACGAGGCAGGGAAATGACAGCCGGCGATTCGCCCCATTCAAGGATTGGGCGTGACTTGTCGCCGATGCAAGGGAGGGCGGCAGATAGATACCTCGACGTTGACACGGGGAAGGTCTATCTACTATGTTCATAGTCATAGTACGTACGACGGTACGGATCAACCGATCGAGCTAAGTATATCTTGCCTGTCAGACGTGGAAGATCCCGTCAGGGTGGTTCGGGATTGGCGCCCCTGTAGCACGGGTTCTTTAGCGTGGATCATAAAGCGTCTCAGCATCTCGCATCTCGGGCTCGTGTTGGTAGTCTTTGCCTTGGCTCAGCGCTTAAACCGGTTCTTTGCCTGACCACGACGGGCACGGGATTGGGCAAGAAACGCAGGGCTGGGTACCTAAGGTACCTACGACTGACCTCCCCAGCAGCCACCTATCATTTTCACCTGCACCAGCCAGCTGGGATGAATCGAACCCCGAGGCAGAAGAAAAAGATCATGGACACCCGACCGGTATTCTTTGCCATGGCCAGCTTGCGGGCTGTGGAAGGCATCGCGGCGGCGCCACAGTAAATAGTCCGTAACCGGCAATGTGGCTGGGGGACCACGTGCCGGGAGCCCTGATTGGCAGGCAGCAATGAGGCACCCAACTCGGCTGCTCTCGCGGTGGCGGATGGCCTTACCAATACCAGTAGTTGGAATAGGCGATAGAGGAGGCACAGCAGCCCCGATCTTGTAAGTAAAAAGTATCTGGTTGCCTGCCTAGCATGAGTCACTAGTGGTCGCAGCCTAAAACCCCCCAAACTTTGGTCATCGGCGCAGTCGTGATTCGGTGCTTAACTAGGGCTCCCAACAATACATACAAATACGGCCAGTATCCGATCACACCACGTGTGCAGGCATGATGCTGAGTTTCCCTCTACTTACACACACACACACACACACACACATACCTCTCTTCCCGCTAAGCGCCGTGTCAAGATTCTTAATACCGTATAACTAGACGGGCGTCGCGCCGCCTTCCGGTTGTCATTCCATCATTTCCCAACCGCTGACCTTCCGTTTTTGAGTGGCGGATTTGCCAAGACATCAGCTTCCCAACTGGTCACAGTCACGTGGCGCGTCGCTAGATGCCTTGTTTTCCGTCCTGAAAAAATTGGCACCCCGTCCTTCCGAACTGAGCAAACCACCATCCATCGCCCAGTGCCACCCGACGCGATTGACCTCGCCTACCTGCTAATATCAACTTCTTCTCCCACCCCCCTCTGCATCTCTGGAACTTGTTCCTTTGCATCTTCCTCCCTACTTTCTGCTCCTCGTCTCGCCGCCTCGCTTTCTCTCGCCACTTGGCCACCCCCCCCTTCTCAATTGAACGGCGGGGTTGTAGCTGCGCTATGGGTGACGGCTCTGATTACCCTAGTCCACGAAGCGAAGGTCCCGGCGGACCTACCTCTGTTCTAGTCACTGCCCAAGAATCGCTTTCTCCTGCCCCCAAGATGAACGATCAGCTGTCTCCGAACTTCATGGAAGGGACGCGCCCGCGACTGTCGGTGAGAAGAGCGCGGGATCCGCCCAAGAACGCTGCCGGTCAAATCTACTGCGACCACCCCGAGTGCCAGCACTCGCCCCCAACCTTTCGCCGTCCGTGCGAGTGGAAGTAAGTTTGCCTTTGTGTGTGAGACAGTTGTTCCCCCCGATCGAGGAAGCTAACGGATCGCCACCGCAGCAAGCACATGGACAAACACGACCGCCCTTACAAGTGCATGGAACCCGGGTGCGACAAGATTCAAGGCTTTACATACTCTGGCGGTCTGCTGAGGCATCAGCGCGAGGTGCATAAGAAGAACATCAACGCCAAGAAGCCCTTAATGTGTCCGTACGCCGACTGTAATCGCAGCACGGGCAACGGGTTCACGCGTCAAGAAAACTTGAAGGAGCACCTTCGCCGCCGCCACATGCATACCGAGAACGGACATGCATCCGAGCTGCCCATTGCGTCGCCGGAGCTGGATGGCACCACGTCGTTTGTGACGGCGTCGGTGGCCCTGAAAAGGAAGCGCGATTCCACCGGGGAAGATCCGACCCTCGAGCTTCCCGAAGAGGAAGAGAATGGTGTGGATCTTCGCAATGAGCTGAAGCGGCTGCGTCGCGAGGTTCAGGAAAAGGACCGCCGGTTGGAAGAGCTGGAGCGCATCGTGGCCGGACTGCAGCAAGCCATTCCCCAGACCGCAACGTCACAGGGCTAGCCGGGTTTTCGAGGGGTCTTCGTTCCTCGCTCGTTTCTATTTTTCCTTTCCTATTTTTTTTTATCATTTCTTCATCTTCCCTCTCCTCTTTTCATCCCTCTCCCAGGCTCAGAATCTCTACATTTTTTTTATGGATTGTTGTATGAAATTTGCATTCGATGGGCGTTTCAATTCTGCCAATTATGGGCCTTGGTTTTGTTTTCGCGCTTCTGTCTACAACATCAACGGGAGGTTCATATGGGTCGGTCTCCATCTCGGAACGCATGGATAAGATCAGGCAGCTCTGAAGATTATGGCGTTTGCTCGAGGTCGTTGATACAGACCAGGTGGTGTTTTCTTTCCTCTTCTTCTTCTTTATCTTCCTGACGGTTCCTACCCTTTGTCTCTATTTTCTCTTCTTCCCTGAAATATACCCAGGCGTTTGACCCTGTTTCTTTTGTTGCTGATCCTGTTGTGTCTCTACCTTATCCTCCGATGCCAACGTAGTGGTCGTCGATCCTGGGATGCGTAGTCCCCCTCCACGTCAGCGAGGTGAAATCATAAGATGTATCTTCTCTCCTTCCTTCTCTTCCTGAGCCTGGATGCCAAGGCTCCTTTCGTATTGTGGTTACAATCGTGACCGGCCGGCCCCATTCGTCTATCTTAGTCTGGCCATTCCCTACCTATCTATCTCTGCCTTGTCCCCAAGGCCACTAGTCCTACCTATCCTACTTCGTAGTGAATCCTCCATCCACTCTAGGTCTTACTCAGTATTACAAGGCTATCACCCCAACAATGACCCCCTCTCCTCCGTACCTTCCCTCCCACGACCCATCAAATGAGTAATAAACAACCATGAAAGGCTATCTATCACCCCCTTACATCACATACCAACCAACCACCCACATCCTCCGATCCAGCCCACGCCCACCTGACTGAACTATCTGACTCTCCATGACTCACACCTCGGTTCATTTCCATGTGGTTTAGTCCTCCTGCGTGGGGATGTAGTAAGCAACGCGGCCTAGTCGGGTCTAGTCTAGTCTAGTCTGGATCCTTATCTTGACGGTGGTGACTCAGGTTGACTCGAGGCTAAGTAACTACTCCGTGACTGGATGGGTAAGTGAGTAGTGTAGGTAGTGAGTATTTGGTGGTTTACGTGTTGGGTCGGGGTCGGGGTTGGTGTCGGGGTCCGAGATGGGTTAGAGGGATACGGAGTACACAAGCTAGTAATCTATCTAGTTGGATAGGTGGTGGTGGGTTAGGTGTTGGTAGCCTGATGGTGGTGGTGCTTGGTGCCTGGGATGATGAGTGGGTGGGTATGATGAAGTATCTAGTTGGTTGTTGTGGCTGGTATGGAAGTGGTGGACTAGTAGTATCTGGATAAATGCCATGGATGAAGGTTGTACGTCCCGCCGTTAGTCACATTCATTGTAAGTGGCGTAGATAGATAGAGAATGATTCATGATGGCGGCTACATCGACATCGAGGGGAGGCTGTGATGGGAGCGGGTTAGCTGGCGCTGAGTGGCGACTCCGCGAAACATTCTGTGGATGGGGAGCTGAGTCCTAGAGTATGTGCGTATGAAGCGTGGGAGGGGGAAATGTTGCGCTGGATGTGATTCAGCTGCGTTAGGCTGGCGGTTACGGGGATCATGAGATGCGGGCTGCTGCGCCAGATGGATTCTTGAGGCGTTGTGTAAGTGTGGTGGGTGATGCTGGAGTGCGGCGCTTAAGGTGGGGGGTTCAAAGCAGCTGGATGAGGATGAGGTTCGTATGTAGTGCACTGGTAAGAACGTGATAGTGGGTAGATGTCGAGTGATCGTGGTGGGGGATGATGCTATTCGAGATGTAAATGCTTGGTATTGCTTGGGCTGGCGATGCTGCAGGTGATGCAAGTAGTGTTTTGCTGGTTGATAGGTTTATGATATATCGCTTATTTCATCAAATAGTCAGTGTGGCCGAGTGGTTAAGGCGATAGACTAGAAATCTATTGGGTTCGCCCGCACAGGTTCGAGTCCTGTCGCTGACGTTTTTTTGGCTCTCTTCATTTGAATACCAGGCATGGGATGATGTTCTCTATTTTTGTTTTTCTTTCTTTCCTTGCTAATTATTCTGTTATTCCCGGTGGATGAGTTGCTGATCGCTCTTGATGAAGTATCACCTGCTGGATAGCTAGACATGTAGTGTTCAGGGTCCTGAGATGCGCTGTCCATCATTAACTCTCTTGTTTTTCCAAGTACACATGTCTGATTGCCCCGAGAAAAAGGAGCTTCTATCCAAGAGTGCGATCAATGCATTGGCATCCAAGAAACCCTTCTCACGAGGTGAGGAGATGCCGTTCTACACAGGTCTATCCTACGGACTACTGACTGCTGAATGAAACTAATATAGAGTCTAGAGCGGTTGTCAACGCCACAAGCGAGTATTTTCCATAGAACCAGTGCTAACATTGGCACGTATAAGGTGGTATCATTCGACAGGTCGAGTTGTCTTCGTGACTGATCGTTCTTTCCTTCGGGGGATTCGTCACCGGAAAGGTATCAGGAACATTAGGCTTCCGATGGTATTAGGTACTTTGTCTTGAGAGGCCGCTTCAAGTCTATGGAAAAAGTTGAGTTATTGATTATATCCACCTGCGAAGAAAAAGAACATGCAGCATCTTTCAGAGTGGAGCAGTAGGTTGCTTGCATTCCTCATATAAGCATCGTCAAGGATATTGACTTGGACGAATTAGATGTGCCAAATGTGAGGGATGGGATCAGGTTTGAGTAAGTATCTCAACAACTTGTAGATTGGTATGTCTCGCAAAATACCCTGAGAGAGAAATTTCGGTATCGTTTTTGATGCTTGTAGCATACAAACAAGGCGGCCACTATACGGGGTCGATACGTCACGTATCCTCTCTATGGCTCAAGCTTTCAATGGATTAATGAACACGTGCGAACATATTGTCCTTCTCTGCCTTTTTCCAGTCTCCTTCTTGTATTCCGTGTCATCGTCTATTTCTCGAGTTACACTTTTGTGTTCGTTCTCGTCCTTGGTAAATGAACATCCTTAAGCACACAACTGCAGTACTGACCCAGCAGCATCGATATTCCTGAGTGACCAATTTCTCACCGCGGTGTTGAACAGGATGATGACTATTTCAATACACCCTCTGACAAACTTCGTGGGCTTTGCTCTTATATTACTGTTGTGCTCATTCGTACTCATTCGTGGCTTCGTTGCTAGGTTCTAAAGAAGGAGGTGACATCCTCACTGGTAAACAGTAGAAGCAATCTCTGTTTGTATTACTTCTCCTACATCTAGTTTGAGATTTGGACTAGATTGGGTTTCTGTTTTCATATCGAAGTTCTGGCTTGGTCGCTTAGCCGGGCATTTATACAAACCACAAGGATTCAGCGAAGATCGCCAGATTTGGCAGGCTGGATGGCTTGTGGGTTGATGGAGGCAATATACGACCGTGACAGCGCGACCTGCCTTCGGAGACGTACTTCTTATCTATAGGTCATGGTACAAGGCTAGACTTCAGAGCTAGGTCAGAGATTAATCTGATATGATCTCTCAGACCAATAAGAATCCCCAGCTGGGTGAGATGTCAAGGCAATCGCGAAAATCCACTTTCGGGGTCTGTCCAATAGGGACGTGTCAAGGTGACGCGTGGGTTATTTTTGGATAGACTTGTATTCACTTGGGAAATGTTTGCGCTGTTAGTGATGATGAGGTGGGTTGATTTGTGTAGAATTCCAGTGTCATATACGCGTCCCTTTTCTATACTTGCGGGGACGGGTTAGCCTGTCTGGTTCTGCTGCCTTGCAGATCAGGCCTAAAGTGTTTTGAAGGCGTCTAGGTCCTGTGATAATCAAAACATCTTAATGGTTGGGATGATGCAAAGCACAGCTGCGGTCGACGGCTTCTCCTAGGCTATGTGCTTCGCTCCTTATTGTGCTGGCTCTTCTTCTTATACTCGCTGTACTGGTTTGAAGGACTGGCTGATCTGCTAGGCTGCCTTATCGGGTAACACTACATCAAGGCCGTTAGGTTAAGGTGACACAAAGCGATATATTGGCAGAAGAAGCTAGAAGCCCTACAAGCGGTTACACCATATAGTCGGCGCCCTTATACATTACCTCTGGTGATAGTTGCGCGATGGCTTTAATAGATCCCCTGCAACATTCGTGCGTTGACTTCAGCGGGCCCTTCTTGGCCACGTCAACCTGGGCGAGCTTGAGAGGCGGTTCGACGGTCTTCTGATAATCAAGTCTGGGAAGCGCACGCAGCGCAACACTGTATCTTGCTTGGTTCGTTTTACCTGGCACCCACGACTCCTATAGTCTGCATGCTACGTTGTCCAATATAGCAGGCTACTACAGCTTTGCAATGTATCCCAAGGACATTTCAAAGACTCGAGCAGGGTAGATTTGAACGTCGTCTCTAAGAGCGGTTGATGAAGAACGGTCTTCCCTTTGAGTTGGGACAGTGCTGCTTCAGCGGAGGCTGGTAAAGGTTGCGATGTCCTGATACACACGGCCTGTCAAAAAGAACAAGTGGGATGGGCTGGCAGCGGTATTGAGCTGCTTTGGGATATGGACAGGCAGAAACAAAATAGCAAAAAAACGTCAGCGACAGGACTCGAACCTGTGCGGGCGAACCCAATAGATTTCTAGTCTATCGCCTTAACCACTCGGCCACACTGACGGTCGCTTGTTAATTTGGCAATTGTTTGTTGAGATGAGGGGCTTTTGCTATATAAGGCTGAAAGGTGGCCATGTTGATTTCAGGTCATTTGGTGTACTGTAGCGGCGAATCATTGAGTCAGTTTTATGTCTTGAAGACGGAATGTAGGAGGTGAGGCCCAGGCTCAATTGATAAGGGTAGATGACTTGCTAGCCTTGTAAGGCTGAGGGATAACAAACTAATGTGAATATTGAGACTATTTTTGGCTTTGCCACCCACCCTCCTAGAATGGCATGGGTATTTACTCACTGGAATCACCTTGGATCAGTATTGCCTAGTGGACAAAGAACAAAAAGCAAAAAACGTCAGCGACAGGACTCGAACCTGTGCGGGCGAACCCAATAGATTTCTAGTCTATCGCCTTAACCACTCGGCCACACTGACTACTGTTTCTTTTTCAATTTCAATAATGGCATCATCAATGCAGCTCTATGAGGGCCGTCCAAGATATTGTGCATTGCCATGCGTACATCCCCAGTTGATCGCATTGTAGCAGCGGTGTGAGCGAAAAGATGGTACCGAGATTAGCGCCTTCAAAGTCCAAAACACCTGTCTGCATGTAAGTAGCGGGTATTAGTACGTTTTGCCGGGGTTGCTGAGTGTTCCGTGCGCTTATATATTCTGGAGTGACAGGCCCGGAAACTGCGATGCATGAGACGATGATGACCATCCTGTCGAGGTCCCGGTCAACACGATTGGTACACAACATTGTGAAACAGTATTCATTCTGGCACTTTTTCTATAAGTGGAGATCCAACGCCCTCGCCGAAATCCAGCGGCAAATGACAACGGACTGTAGTACTGTGGCAGCGTCGCTTTTCGTATACCTGGGACTGATTAGTGGGAGGAATGAAGATATGAAGGAGAGGGTGATGATACTGCCTGTATCAAATCATGGGATCCAGCAGCACCGACTAGACAGCGTGCTTCCAAAGGATCCTCAAACTGTTCCAAGTTGCTCCAGTTGCCGGGACGCAAGTATATTCCGGCCCACCGGTTGGCTCCGATGAAGTATGGGAATTCGCAGCAGGCACATGCCGAATTTCGCACCGCCCTGCAAGTGAAGTTGCATGGAGATTGCATATCTGAGAAATTCGTATAAAGTCTCTCCTCCGTAGAGCATTGCTTCATGAGAGTGAGAGGCAGAGGGGAAGCTGTCGCGGGGTGAGGGGAGGGAGACGAGAGATGAAGCCAACCCGGGCTAAGCCTGTTGTGGCAAGCTGTCATTACCCGAGAAATACAAGACCCTGAAGAATGGAAACATACAAAGGCACGGGAGTTCCAGGGACGGAGAAGGGGAAGGAATATCGACATGCAAAGGCCCAGAACACCCGGGATGACTCCATTGTTACTGCCCTGAAACCAATTCACCCTCCTTCTCGCCTCTCTTCGTTCCCAAAATAAGCTCGCTTTGTTCAAATTCCTCTCTTATACTCGCCCCCCCACTCGTCCCCTGTCCCCTCAACCTCTTGCCAATCAAATCTGACCCGTTATTATCGATTTAACCACCACTGCAATTGTACCTCTCGTGAAAGCACACCTACAGGGCCAACGATGGCTCAACCCTCCCGCCCAGTGGAGGTCCCCATGTCCCAGCGGACTGAGGTCCAATATGCACCAACCCAACAGTACAACTCGGGGACTCGCATCTTCCAGCAGCCTATCTATGCAAGCGCCAATTTCGAGCAGTTAAGCTTCCACAAAATCAAGCCTACCAGTGCTGCTGCGCACCAATTCCAAGAAGGTGAATTCGTTCCCTTGGGCTTCTTCGATAAGGTCGACCCGGCCCTTTTCAAGCTGCCCGCCGGAGAAGTTGAATGGTTATATGAGAAGCGCAGAACAGCCCAACAGATCCTCCCCTTCCTCTATCTGGGGCCCTGGAGCTGCCTCTCGGAAAGAGACTGGCTCAACCAAGACGGTATCACTCTCCTTCTAGCCGTCCGAGACAGACGACTGGCCGTGGCGCGCCTGGTGTCCGGCGAGAAAGCCGCCGCGGACCTGGGCATCGTGGCCGATTCCGTGGATATCCAGGACTACCAAGAACTCATAACAGCGCTCCCCCAGGCCATCTGTCGCATCAACGAACATATTGCCTCCTCGGCCCCTTTGGGCCTTAACGGACGCACCGAGAAAAAGGTCCTCGTTTTCTGTGAAACGGGAAACGGCTCGTCAGTGTTGGTGGTGGTGGCCTACTTGATGGTGATGCTGAACCTCGGTGTAGCACAGGCCTTACAGGTGGTCCAGTCGCAGCGGTTCTGCATTGATGTGGACGAGTCGGCAACGCAGCTGTTGCTGGCATTCGAAGCCATCATTAACGCTAAACGGGATGTCGAGAGAGTGCGCCGAGCAAGTTCCCTGGATGTTTCGGTTCCTCCAAAAAAGCGATCCCACGACCGAGATACTGACGAGAACGATGTCGATGAGTACATGGCTGTGGACGAGACTAGAAAACCATCGGCGCCATTTCAAGATCGTCCTGCCTACTAAACAACCGATCTATTTCCGTGCTCCGCTGGTAGGAAGATTGCATTAGAGAAGAGGGCCATGAGGAGTAGTTGGTAAAGACGGCTGGGTGGAATTATGGCTTCTTTTCTTGTGGTTTTCTGATGTTCCCTTATCATGTGCATACAATTAAGCATCCTGAACATATTGTGACCTTTGTTCCCGCTGTCCCATGAAGTCAGCGTATCGGCCTAAAGATTTACATTAGATTACCCTGTCATCCAAGGACTTGGGTTGCCACTTGCAGTTCTACTTTCTCCACTCTTGGCTCCCAGTCGAAGCCATTCAATCCTGCAGATCCCTGGCTTGACTCCAGGCTCCCTCCCCCAAATGAGGAAGTAGCATTCACTCACTTGACCGATGAACCGGAAGATTCCTCACTTTAATTCACACCCTTTCAGACAAGACTTAAATTTTCGTCCGCTGGCACTCAGCTTTGCCTCATCATTATACCATAGTGACGTTAAATATCACTATCGACTTTACTCTCTATCGCATCCTAGAGCGCCATGAGACTCCGCGAAAAGATTCGCCCGCCAGAGCGCTTTAATCAAGAACAGTTTTCCAGCCCGTGCCCACAGAAGCCTCTTCGTGAACCTCCAACGCCAGACCGTCCCAGATTTATTCCGTTCAACTCCAATCTTCCTCCTGCGGCGTTTCCCACCTTAGACAATGCAACCCCCCCAACGCGTGATGACGGACAAGAATATGAACGAGGACGACATGTCAGCACTTCAATGCCCGCCAGGGAGCATACCAAAAGTGGTCACAGGGGAGAGAAAAAGCTGGAGGAAGACGCAATGGCATGCTTACAGAATCACCCCCCAGAAACCTTCGAAAACCTGATTGCAAGTAACGGGGAGCTTAACCCAGTCTACATGAGAAACATGGCCGTCCTGGCCACTATGGGCAGGGAGTCACCAATCGATGGAGCCATGGCGGACAGTGATATAGACGAGGTTATGCTTGATGCTTCTGATGAGGATAAGGTGGAGGTACGTCGGCCAAAAACTCTCATTATACCAGAGGTTGACGGAGGTCCCAACAGATACCCTCACCGACACTCCAGCCGAAGTGGAGTGACCTTTCTCCCCAAATTCAAGTTGAGATCGTCAACAACATGCTTCGAGATATCGACTGGTTAACCATGTGCCACTTATTGGGGCTCACCGCAGAGGAGCGTGAGGAAGTCCAGAAAAACATCCTTCTGCGAGAGCAGCAGGCAAAGCAGGAAGACTTACACCTGGAGGAGATGCGAGCAAAGCAGCTGAGGGCGCTTCTGAGGACTGACAACACGACTCGAGGCTACAACCGAGTTCCGCACCAGGGCGTTTTCAGCAAGATCTCCCGCCGGTTCTCGGGCAAGTTGCAAGATACCTTCAACTCAGACTTCCTGTTATGCCACGCCAACGAAGTTTTGGATGCCAAATTATTTCTATGCACGCGGGGGGTGGATCGAAAGTATGCTGGAGAATGGAGCAGTGGCATATCTGCGTGGTGGGTCCCCGAGGATCATGACTTCGGGTTGCGCTTAGAAGGTGATTGGAAATCTGAGCCATGCGCTGTGGACTTCTCCGGCCTTTCTGCAAATGGCTCAGCACATGGAGCTTTTGATGCTGATGCAGCTGAGTTGCCTACGCGCCATAGGGTATCTTCGACCAGTATGACAGCTAGATACTGTCCCAACCCTGCAAGGAATTGGCAACTGCATAAAGGTGACGTGAATTGCCTCCTGCAATGGCGCCCAAATAGTCACCAGACCAGGCCGGAGAGAGTCTACTACAACCGTCGGGAGAATGGGCTACTATGTCTGGGTATCACCGAGGAGAGGTTCGCTCAATATAGTGATACCAGATGGAAGTATGTCAAACCAGAGTGGACATTTAGGCAGCCGCCGCTGGACTGGCTGTTCCACGAGAAGCCTCCACCAAGCCTTGAAAAACTTTATGGACTTAACCGCTCAAAGCCTGTGTCAAACAAGCCCCAGCAAGCGGCTTTTGTTCCCTCGACGCGGCCCTCGGAGACAAATGTCGGGGGAAATGGAGCCCACAGCCGTGGCGTCCACACTGCATCTTCTCTGAGGGTAGTACAGCGACACGAAGGATTGAGGTCAGAGGTACAGAGACGAGCACCGGCGATGCAAAACAGTGACAGAATGTATGTTACCTTTTCTGAGTCAGGGCAAACTTCTAGTCCTACAATCTGGTCCCCACAAGCAACCCCAGAGAAAACAGTGTCCCTGACCGGCTCAGACTGCCTCTCCACAGGGGATAGGGATAGATCCCCACCCGCAAACACGAAGTCACCTATACCACTGGATTCTAAGGAGAATTCCACTGAATCTTCTGACCACAAGGTAGAGCACTTTTCGAACGACGACCCGGGGTCGGACAGCTGCTCCCAAGGGCCAGCTCAACTAGAATTCACAGAGGAACGAATAAGCCACACAAATGAGGAAAATAACAGCGGTGATGATGGAGGGGAGGACGAGCAAGATGAAGACGAGGTCGTGCTTCTACCCGTTTCGGCGTTTTCCAGGGCGACTGGAGAGAAGACTGACCGTGACAGACGATAGTTGCACTTGTCTCGAGTGATGCTATCTGGCCCGACATCTAAGAATCTTGGAAGAGACAGCAGTCTTCGTAAGATGGTCATTTAGACCGCTGTCAAATGGTTTTTTTTTTCGCATCTTCCTTGTTTTCTGTCTTTCATCTCTCGTCGATCGTTTTCTAATCTTGCACACATCAAAGTCTCATATGCATAGTTCTTACAGCGAACAGGTGATCTGGGACACAAATATGCGATTCATGATGTGATAGAAACCTTGGATTTCACTTTTTATAGCCAGAGCCGTAGCAAGAGCCGCAGTCTCCTGATGCCAGTAGCAGATGTCTAGCATGTATGGGGACAATATTAACCAGAGTCCATCTATCTCTATCTATTGGCTTTTTGGCCGAGGCTGGATTCAAACTCTTCACGTCTCTTTTCCCCTAGAAGCAACTAGAACCCAACCAAGCAATACCAGCTGCCGACTCTGGAAGCTGCCCTTTTCTGGCTCGCTGGCCGTCGGCCTCATCTCCCCCCGTAACTCCTTCCCCTGGCTGGAGTGAGTAATCCTCAATCTCTAGGCTAAACGCATTGAAGCCCAATCTGGAGCTGGACAATAGGTGAAATAAGACTTGAATTGTCCTCAAATCAGTCTATCCCATGAGCCTGCCTTCAAAGTGAATCGACAGATTCAACACCCCACCCATATGATGACATCGCTTAACTTCTACGGATACAATAGCCAACACACGGACTTTTGCAGCTGAGGTACTTTCTAGATTAACTCAAACACATGAACTATGGATGGAACTAATTTGTACATGGAGCCTAACAGCAGAGCCCGACCGGTAATTGACAATCGACAGAGAGACTCTGAAACGCCAATGCTATTGCTCCAACGTGCACCAAATAAGAAGGAGGCAGACAACCTGGGCCTACAGTTGAGAAAGTTAAGGAGGCAATATCATCTGCGAAGCGAGAGAAATGCTGGCAGAATGTGCGCAGCCACTTGTCAAGTCTCTAATCGCCACGGCCCTGCAACACCAGACGACCTTTCTCGGCTGTGTCATGCTTGCGTCGTCAAATAGATAGTGCGCCTTTACGTGGATTGATCTGATGGCGACCTTGAGCATGGTTCGCTAAGTTTATACAGCGCCGGCAGAATAAGGAGGCCCTGCCTTGGTAGGCACTCGGCACAGATGACCGGGATGACGACTCCATTTTTATGAGAGTGAGAAGGCACCTGTATCCACAATAAGTTGAGTGGTTCTGGAGGAAATAACCTTATATATGACAACGCCACCTGGTGGATTAATGACGTTGGCTTGGTCATGGGGATACAATCTGCGACGGGCATTATCCCGGTTTTCTCCTGGGTTTCCCTGCCCTGAAATTTGGCACACAACCAGGGGCCTATGCTTTTCATCTGACGGCTTCGCGAGCACCCATGATTTCACACCGAGAGGAATCGGGCGATAAGGTTTATAGATGCGGATAGGGATGGACGCCTACGGAGTAGTGACACTACTATAAAAGGGCCCTCGGCCCAGTGGGGCTCCTGATGCTTATCGCCCGACAGCCGATAATAACAACCAACTCGTTTCCAATTGACTAACTAAAAGATAGGAGCGATCGCCGAGATGGGGTTATCAGACGACGCTTATCGGCCTAGTAGTCGTTCGCCTAGTTCTCCCGATGGAGCCCCCGATGTGATGGCCGGCAAAATGAAGCACTTCACCCCGGACAAGGACTTCCGTCTGTTCTTCTTCTACTCCGATACCCTAGATCCCTCTTTAGAATACTACACGAGTCCAAAGAAGCTCTCGGACCCCAGGATGTTTGACACTCCCTTTGACTGTATCGTGCTGGACGGCACCGTGGTGACGGCCGCCGATATTGGCCGGTATGACATTGGCATCAGGGATGGCAAGATTGCCCTACTGGCCCCCGCGCGGGCCCTGGCACAAGCGCGCGCATCTCGAGTCATTGACGCCGAAGGTGCATATGTCATGGTATAGTCAACCCGAAGGACGAAATCAACAGGATCGATTGCTGACAGCTTACTAGCCGGGAGGCATTGATGCGCATGTCCACTTGTCTGAACCGCAACTCTTCGGCAAGGGCAAAGCGGCAGATGATTTCACGACAGGCAGTCGTTCTGCCATCGCTGGAGGCACAACAACCATAATTGCATTTGCCCCACAGAATCAGTCCGACCCATCCCTGCTTGCGGCGCTGGATGACACACAGAAGAAGGCTGCCGATGCTGCATATTGTGACTACGCCCTTCACCTCTTGGTCACGAACCCAACCAAGCAGGCTCTCAACGAGTTCTCTCAGCTTCGCGAGCGCGGTGTATCCTCCGTAAAAATCTATATGACCTACAAGGACCTGCAGTTACGCGACAATCAGGTTCTGGATGTCTTATTGCAGGGACGCATTGATGGAGTGACCACCATGATCCACGCTGAAAACGGTGACATGCTCACCTGGATGACCGAACAACTCGAGAATCGCCAATTGCTAGCGCCAAAATACCATGCTACTTCAAGACCCCAGATTCTCGAAAGCGAAGCCACCAACCGAGCCATATCCCTGAGCCAACTGATTGAGACCCCAATCCTAATCGTGCACGTTTCCTCCCCGTTAGCAGCCAACACGATCCGCAACGCGCAGACCAACGGACTTCCCGTCTACGCTGAAACTTGCCCGCAATATCTGTTCCTGACGAGGAAGGATCTGGATGCGCCTGGATTCGAAGGCGCCAAATGTGTATGCTCACCACCGCCACGCGATGGCGAAACCGACCTTGAGAGCATCTGGACCGGCCTGCAAAATGGAACATTCACCATTCTCTCCTCGGACCATTGTCCATTCTTTTACAACGACGACGTCAACGGGAAAAAGACCGCCATTACTGAAGACGCCCCCTTAGGCCGCTTCCGATACATTCCCAACGGCTGCCCAGGAGTTGAGACCCGGCTGCCCTTGGTGTGGAACGCCAACCGGCTTTCCCCGCAGAAGTTTGTCGAAGTGACGAGCACCAATCCCGCCAAGCTGTACGGACTCTATCCGAAGAAAGGTGCCCTCATCCCGGGAGTCTCCGATGCGGATCTCACGATTTGGTACCCGTCCGCGCAGGAGCCCTTCCCTATCACCAACTCCGCCTTACATCATAATGTGGATTATACACCGTACGAAGGCCACATGATTACCCAGTGGCCACGTTACACCCTACTCCGGGGACAAGTGGTGTGGGATCGAGATAATGGGGGCATTGTCGGCCAGAAAGGCTTTGGGGAGTTTGTCAAGAGAGAACGCAGTGCATTTTGCAGCGACCAGCCGGAGTGGGATGTTGAGAAATTCTAAGACCTTTGCAGAAGAGTTTCACGTCATATAGAGAGGCTACTAGATTCATAGAGAGAAGAACCAACTGTATGTAGTATATGCATGTCTGCGAGAGATTCGTCCTTTTTGCGATCATTTCCATTCTGTGTATCTTAGCATGGTGCCCTCTTAATGCTGCCAACAATATAGCGATGAATTTTACCTTGGGAGATGACTTGAATTGATTGTACCCAGTGATCAACATCTTTACATATCGTTTATATTAAATTCAAGTATTTCTTTATTGAGCAAAGCATAAACCACCTTTCTTCTCGCCCGAGAGCGACAACGCCAATAGTTGTCCTCTGCCTCATCCCGGTTCGACACCTCATGGCGTACAGACTCTCACATCCATATTTGTATTCTTGCGGTTCGCCCAGCGGGGCCTCTCCAAACGTCATCCAGCGTTCTTTAATCCTGTAGTTCTCCCCCAGCATGGGCCACTGTCCGAGGAACTAGTTACTGGGATCCGAAGAAGATTGGCCGGGCAATCTTCTTCGGATGTATAGTGGATAGAGGTTTGAGATCAAGGAAGTTGTCGAGATCTCCCCTCCGTTGTCAGTCGGCTTACCACACGCCAATCCAACCTCCCATGGGATTTACTGCTCTATGTCCCTCTGGAGAGTGCCTTGCATGAAGCAGGTCTATACAAAGAAAACCTTCCGACAAAGAGGATTGACGTCAAGCAAACACAGCGTGGAGCGCTCTCGGCCTTGTCTCCCTTAGCTGTCGCCAGGCCAAGACGGATCTTGCCGGGAGCCTGTAAAGTCTTTGCTAGATTCCAGAGTCTATCGTTCTCAATGCTCTGTGAGAAGATAATAGGCTAGGATAGAACCTTCTTCTGAGCCGGCGGCAAACAATTCTCAAAAGACTCCGTGAGATATTGCCGCTATTTCGAGCCAGCCAGTAGGAAACGTAGCTGTGAATAGTGGTGCTGCTACTATTGGAAGGGCTAGAGAGTATCGCTCAGAGGAGGCAATCAGCGCAAGGCCCGAAGCACCCCCAAGGAATTTACCTGGTGAAGACAAAGCCAACCCTATAAGCAAAGCAGCACAGCCATGAAAATGTTCAACATAGCAATAATCATGTCGGCTACGAACCCTTCAACTCTGCTAATCCCTTGAATGTTTTGATCACGCGCAACGGGGCCAAGCTTACCATATGAAGTGTAGTGTATATAATCCCCATGACCACCATGGGATATTGGATAAGGCTATCAGCATTCCTCGCCCCAAATATGCCGGAAACTCATTTATCCTCAGTCATCAACTATGGCCTAGTCGAATCATACACCAATGGCCACTATGTTGAGGTTGTACTACAGGCACTGCAGACACTGTTCAGAGTCCGGATCGCTTGTCGACCAGATACTAATGAATTAGTTCTCTCGCATGTACGACCCCAGTGGAGAGCCCCTTCGGAAGTTGATCGAGTTGCTTGGATCACTTTGCCAGCCCTACTTCAGAGCATACGCGCGTTACAGGGGCGACGATCTGGATTCAGAGCTGCGGGATAATACGCAGATTCTCTTGCAACTGAATCAGAAACAATTGTCCAAAATTTCCCCGGACCAGCAGCCCTGCGAAGAGTATCCTATTCGGCATACAATCGAGACCGATCTCCCAAGTTATCAGCTTTCAGCCGTCACAAGAATCAGGACATTTCATGAGCGCAGGACATACGAGGTCTCTATCAATGGGACCAACTACTTTTGCAGAATAGCTACAGGCAGACATGACCACATGTTTCAAAACGAGTTTAATGCATTGAGAAAAATCAAGAAATGTGGACTGTCTCTTCGCGTGCCTGAACTGACGGGATTTGTGGGGGTGGAAGAACAGCTACCAGGGATACTGGAAACATTCTTTCCTCATCAGTCGCGTCTCTCTGATATTGATATGGCTGTGGCTGAACTCGACGAGCGCCGTAAGTGGACGGCTCAGATAGGTGATGCGGTCCGTAGACTTCATCAGCATGGTATCGCTTGGGGTAGGGCAGACGCGTCAAATATCCTGATCGATGACCACAGGAACGCATGGCTTGTGGACTTCCAAGACAGTCTGCTCACGCGTGAGCCATCTGATATCGAAGATATTGAAGCTATGGATGCTGCGATCGATAAAGACTTGAAGGATCTAGACAAGATCAAGGAGTTTCTGTGTCTATCGGCATGAGTGATGGGCTATACATAGTTGGTTTTTGGTAGATTATATATAGGCTTCATGCCTGATCTCTATAAAATGAAAGATTGACCAAATATTCGTAACTGTGGCAATCTGTGAATGAGGCTGGTAAACAGGACAGACAAAGAATTGAAATCAAAACTATAACGACAGCGTAGCAAGGGTAAATCGCCTTTTAGAAACGCGCAAAGCATGACATAGCCATACATGCTTTCGACTCCGTTGGAGTATATGCTGCAGGCCATATTCTAGCGACCTTCAGCGTGTTGGCTGGGATGGAAAAGAGTTAAGCGTGCGTCGTGACGGGGTTGCCAAATGTATAAGGCTCTCAGGCTCCTACCTCGTTGTAGGTAGACGTCGTCTAACTCCTTAGGTAAGTAATGACAACTGCAACTCATCAGTCTCACCTACTAACTCACCTCACCCAACACTTATCCTTTCAACCCATACGCACTTCCAGCGCCCTCCAACCACATGTAGAGACAGTACCATCAAAATACATAACGTGTGTGTCTTCAGCGAGGCAAAGAACATCAAATAGTTGGTCTGTACTGTGTATTGTCCCGTATAGAGTGACCAATTGCTTGTTATCAGCAGCTGACTACATAGCTTGTCTATAGCTGTGCATACCGACGGCGAACTGGCCCACGGTCCGAGAATATCCACATGTTGGCACTGATTGAGCCGTTACTGTGTGATACCAGACCCAAGCTCCGAGACTATGGGAATGCAAAAGCTTTGCCATGCTTCAGTGTTGCACCCTGTTTGGCTGAACCTTGAACAGTATCATCACCCGGACATCCTGAGATCCATCCCAACATATCTACAACAAAGACTCAGTCGTGACAGAGCCAGCTAGCCTCCATATTGACGGTGCATGGAGCTGCAAGTAGAAGACTCCGAGGGAAAGGAAAGCTTGTCGTGGTAACACAGACAGTCAGGGATACAGCCACATGTTCGAGTCAGCCCTATATCATATTCCTGGGTTCCTTGTGGCGGTGAGTACTACCTTCTGCAATTCAGGCCACCAGGAATAGAGGCTGAGACAAAGTCAACAGGCGTGGGATGAGTAGTTTCGACCAGTCGCTTCGTGTTTGTGTGACCTTGGCGAGTCTACCATGAACATAGCCGATTTATGGAGGCCGGGGGTATTCTTTATGGTGAATTATGAAGAAGCAGTGACTGAGGAGATACCACAATAGAACCAGAGTAAGATTCGCAATGGTCGAGTTCTATACCAGGTTATATATGAGAAGCGTTGTGTCGAGCAAGAAGGGACGGCTTTACCCGATGGCCGCTATCGCCAGCTATAGCAGTCGGTCACTCACGATATCAGAACAGTGCAAATCACAATCAGGATGCTGCAATCAGGCCACTCAGGGTCTGTGAAGTAATGATAATGGCTTTGCGAATGTCTACGGATCTTGCATTTCGTAGCTAGGTGATTTCTCACGTAGGTTGGCTTAACTAGAGCCCAGGATACGCATACGCCTCTACAAAGGTGATTGACCCTGTGCCATGGTGATTACCCGGTCTAATCTGATTGCATTGCTCAATGCGATCGAACTTGAGGTCCAAAGGCGTTTACAGTGTCCAAGCCATTCTTTCATGTCATTTTCTAAGAAAATATAATGAAATGCAAGCACTAGATCCCATCCATCATGTGCAGACCCAAACCCATATAAAAGTGGTCCGTGCGCCGACGCGAAAATCCGCGTTCCTTGAACAAAGGCGCGCCGCCGCCGTCGCCGCCGCCGCCCATCCGTCCGTCATACCTGCAGACGGTCTGTCTATCCACCAGGGCGCCGGAAGAGAACCCGTCCAGTGTTATCGAACCCCTCAGGACCCATTATTATTCACTGCGGTGGGTTCCTTTGTTAGCTGTTTGGTGGAGCAGGTCATTTTCTGGTTGGTCTGAAGATTGGACCTATCGACTCAACGGGCTCTACTACTTACTTCGGATTTCCTCCGTTGCGTTGCATCCAGGGATTCGCCGCAGAGAATATTCTCGGTACATTTTCTTTTCTCTTATTCTTCCTCTACAGTACGGAGTACCGTTTACAGATTCCGAGTTACATTGGAATCATGTCCAATCCGGACACACCTATTACCGCCACCGATTCCTCGGATGAGATGATCGCCCCCCGAGAAGGCTCTTCGACCCCGATGACGGATCAGGACACCAAGTCCGCAGCGCAGGACAAGATGGAGCTCGAGGAGGATATCGAGGGGATGGATGTCAAGGCGAAGGCGCTGATGCATCTTTTGAATACTAGTGAGGTGCGAATGGTGAATTCCGGGCTGGGATGGCGTGGCGCAGAGGAATTGTTGCTGATGAGTCTGTCTTGCGCTGATAGGTTTTCGTTGCCATCATGGCAGATAAAATGAAGAAGCAGCAGGAGGAGGCAAGGCTGGAAGCGGCAAGGCAGCAAGAGCAGCTGCAGAAACCGGAAAAGAAGGCGGCGCCCAAGTCGAGGGCTGCTGCGGAGCCGATTGGACGGCGACAGACGCGCACGAGTGCGAGGCAATTGGCAACAACGGTAACGGAGGTTCCGGCGGAGGAGGCGAAGAAGGAAGAGGAAACAGAGACGACAAAGACGAGGAGGGGCCGGGGAAGGAAGCCGGCCGCTGCGGCGACGAATGGGAATACCATCTCGAGCTACTTTAAGAAGGCGGATGTGAAAGTCGACGAGGAGAAGCCGACGGTTCGGGAGGCGTTGGAGCATGCTGCAGATGAGTATGAGGCGAATCCGACGGCGCTGGGTGGTCAAGAATTGGTTGCTACACAGCAGCCCGAATTGGTGACTGGGGGCAAGATGAAAGAGTATCAGTTGGAGGGCTTAGAGTGGCTCAAGTCGCTTTGGATGAACGGACTGTGTGGCATCTTAGCGGATGAGATGGGTCTTGGAAAGACTGTTCAAGCTATCTCGTTAATCGCTTTCTTCAAGGAGAAGAATGTTTCTGGACCCTTCCTGATCGCTGCGCCGTTGAGTACAGTGAGCAATTGGGTGGACGAGTTTGCAAAGTGGACGCCTGAGATCAAGACAGTCTTGTACCATGGCTCCAGGGATGAACGTGCAGAAATCAGGCGGAAGTTCATGAATATCAAGGACCAGCGAAGCTCGGATTTCCCGGTTGTTTGCACTTCCTATGAGATTTGCATGAACGACCGGAAGTTCCTGGCGCAGTATCAGTGGCGGTATATTATCGTCGTATGTTAAGCCTTGCGTTGCATGAGCCTATGGTCAGGGTCGCTAACAAGTACACAGGACGAAGGCCATCGCTTGAAGAACATGAACTGCAAGTTGATCAAAGAGCTGCTCACCTACAATTCCGCCAACAGACTGCTCATCACGGGCACGCCGTTGCAAAACAACATTACCGAACTCTGGTCGCTTCTGCACTTCCTGCTGCCGGAGATCTTCAACGACCTCCGTAGTTTTCAGAGCTGGTTTGACTTTTCATCCATGTTGGATAACAATGGTCAGACGGATGTCATGGAGCGTCGGAAGCGCACTCTGGTCTCCACGATGCACTCGATCTTGAAGCCTTTCCTCCTCCGTCGGGTGAAGACTGACGTCGAAACATCGCTGCCAAAGAAGCGAGAATACATCCTGTATGCGCCCTTGACTACAGAACAAAAGGATCTCTACCGCGAAATTCTCAATGGCACTGGCCGCCAGTACCTCGAGGAGAAAGCCACAGAACGCCTCTTGGCCAAGAGTGGAAGAGTCTCGCGATCTCAAAGCCTGAAACGCAGCGCCGATACCAGTGAAGCTTCGTCTCCAAACAAGAGTCTCAAGTCTAGTCGTTCTTCCACACCAGCAAGGTCACTACTCACGCCCCGGAGACGCGGCAAGGTGTCAAGCTATACGGAAATCAGTGACCGCGAGTTCAACGCAAGACTGCGTCGACTCGAGCAAGGAGTGGAAGAAGACTTGGACATCGCCGAACCCAGCGAGACAGAGCAGGAGGAGCAGGAGAGAGCCAAAACCATTCGACTTGCCAGTAAGCACTCCCCATCCCATCCCATTTTCCTCCCCCAACCCCAACTAACGCCCTTTCCAACACCAGAGAGGGAAATTGCGCAAAAGAAGATGCAAAACCCAGTGATGCAAGCACGACTCGCCTGCAACTCGCCTCACAACTTCTACTGGCCTTGGATGGACGACCCGACCTCCATCGACGAAACCCTCGTGACAGCCTCCGGTAAAATGCTGCTCTTGGACCGGCTCGTCCCCTGCCTCATCTCGAAAGGCCATAAGATCCTTATCTTTTCGCAATTTAAAACCCAGCTCGACATCCTCCAAGACTGGGCCACGCAGCTCCGCAACTGGAACTGCTGCCGAATCGACGGCGCCGTGAGCCAAGAATCCCGTCGCGCCCAGATCAAATCCTTCAACACCGACCCATCCTATAAGCTCTTCCTCCTTAGCACCCGCGCGGGCGGCCAAGGCATCAACCTCATGGCCGCCGACACCGTCATCCTCTTCGACTCGGACTGGAACCCACAGCAAGACCTGCAAGCCCAGGACCGCGCCCACCGCATCGGCCAAACCAAGCCCGTCATCGTCTACCGCCTCGCGACCAAGGGCACCGTGGAACAAACCTTACTCGAGAAAGCAGACTCGAAGCGTCGTCTTGAGCGCCTCGTCATCCAAAAGGGCAAATTCCGCAGTCTGCTTGATTCCGGCCTCAGTCATACCGATATTGATGATTTGAAGAAAGCCCTCGGACAGGACGAATATGAACGTTTCGAGACGGGTGCTGATCCATCTGCCCTACTGTCACAGAAGGATCTGGATATCTTGACGGATCGGAGTGAGGAAGCGTATGTCCGTGCCGAGAAGGGGTTGGATACCACCGGCCGGGCTTTTATGGCTGTGGAGACGAAGAGGGGTGGGGATGGCATGATGGCGCAGATTATTGGGAAGTGATTTTTTCCATCATCTTGTAGTTTCATAGGGCGGTGGGGAGGGTTATTTAGGTTCCTTGTTTTCCGCTTCTTGTGTTATTTCTATTTCTCTTTTGATGCGTTCTGGCGATTTGACCCATCATCTACCTGATTTACTATGGGTGGTGAGAACGGGGCGGGGCGTCAGGGAAGCGAAACATAACACCAGGCTGGTTTGTGCCTATCAGGCGTTCTTATTATGTACTGTACATTAGATAGACGGGGCGAATGCCCGGAGGGGGAGGGGGAAGAGGAAGTGAGGAATGCGACAAGAGTCCGAAAACGGACGGACTCTATGAGTTGGAACAAGATCAATCACACGTCTAGTGGAATCGAAGCATGCAAAAACATGAGGCACGAGACACGAAACATCCATTTAGCGCCTGATGCTCCTCGCCAAGAACATGGCTATTTCGATAACAGAGTAGCAAAGCTCATACGCGAACAAACTCCTCCGGAGACGAAGGAAGTGCCAGAAGAACCCAGGTGGAAGTATATTCAAGAAGACGGGATAAGAGAGGAAAGAAGGAGGGATGAGCGAAACGGACTACCGGGACAACTTGGCTTCTTCGACCTGTGCCCGTAGATCCGAGAGCACCTCCTTCCGTTGCGCGAGATGGCTCTTCAATCCCTCGACTTGCTCGCCAACGGTCTTGACATCATCCCTGAGACGTTCCACATTCTGGCCATCTTTGGATCGCCCCGCTCCTTCTCGCAGCTCCCGTAGCTCCCGCTCCTTGTACTCCAGCAGCTGGAGCGCCTCTTTCTTGATCAGAACCCAGTTCGGCCCGCCGTCATTTCGGGGCCGCTCCCGATCCCGTCGCCCTTCCGAGGCCTTCTTCGCAGCCTCCAGCTTGCTGTCGAGTTCCGCTAGCTCGCGCCTCAACCGGACCTTCTCCCACTCCTCGTCCTGAATGGTGTCGCTGAAATCCGTGCCCTTGGGCGTGTAGGATGTCTTTCCGCCAGCGCCCAGTCGACTCAGATAAGTATCTCCGAATTTGGCCTTCCGGCCCGTGCGGGTCTCCATGTCTCCGCTTGCACCCCATTTCTGGGCCGGACGAGCATTGTCAAGCTGATAGTCGATCTTGTTGTTTTCGAACGAGGCACGCAGTGACGCCGGGATAGTGCGTGGGATGCGGAAGCCCTCGTGGCGGTAGTTCAGAATATGCAGGAACGCAAGGGTGGCGTCTTTATTAATGGACGGGGATGCAGAGGGGTTGACCAGGTTCCACGCGGAATGAACATCCGTATCCGGAACGTCGAGGGAATCGTAAAGGGGCTGTAGCGCTTCAACTATACCGGGCCGCACCGTGTTAGTGAACGAAGCAGCGGCAGCAGATCATCGGAACGTACAGGAAATTTCTCCGCGGTGGTTCTTGTTTGCCATATAGATCTCCTCGTATTTTGACTTATCAGCCGGGTTCATGTACCATTCAAACCCATCTTTCAGTCCGGGTGTGTCATCTTCATCCTCTATGCGTTCGAATTGCTCTGGACGACTGCTCAACGCACGGGTCGCGTGAACTAGATGGGATTTGGATTCGGGAACGAGCCAATCGGGGAGGACATTGGGGACGGCTTGTAGTTCCTGTGGGGGTGGGATGTTTTAGCACATGGAGAGCTCTGAAGGGCAGGAGGGGGCATTGGCAGCAGAAGCGGGCGGCGGGAAAGGAGACATGCTGCAGGCGCCGCGGCAGTTAGGGAGGGAGCTCACATACCCCGTTCACCAGATCGAAAACTAATCGCATGGCGACGCAGAACTCCTCAAAGTCGAGCTCACCATCTCCATCGACATCGGCCAGATCCCAGACCTTTTCGAGTTGGTCATCGCGAAGCCGACTGTTCCTCAACACCGAGGCCGCCTGGGAGTTGTTCAGACGCGGCTGGCCGCCCGCGAGCGATGCGAAGATCTCCCAGTACCGTTCAATTTCCCACTGCTCGATCTTCTTGGTGGACATGGTGGCAGGGTGCAACGGGGCGGGGGACACCGAGCAATGGGAGATGATGGGGATAATCTTGGGGAATCCCTGGGAAACACTGGGATAAGGAATGGGGGGGAGTTGCTGGTCGTCATCCGCTTCGGGCGTCCCGCAGTGGCTCCGATGGGGTTGCCGGAACAAGTTAGTTCCGTCCAGGTACAGTCTTCCATCTACGTATCTACTCCGTACTCCGTAGTATTTAGAACCATGTCAAGTCGTGGGTTTTCCATATAAATATCTAAAAAAATGTCTAGACATTACTCGCCCCTCTACCAGGCTGTGCTCTGCCAAGCTGGTTTCGCCATGCACCATGGCCAACACTATGTACCGCATCCCTGCACGAACAGTTATACATCGGAAGAAGCCCCCGGGCAGCTAGCAACCATTAAGCCATGAGGATACTCACTCGGGACTCCTCATCCCAATCAAAGACAGAAGTCATGTACTTTTCTTGTCGGAAGTTCCATCCTCACCCTCTTTTTTGGTTTGCGTTTTCAGTTCCTCTTCCACTTGTATAATGGCTCGCTCCGCTTCCAACGCAAGGTCGGGTGCCTCAAGGATTGAAGCCAGTTTCTTCGCATCCTTCATACGAAGTAGTAGCCGGTCATCGCTCTTCTCAACTTCTTCCACCATCTCCGATATGGGCTTGCCTACCCCCGTGCTCTCCAGCGCGTAGGAGACCCGCCTCGCATACAGTTCTTCAAGCCCAGGGTGTGATGTTGGATTCAAGAGATCCCTTTCCAGGAGAACCTCCAGATGCTTGGAGCCATTCAATGCTTGGACCAGTCAGTACATCGGCTGTCATCGGCAATGATAGAAGGCGCGGGGAAGAAACCCACCTCGTCCATGGGACCATGCTCGGTACACGAGGTAGAAGAAAGGAACATTAGGTACACTATATTGCATGGGTAGCCATATGGTTAGCCAAATCCGGTCAAATAGATCCCCAGACTGGGGTCGATAGAAAGAGCCTCGTACAGAGGGATGAGTCCAATGGGAATGGTTAGAGGAGTCACGAGGAGGCTCAACCACATCCTCCGGCGATGCAAGTCCTGTCTCTCGGTCGCAATGGCTTGCAGCATGGTTCGGAGCTTTTCAGGCCGGATTGCATTCCCCGGAAAAAGCACATCCACTTTTTTCGTCCCGTGGGATTCATCAACTCGTCGCGCTGACTCCAGCGATGGAATGCTTTTCAGGCCCCATTCTTGATATGGGATTCGTTGTTGGACTCTATTACCCCACGAAACCAGGTGCTTCTTCCATCCTTTATCGGCCTCCTCCCATTTGGCCCATGTTTCTGCGGCTTTCTGCGTGATCTTCTCGTGTATCGAAGGTGCTTGCGACGGACCGCGGCGGAGGGGGCGAGCATAGATCAGAGCTTGTCGCGTCGAGATAGGGATGACGAAGAGTCGCATAGCAACTGCGGAGGACGTCCTGTCCGTATTCTTATTCTAGATGCCGTGGTGTGTTTTCGGGGATCAATGATGATCGCTAAGTAGGGGAGTCTGGTAAGCAACCAGGGAGAGCTAGCGATCGACCAGAGAAAATAACCGATTCAAGGGCGTGGATGAAAGTGGCATGCCTTTCTGGTCTAATGAAGAACTCTGGAAGTCACGGGGCCTGACTGGACTCTTGGAGTTGTTGTGTGTGCGTCTCTCTGGAGACAATGAGCGAAACGGAGATGGATGCGTGGAAGTAGACCGACCATTAATCGGTGGTGATGATGATGATGCTGGATGCTGGATGCTTAGTTGCTGCGGCGGTGCATCGCAGACGTCATTCCGCTCCGTGTTAGCGGTAAGAATGGATGACCATCGGGGTATTCAAAGTTTCCAATCGCCCCATACCGTATGGGTCTTACTGCCCGGGTTGCGATGGCGGGCGGTCCTGTACGGTAAGTACGATCGGTACCTGGTAACGTGGTACATAGCGAACTAAGATCGAAGTAGTTCTAGTTCCAACCGGATACTCGGCGTACGACGTAGGCTTCCATCATCCCGAATTTCTTGAACCAGCCTCCATCTTTCCCTCGTTTCCTCCTCCCGCTCCGGCATCCCCCTCAAATCACTTGATTGCCGCTTTATTTCACGGCTGTGGTCTCCTCTCTCGATGACCCTGTCTTCCGCAAGGGCCAAGGCTTCCCAAAATTCAGTCCACCCCTCTGCCCGCTAAACTTCCGAGGGACATTGAGGCGATGCAGACTAGATCCGCGGCTTGCCCCCATCTTCCGACCCGCCGACGCAACTTTGCCTGGAACCACCGCTGAACTGTAAGGCAATGGCACAAGATGTGCGCGACCCACGACTGCAGCCTCCGGATGCCGGCCCTCTCTCCGATGAACAGCTGTCGGAGCCACCTTCCGCTCCAGAGTGGATGTCGGCGCTTCACAGCGACAACGATTTTGGGCACCATGACGCAGTAGATCTCTCAGCTGGAAACTCGCGTTCGCCAGAGAGTACAGTAGTGGGGGAGATTGAGAACAGCCCGGCAATGGGGAGGAAACCGCGGACGCTACCAGGTGATTATCCCTTCTTGTTCTACTGCGCCAGATTAACTAATTCATGATCATCCATATAGGATGGATCCGGTCGGTCGAGTATGCAGATGACGATGCAGAAGCTGCTGTTACAGATAGCCTGCTCCCTATGCAACCCGGGGAAGCCGTCCTCGCCCAGCATAATCACTCGCCCTATGCGACATCGAGGCCTACCCTTTCCAGCGGGCAGGGCGAAGGTAGTGGGCGCAATATCGGACGAGGACGTGAGTCGCGCTGGAAGAATTTTTCCAGAGATATTGCATATCCTCGCGAACAAGGGGTGGAAGAGAAACTTGTCACGCCCGACTGGTTGGATGAAAACGTTGGCGATTATTCTCAACCATGGCGAGGTCAGCTTTCACCCGACGATGACACCGAAGACCCCTTGAGGATGAGACGGCGCCGAGAAATCTGGTTCAAGCGCTTCCACAACACTCTTTTGAAGAGTCCGATGGTCCCCTTGATCTTTCGACTTACAGTCTGGTGCTTTTCCCTGACAGCGCTGGCTCTCGGAGGCTCAATCCAACACCTCTCGGGGCAGTACAAGCACCCTCAGGGCCCCTCTGCGCTCATGGCAATCATTGTCGACGCTGTCGCGCTGGTCTATCTCATCTACATCACGTTTGACGAGTATACGTCCAAACCACTTGGGCTTCGGTCTCCTTCCGCGAAAGCACGACTCATTCTTTTGGATATCTTCTTCATTGTGTTCGACTCGGCCAATCTAAGTTTGGCGTTTGAATCACTCTCCACCGTGAGAGGCGCATGTACGATGGCCGAGGTTAACCAAGAAGTTGCCCCTAAAAACGACGCAATATGCGACCGGCAGATAGCCCTAGCTTGTGTGCTACTGATCGCGCTGATAGCCTGGCTTACCACCTTCTCGATCAGCGTCCTCAGGTACGACAATCTGCAGTCTTATGCAAGTGACCATACTGACAGCTTCGGAATAGACTGGTCGAACGAGTTGCCTCATGAACCGCTGCAATTACCCCTGTCATCCTTCCCCCCTTCCCTTCTTCAATCTATTTTCCCCCCCCCTGGGCTTTTTTTTCTTCGCCCCCTTCTTGCTATTATAAGATCCAGATTGCCTGTTCTGGTCTTCTTTTGCTTCTTGGCTTGCCCCCTTTTACCCTTTACGATTTCTTGCCCTCCCTTTTTGGGCTGCCTGGCTCGGCACTATATCTTTGCTTAGTTTTCCTAGTTATGGGCGTTCTATACCTGTTGTGCCGGTCGACTGGAGTTTGAACTTTGGGTCGGAAACGGAAACTCTGGCTTTTTGGAATTAACACGATCGCTGTGCATATACGATAATCATGTACAAAGGAGCATTTATGGTAAAGAATGCACGGCCGCTACTACCCGAATCATCACGGGATTTACCTAGACCTGCAGCACAGGCCCGTCTGTGCCATACAAGGGATCGCTGTGGAACCAACCCAGCTCCTGAATGTTCCTGGAAACCTTGTTTTCCTCCCTTGAATCGCCGTAGCACATATCCCACTGTTTCTGGGGTGGGTACGCGCCGACCATCAGGAAGGAATCGTGGCCGGTACCAAGGTCTTCCAGGAGCCGGTGGCCGACGCCGGCGGGCACGATGATCAGATCGCCTTTTTCGACGGTCGGCTCGAAACGGTCGGGGTTCGTTTCTCCACCGAAGCAAAGTCGTGCACGGCCGGAAACCACTCCCAGGACCTCGTGAGTGGTGCTGTGGAAGTGCGTTTGGCTGTACATGGAATAGACCCACTGTGGCCTGACCTCGCCAATCTCCTCTAGGTGCGTCGCGAGGTCCCTAGCGGACGCGTTAAAAGCTTTGTGGTAGATCATGAGTGGCTTAGACTGGACGGAGGTGTTAGGGATTCCGCCCCATTTGGGGATCTGGCGAGATGTGACTGAGATCTCGGAGGGAGGCTTGAACGACATAATTTGACTGATTCCGATCCGGAGTCCGACGCTGTGTGTCTCACTGAAGGAGCCGGAACTGAAGGCGCTTTAAGGGTTCAACGGCCGGGTTCAGAAAGCGCAGACATGACGTCATCCGTGTCAGTGAGTAAATCGGCCTTGTGATGGTCAATGATGCCACCTGCTGTACGGCCTGGTCTTCGCGCAGTAGACATGTCACCTTACGCTACCCGGAGCGCAGAGGATACGTCTCCAACGGTTCGGGGGATGCGCCAGTCAGCTCGGGGTTGGCTGTGCAGAGGTATGTACTTACGTAGCGCTGTTCCAAGGGTCGGGTCCCGTGCCGGCCTACCCAAAGAGTGTTGGAAATAGGGGGAAATCGAACACCCACACTGGAAGCTGATGAAGAGATGACGCTGGGTTGAAAGAGTCTCCATCTGAGGCCAGATACAGAAGAACCCCACGTATGTAGATAGCGAGATCAACCTCATGGAAACCGCTCAGGACGACGAGGCTGCAAGGCGGCCTGGGGAATCGACATCTAGATCGCGAGCATCGAGCTGGGCTGACCGCCTGCCTCAAGCAGCGCGCGCCCCCCTCTTAACTTGCTGAGGGAAACCCGAAACCCGCGACCAGTCAAGTCCCACCGACACCTTCTCCGCCGACCACCACCACCTCCTCCTCCTCCTCCATTACCACCATTACCACCACCACCGCCCAACGCCACGCCTTTTCTTGCTCGTCGCTCTACTCATCACTCCTTCCCCCCCTCCTTCTTGGCTGTTTCCTCCTCCCCCCCTTAGGCGCGTTACCTCCCTTCTAGTCTCGAGCCTTTGCCTCTCGAACCTTGTGGCCTGGCTTTCCTATCCTCCGGGCGGCCGTTGTCATCGTCCCACCGCGCGCGGCTTTCCTTCTGCCTTAACGCTAGGCAGAGGTACCGAAGGTGTATTCATACTCATCACCGCTGCCTTAAACCTAACCGCCCACCGCTCAACCTGAAGCTACCTACGATATCCTTGAGACGTTAAGGTAAGTTCCGTGCCTCTTTATCTCGCGGATCTTTGTACCTGCCCCCTTTCAACTCGTATCCTGCTGTCTCTACAGTTTTAAACCCTCCCACGTCCTGCTTCTGCACGAGTTGCTTTTGCCCACTCAGGCTAATGCTTTCCCGGTTATTCTACAGACGCGTGTTCAAGGTTCCAACCCGGCTGGCTGTAACACGCAGGATGCCTGCTATTATCCCCCAGACCCCTCACAAGGACGACTTGGATGAAACGTGAGTTCTTTCGGATGCACCAAGGACTTCCGCTGACGTGGACAGATGGACGTTTCTAGAGAAGGGCATCGATAGTGTGATGCTCAAATTGGAGGAGGGGGTGGATATGAAAACGGTATGGTGCCCAAGATCGGTTTCCCGCTTTGCCTGCCGGGATGCCCATTCCTTCTACCTGGTATGGTGCTGACCTTTGACTTCGTTGCTCTAGTATATGGCACTGTACACGTATGTCTATATCCCGCGGCATCTGATCGCCATCATGCAACGGCTAACACTGAGGATCAAGCGCGGTCCATAACTTTTGCACATCACAGAAAGCCATCGGCAGCAGCCAGAACATAAAAGCGCATCATGGAGGTCGGTTACCATTCTTACAGCGACACAACACTCCCAGGACATCATCGTTGACGACGTTTGCAGCACATCTGCTTGGAGAGGAGCTGTACAAGCTGCTTGGAGAGTACCTTTCCCGCCACCTTGACGCTGTATACAGAGAGTCGGAAGGCCACGCGGAAGAGGCCCTGCTAGGATTTTATATCCGGGAGTGGCTCCGTTACACGACTGCGGCTAAGTATATCAATCATCTTTTCCGGTATTTGAACCGTCACTGGGTCAAACGGGAAATTGACGAAGGCAAGAAGAATGTATACGACGTGTACACATTGCACTTGGTCAAGTGGAAGGACGATTTCTTCATGAAGGTCCATGAAAAGGTCATGGAAGCCGTTTTAAATTTGGTCGAGAAGCAGAGAAACGGTGAAACCATCGAGCAGTCCCAGATCAAGAGCATCGTCGACTCGTTCGTCTCCCTTGGTCTGGACGAGAGCGACAGCAGCAAGTCAACTCTCGAGGTTTACCGGTACTACTTCGAGAAGCCCTTCATTGTCGCTACCAGAGTTTACTATGAAAACGAGTCTCGTCAGTTTGTTGCCGAAAACAGTGTCGTTGAATACATGAAGAAGGCAGAGGCCCGTCTCGATGAAGAAAAGGCCCGCGTGGGCCTGTATCTGCACCAAGACATCGCCAAGCACCTCACCGACACGTGTTTGGATGTTCTTGTTACAGCCCACTCGGAACTACTGCGCGACGAGTTCCAAGTTTTGCTCGATAATGAACGCCAAGAAGACCTGGCGAGGATGTACAGACTGCTGTCGCGAATCAGAGACGGTCTTGACCCCTTGCGCACGAAATTCGAGGCTCACGTCAGGAAGGCAGGCTTGGCCGCAGTGGAGAAGGTTGCTGCTGATGGCGATGCATTCGAACCTAAACTGTACGTGGACGCCTTATTGCAGGTACACACGAGGTATCAGAGTTTGGTCAGCGAGGCCTTCAATGGCGAGTCAGAATTTGTCCGGTCCCTGGATAATGCTTGCCGAGAGTTCGTTAATCGCAACAAAATATGCAAGTCTGGATCAACAAAAACGCCAGAGCTTCTGGCCCGGTACACCGATTCGCTACTCAAGAAGGGATCCAAAGCAGCGGAAGAGTCCGAACTGGAAGAGATGCTCGTACAGATCATGACCGTCTTCAAATACATCGAAGACAAGGATGTGTTCCAGAAATTCTACTCCAAGATGCTTGCCAAACGATTGGTCCATGTCAGCTCGGTCTCTGACGATGCCGAAACCAGTATGATCAGCAAGCTCAAGGAGGCGTGTGGATTTGAGTACACCAACAAACTGCAGCGCATGTTCCAGGATATCCAGATCTCGAAGGATCTCAACGCCAGCTACAGAGATTGGCAGGAGAAGATCTTGGACGACGACGATCGAAGGAAGCTGGTAGACTCACACTTCCAGATTTTGGGAACTGGGTTCTGGCCTCTTAATGCGCCTTCGACCGACTTCCTAGCACCTCCTGAAATTGTCAAGACTGCTGAGCGGTTTCAGAGTTTCTACTTTGACAAGCACAATGGTCGCAAGCTGACATGGCTCTGGCAGCTATGCAAAGGAGAGATCAAGGCTAACTACATCAAGAACACTAAGGTTCCATACACGTTCCAGGTGTCAACCTTCCAAATGGGCATCCTCCTGCTGTTTAATGAGCACGACACGTTGTCTTACGAGGACATTCAGAAGGCCACATCTCTTGCACCCGAGATTCTCGACCCGAACTTGAGCATCTTCTTGAAGGCCAAAGTGCTCACCATAAGTCCTGAAGGGTCCAAACCAGAGCCAGGCGCATCGTTCTCTCTGAATTATAATTTCAGGAACAAGAAGATCAAGGTCAACCTCAACATCCAAATCAAGTCCGAGCAGAAGGTCGAGTCCGACGACACACACAAAACGATCGAAGAGGATCGGAAGCTGCTGCTTCAGGTATGTCCCTACCGAACCCATCAACTTGCAAGAAGGACCCTGTTCCTAACCTTTTTGTCCCACAGTCCGCCATCGTCCGTATCATGAAGTCGCGCAAGAAGATGAAGCACGTGCAGCTTGTCCAGGAAGTGATCCAACAAGTCAAATCTCGCTTCCCTCCCAAAGTTCCTGACATCAAGAAGAACATTGAAGCTCTTATGGAGAAGGATTATATAGAGCGGTTGGATGGTGACGAAATCGCTTACATTGCATGAACTCTATACAATTGGTGTCTCGCGCTTCCCTCACCTTCCCCATCTCTATACCTCTCTCTGTCCCCCACCTGCCTCGCTGCCTATCTCTGCGGTCCTCCCTCTCGCCGTATCATCCTTTCAAGTGTCCCGTTAGCGCGATATCTCTCACTATTAGTCTCCCTTCATCTTGATCTACTTTCCCCATACGGCTCATCAAGGAACGGAAGGATGGGAAACGTCTTGTATTTCTTTCACAGCGCTGCTACGACAAATGATAACCCAGGTATACAACTTAGATTGGACCTCTCTTTCTCTTCCTTCCATGTGGGAAATCAAGTTTGAAGCAGCACTGCTGGATCAGGCGAATGGGACGAACAACTTCGAGTTTATTGAGGGTGCTATAAGGTGGGCGTGTGTAGTGGCAGTATTAACTGGTATTATTATTTATATAATGGTATCAAAAAGGATTAGCTGGCTATATATCTGTGAGATCGAAAGCATACATGACGTTGTAGATCGCATCGTACAGGCAGGCGTTGTTGCTGTCCTCTTCGGTATCAATGTAACACAAAGGGAGAGCCTGTCATGACAGAAGTGTGGGCATACATACAAGGTGGAAGAAGATCTGTTACTATATAATCACACAATTCGAAGGTAATAGATGGGCCCATACTCGCCTAGGTGATTAAGTTGTCTTGAGAGTATTGATTTATTTCTCTGCATGCGGCTCGGCCAGTTCTGGGGGCACCTCCTTGATGTCAGGAGATGGTTGCAAGGAGGTACCCTGGGCTTGATCTTCCTCTTCCTTGGTGTGGGAGGCCTCGGGTCCTTCGAGAGCCGATAGCGTAGAATTCGCTGCCGGAGTAGCTGCCGGCTCGTTGGGTTCGGCTTCGGAGTGAGTTATTGGTTCGCTAGGTTGTTTGGTTGCTGGTGTGGCATAGTCGTCGTCACGAACCGACGCCGTACGCGACAGGGGCGATCTCGAGTACAGATTATCCTGTTCGCCATTGTTGCTGCTCTCGTCATCTTTCCTGTAGGCAGAGCTAAATTCGCCGCTTTCCCGCCGCAGGAGTATATTGCTCCACCGCTTTCTCCTGCTTCCACTGCGGGAGATTGTGGAATCTTCACTACGACGAGACTGCATAGAGCGCCGTCTTCCTCTGTCTGTCTCGCCGGTCTCCGTCACGGCCGAAGCGGATGGCGAAGCGACGGAAGGCGGTGACGCCGGTGTAGCCCTCTTCTCCTGCCATTCCTTTCGCTTTTCACTTGCCCAAGAACCCCATGAGCTGAGGTAGGCACCCGCTTTCTGGCCCGCCGCGCTCACGGATGCCTGTGCCTGAGTAATGTCCACAGCAGGAGCTTTACGCCCAGAGAACCAAGAAGAGCCTCCAATTGAGTGTATTGATGCTGAATCGGAAGGCGAGAAGGGTGGTGAATTTCGGGATCCTTTATCCAATGATGATCGCTGCGACTGTGTGGCTTTCTCTTCATTCTTCTTGCGCTGAGCCTCCCGCATGGACTCGATATCGGCCCAGAAGCTGTTGAACGCTGCACTTACTTTCTTTTGCCCAGTAGAAATATGTCGGTTCAGGGCCTCGCGACTTTCGCGAACCCTTTCGTCCAAGTGAAGTTCCGCGACTTGTTGGGACAGACGTCGTTGAACATCGTCGATGGTCAGCCCTCCTGCGCATGGATGACGAGGTTCGACGATCGAGAAAAGAAGTGCATCAGAGGTCAGGCGCTTGAAAAGGGAATAATTAGGCGTGTTCCTCCACTGCGCCAGGAATTCCGTATTGAACTCTAATGCGGGGTCACCTTCAATGTTGAACGCTTCCAGATGCGCTCGGCTCCTCCGGCCCAAGTCATCGGCGTTGAAGGAGTTAAGTTCTTCATGATATTGCATGCAAGCAAGCAGGGCCAAGAGGTATTCTTCGAACTGGAGTCGAATGAATTCTTCCGATCCCATGTATCCGTGCGTCTTAGGCTGCTCCGGATGCGCCTCGTCCCAGGTGTCGTTGATTATTTGCGTGAGAAGGTCAATCCAGCGTCTGTCTGCGACAGAAAGAGCTAGAGCACTCCGGAGAGTGGGAGATGAGATATTAATGGTATCTTCGTCAAGCTAGACAAGAACAGTTAGCGAACGGAAACATGACCGTTTAGGTGGCTTCCTCACATTAACTAGAATATCGCTATAGCGATCTTTTTGCTGCAACAGCAGCGAATTCGTCGAGCCGACAACATACGACTTTGTTCCATAATCTGCCAGCAGATCCAGCTGCTGCAAAGGCGTGTAAGGCCCAAACATGCTTCCCTAAGAAAAGTCAGAAACATCCACAGTCCACAGGTGGTGTCCAGCAAACCTTGCCGAAAATCTGCAGGGGCAGGCCCATATAAGCCAATACTGCAAACATATCAGCATGCATTGTAGTTAGATGAGATGCGCGATCTGCATGACTAACAAGAACTCCGATCACTAGTCTTTAGAGAGGTTGGTTGTTCCACAGTCTGTGCATAGGTGTCGAATGCTGGGTCGGCACAGTCCTGTAACTTATTCATAAGTCCCGGAATCAGAGAGACAAGAGAGAATTGGATCATGCACAGCCGCTCGCACCTGGAGCCGAAGAAGAGCATCTGCGGGATATTAGCATGCAATGTGAGTTATGCTTCCGGATGACTGCATACCTTAGGCTGTAGAAGCAAAGCCTTGAACAGGACTAGGGTTTGATACTTGAACTCATGGATCATCTCCCGCAGGGAGAGCCCTAAAGTCAAATTGAGATTAGTGACACCCGCAATGCTGAAAGCCAGCCAGTCTCACCTAAATTCTGGTCTTTCGACCCCTCATCCTTCTTCAAGCTGATCACTAGACCTTCTCTGAATTTCTGTGAGGGGATGAGTACCAGCAGAAATGAATAGTAGGGTAAAAGCGCACCTTCAGAATGTCAATGTCCGAAAAGTCCCTATTGCTTGCCATGTCAGCCGAGCCACTCCCCAAGTTTCATTTTATGAATGCAGATGCAAAAGTATGGCCTCAATTCAATTGCCAGGCCTTGGTTGGCAGACGTACCGTTGCGCAAACCAAGCCGAAGTCACGACGGACAGTTTCTCTCTCAGCTGTCCCAGGCTTCGAGGACTGTCGGTCACCACAACCACCGCCTTTTGTACCGTAGATCTCGTGACATCCGGAGGCCGGTATACAAGGAGGTTAGAGTCGATCTGTCTCGAACAAGCAATACCGAAAAGTGACGTTGCGGGTTCGGTGGCCGTCTCCTTTCGCCGCACAGTGAAGTAGGAGAATTCCTCGGTGGACCTGAGAGATACAGCCCGCGTCAACTCATTATCGATCACGAGGAAGGGGGGGGGGGCCGGGGGGGCTCAAGTCGTACATATGCGCTCCATCAGATAGGGCCATAAATGGCAACAAGGACCAGTCATTCTCCGCAACGGGGTCGCTTCCATCGTCTCCAAAGCATAGTTCGATTTCGGGGCCCCTGAAAAAGTGGGAAGGAATGGTTAGCTAGTCTACTCTTTCGCGCGGGGGGAAGAGAGAGCAAGCAGAGACGAGGTACAAGTGCTAGTGCTTGAGGGCGGCTAGAGGAATGAGTGCACTCGAGGAATGTTCACAGTGGTCTGAATCATATCCAATATGGACCCTCCCTTCTAGACCCAGGCTCTGGCCCCTTGGCTCAGTCCGAGCGACAACGACTCACCTTGCATGGTGAAAATCTATAACCATGACAATGGGCTCCTGACCACTGCGGCTGCGAGACATGGCGTGGGGACTGTCATAGAAAACGGGGACTGGAAAGTGACACGTTCCAAGCCAATTTCCACCAAGGAAAAGGAGGAAGCCCCTCCTGGAAGAGAACCCAATAAAATGGACGTCGCCTCACGTGGGACGAAGGGACGACGACAATTAATGCAAGACTGGAGGGAGGGATCGCTAGGCCAAGTAGGTGGTAGTCCTCGAATTAAACTGGACCCGACCAGGGGTCGGTTGGCCCAGCTCGGCCCAGACGACACCCCCATTGGTTCCCCCGCCGGGCGGTGACAGAAGTCGGGGAGGGAACGGACAGAACTAGAAGGCCCCATGCGCCCGTCCGGGTTAAGGGCGCCCCCACGGCTGAAAGGAGGGCGTTAAGGTTGTTTAAGGTGCTGATGGGGGAGGATGAATGCCTGCGTATCTATATCAAAAGTACTACGACGACGCCACCCCGGAGGTCATTGAAAAATCGATTGTTTTTTTCCAAAGCAATATCTATCGCGCACATACGGGAATCAACCAGATTCCTCTCTCTCACACAAGTTAACCAAAGGGAATTTAAGACACGCAAGCTCATCAATCGTGGACCAAGTGGGAAGTGTATATATAGCAGAATTGGGAGACAAAATTTAGTCGTGTTACAGACGGGTTCAATCGCCAGATCGTCCGACTCTCAACGCAGTTGAAATATCCAAACGCGAGTCGTGTATAGACGTCTGGAAGTAAGATTGACGAAAAGGAAAGGAAAGCTTGGGGAAAGAGAACACAAGTAGACCGTTCAAGGCAAAAACAGATCACAGTCCCCGCTCCCAGTCTACATACCAAGAAAAATCGAAGGAATTGACGACATCATAATCATATCGCATCGCTGCCTGCGCCTGATCCATGGCATTATACGCTCGAACGTCCTCATGCGAAGGCCTGTTGTCCATCGGCGGCTCCTTCGACAAGCACTTGACCAGCATCATTGGGGTGGTCAATGTTGTGGAAGTCCAGGATTTCCGAGTACCTAATCCGAATCAGCATCTAACGTCTAGCAATCCCGTGGCAGGCGAGCATACATCATGATCTTCCAGGTATCGACTGGCAGATCGGCGTCATTGAAAGACCAATCGAACTTTTCCTCCGCCACAGGCTCGTCCGTAGGATCATGGTAGGGTGCGAGATATTCATGGGCAAGCGCTTCACCGGCACGAATTCTCTTCTTCGGATCAAAGACTAGCATTCGTTCAAGAAGATCAACAGCTACATTGTGTCAGTCGCTCCAGCCCGTCACTGACGTATCGAAGGGCATTGCACATACCGTCTGGGTCGGCGTTCTTGAACTTGCTAGCCAAAGGTTGCCGCTCGCGTTTGGGTAGCGACTTAACGAATCGCAGAGTCTAGACCAAAAAGCATTATTAATGGGTCATTGACGAGAGTCAACGGTCGCGCAGGCAGGTGCTCACGTTTTCACTGCAAATAGTCTGGATAACATCGTCCGGCGGGGTTCCAAGAAGCTCTGTGATGATGGAAAACTGGTTGACATGGTCCTTTCCAGGGAACAGAGGTTTTCCCTCCAGCATTTCCGCAAAGATGCAGGCAGCACTCCAGATATCCACTTCCACGTCGTATTTCTGCCATGTGAGCATGATCTCCGGGGCACGATAATACCGGGTCGACACATAGCCTGTCATCTGGGGGTCCTGGATACGCGCAAGGCCGAAGTCGCAAATTTTCAGGTCGCAGTTTTCGTTGATAAGGATGTTGCTAGGTTTAAGATCACGATGGACGACACCCGCCGAGTGGACATATTTCAATCCCCGCTGCAGATGGTCAGCGTATGCTAGAGAAATAGGCCAACGACAGGCCAGGCGGGAATGAGACATCCATGGTGACATACCAGGATCTGATATAGGAAGTACTGAATGAACTGTTTTTCCAGGGGTCGGGAGGTAAGAAGTCTGTGCAGGTCGGTTCCCAAGAGTTCTGTAACAAAATAGCTGCGGCGACCATCAGAAAACTGAGCGATCCAGGTACAACTCGAACATTCAACTGTGCTTACATGTCTTCGAGCGGAGAGATGAAGATATCACTCAGACTGATAATCTGCATCTAGTCAGCATTGCGGTATGGCGGATGGCGGAGTGCCGTGGGGCGGCATTGACAAACATTCTCGTGTCGCAGGTGCTTCAACAGTTTCAACTCGCGGTACGTTCTCTTGGACAGAACTGGTGTGCTGAATGGTTTCATAATCTTCTTAACGGCGACCGGTTGTCCTGTCAATTGATCCCTCGCAGAGCTAAATTATCCCATCACGAATGTCAGCCCATGTGCTGTTCGGCGGGCCACAGGAACCACCCGCGTGGCGGCGAAATCCAGAAGAGGGGTTGGGTTGTCGACCATACCAGACAAGACCAAAGGCGCCCATTCCTACGGGCTGTAGGTCTGTGTACCTGCAAGAAGATAAGTAACTGCTCGCGAGACCGCATCGACCGCCAGGAGAATTTTCTCGAGAGTCGTACCTGCTTGTGATCTCGAAGGTTGTGCCGAAGATCTGGGCACGCACGAATTCCGCCATTTTTGGAGCAAGGATGACGGTACACCGCACTCAGGGAGGGGGGGGGAAGCCTCGGAAGTTTTCTCTGGAAATCTGGGCGATGGGGAGTGAGAGAAAGAGCGGGAATGCGGGTGATGAAGTGGTAACGGCAGTGGCAGGCAAGGCTAAGTGAACAATGACAGGAGCAAGAAGCAAACGCGAGATGGAGGGACGAGGTACAACCGATGTTGGAGAGGAAGAGGCAGCAAAAGCCGTAGGTGGCGCCCAGCAGGGTGTGTGGGGAAACGACGCTCTCTTAGTAGTTTAGCCCGTTGAGTTCGCAGTCTCCGGACCGCCCAAAACAAGACCGATGACGTCCGCGACGGAAGCAGGGTATCGCGAAAGGTCCGCCTGGCCTGTGGGCACAGCTAAAGCAGCTGTGCAAATTGCGAATCTTGTGCCTACGCAGTCCTGTCTAGACTCTTGAGTCATATCCATTGGTTGGAAGAGGGATCCAATTTCAGGGAAGAAGCCCGTCACGCTTACCTAACATTAAGTCGGGGGGAGAATTTCTCCAGAGAGGGGCAACTACATAGGAACATGGTGCTTCATCACCGCGACACCCCCCTCCAGGTGTAACTCACTCGTCGCGAGGTTTCGTGATTACTCTACGTTGGTTTATCCTGCTTCTTAAGCTCAGGCCTTGCTGTCGTATAGAATCCATGTTTTTTGGAGGCTGCAGCAACGTGAAGCAATTCCCACCTCCGACAATATTGAACTGCCGCTTATCTCGATGCTAGCGAGCATGAAAAGCCCCCCCATCACAAACCCCCCCAAGATAACCCATTCCGGAGGTATCAGCCCATCAAACGGAGCAAGCGGATGCGCAATAATGTTTAATCCTTCATGGCCGTCTGCGCGATCGATCCCGAATACAACATGGCCAACGGGACGGCATCTACTACGTAATGCCCATCGGGGCGAACCATACTAGCATCGAGTAGCATCAAGCAGAGGGCTCCCCAATGTCATCATACCTCCTCGGTGGGGCGCACCCGGTTCCAATCAATTCCATCAATTTCGTGCCTACCAGCCACTCGAAACAACCTATATCTACATTATCTTGGCCGGACACCGATCAGGCACTCGATCTTGTATCCGCCAGCTTTTAAACCCCTTAAAGAGGGGCGGGCAGAAAGACAAAAGGAGGGGCACCTGAGTGATACTAACAAAAATCAACTAGTGTGTGTGGAAATAATCTCCGGGATGAAGCAAGGCTGTCTTGTTAATATCATTGTCTTAAGACCGTCTTCGTTCCTATACTGTTTCCAGAGGCGAGGCGAGGCGTTGCATTAAGGGAAATTTGCACGGAGTGCCAACACAGCTAGCGTAAGGCTCAGGCCATGACGCCTGAACGCAGGTGGTGGCAGGATGACTACGGTGTACTAGTAGACAACTAATAGTACATCGGCACTACTCAAGACGCACCGACACATCCTAATTTACCCGAGATAAGTCAACCCCATCCATCAACGACGCTTTGACATGCTTCTGGCACGAAACTACTGCCTTCCCTTGCAGCAGTAATAGTATGGCCTGGAGTTTTGGAGTAACCGTTAGATAGACCTCTTGCGCTTTCCCTCTGCAAGGAGTCTTATTCCACGGAGGAGGTACTTAGCTACAATGTGGAAAATGCCACATGACACCCGCTTTGACACGGTCATCCCTGCTGTACTACAGCAAACTGGTTTCATGTCACCATGAAGAACCCGACTCTGCGATGTGACGCTTCTATCTGACGAGCTGCAAGTTTTCTTAGTAGAAAGTTCTTCTCATATCTGCAGGATTGACGATGCTAGTCCTTTGTATGCGGCGAAGGCGCGGGATATCGAGAGCTCCCAAATATCCAACGCAGGGCTGCTTCTGACCTCACCTCTGTGCTTTCGTAAAGCCGCGTATATAATCACTCTTCTATTGCCAAGTACTATGTTCAAGAAGTAGTCCCCGTTTCATCTCTCTATGAAAATGGGCTTCTTATATAAGGTGCAAATCTCGGTGGATTATCACGTTCTCTAGAACGCACTGTAAAGCCCTTCAAGATATCCGAAATTAGATATCGGAAGGTCAAAAGATCCGGTTGAGTTTCATCCTCAAGAGCACGGAGCTAGCTGGGGGAAAGCCCATGCAGATTGTAGCACGAGATACTGAAAGGCCATGGTCATACTTGGCACAGTGAATGCTTCAGGCCGTCAAGTGATCCGAACTAGGTTTGACTAGATAAAAATCTTGCCAGGTTTCATCTTTGACCCCGTGTGTGGCAACATATTAGGCCCTTGTCGTCCATATCCATATCTTTCCCAACTTGTTCAATTCTCTAACGTGATGTCTGGGATCCGCACTATGCATCAAGACCAAAATCTGAAACCTGGAGAAAAATCTTCATCTAACACTGGTGAGGGGAAGGAAAAGGGCTTGGGGGGAGGCATTTCCTGTGCTAGTCATAGCCAGTGTTTCATATCCACATGGCTGTCTCAAACAGTCCGCCAAACTTTACTATTATTAACGCTGAAGGTGAACGCACGCCCGAAACAACCCAAGCAGGTGGTGGGAAAACCTTAAAATAAGACATAGATTTCCATTTGGGGCTGCTACCCGCCACATGCAATCTGTGGATGTTATGCAGACGACCCTATATGGTATCTTGATCAGATTGATGTACTCCGTATTATATCGATGATCTTCTGCAAGCGGGTACATGATCTGAGCTATAAGAGTAGCCCAGGAAAGACCGATCATATTATTCACTAAAGTCGGACAAAGGACCTTGCGCTCTAAAATTCATGGGGTGATATATTGTATTTGAAAAAACAATCATTCAGAGAACGGCGGGCACGGATCCAACCCTGCCTGGGAAATCGGCTATCTCCGGGTAACGACCCATGCAAGCCATGTATCTACATGCAAAAGGTATAGTTTGGGTGAAATGCAATTGGATGGCAAGGCACAGTAGCCGGTAGCCTTATGCTCATCTAAGCATACTGTGACATAGCCTCAGCCTCACCTGAAGTATGCCCGGGCGAGATGAGTCCCTGACAGACCCAAAATAGGAAAATCATACGCAAGACCAAGCAGGCGGGTATATGCGCTCTCCTGTGTGATACGGAAAAGGCGGAAAGGTTGGATAGGAGGATCACGGGGTACAACCGAATCGGCTCTAGACCAGATGTGACACAAGAATAAGAAAGCGAAGGAGAAAGCTTTCCTCGAGTAGTTATGGCTATGCGTGTGTGTGTGTGTGTGTGCGTGCGTGTGTTGTTTCTTGTTGAAGGCACGCTAAAAGATTACGAGCGATGGCGCCCGCCGGCCCCCAGGGATACTGGCCTGACTCGTCGTACCGCTGCCACTGGCGCTGGAGCTAGTCCCCTTTCCCACCTTTCCGACCAGAAAACTGGCCATAAAAAGGAAAACCGTGTTTTTAGGGGGAAAGGTAGGGGTCCGATGGGAGAAGTACCTACTGGTCAATGGACAGGCCATCGAACCGGCATCCGTAGAGGGATTTACTATTCCGGAGAACTAGTCACCTAGGTAGAGTACTAAGAGTCGACGGTGGTGTACGGAGTACATAGATCGATCTGATCCATTCATCCATTTAGCGCCAGCCCTTTCTCCCTTTATGCCTTCACTCGCGGTAAGCTTGGGTCGCCGGTCCACGTTTTCCCAAATACCCACCCGCGCCCCTACGATCGAGCGAGTATGTAATCCTCCTCAGGCTCCTCTTTCTGCCATCCATCTCCACTTCCACCTGTCTAGATGACGCTTGGGAACATCCACTCACTCACTCCATTTTACTTCCTTCTCCTCCACCACCACCACCATCACCACCACCAACTTACCTCCATCAATCAATCAATCATATCTTCCCATCACCTCCCCTCTACTCTTCCCCCCTTCCCCTCCTTTCCCTTCCTCGTTCAACGCACACGCACACGCACACGACTTAATCCTCATTATAATGAATGACCAGTAATAATATCTAATCCTCCTGTCCACGCCCGCGCCATCTTCTCCGTCTTCCCTTCCCGCCTGATCGACCCCGACCGACGACTGATCCTCATTGCTTACATTATCTCACTCGAGATCCGCGCTTCCATCCACTCTCCCACATCATTCCCCCCGATCGACCTTAACTACCCTTTTTAGCGTCAGGTCGTCACTCTCGCTCGCTTTCCTGCTCCGCAGTTGGATCCTGACACCCCTCACCCCGGTCAACCTTCCAGCAGAGCCATACTACTCCGCGCCTGGGCTCGGTGTCCTTCCTATTCTTCGCTGTCACTCGGCTTTCCCTCTCCTGCGTCACGAGCCAACAACTCCGTCCCCGGGAGCTTGCAGTCGTCGCTCCGGCCTTCTCCGTCCCAGACTTGACCCGTCTATTGTGCCTCTACCTCCGGCCCCTACGCGCGCAAGCCTCGATCTTTGATCGAAGCTCCATCGTCGATCGCATACCTACCTCCTCTCTCGCTCTCGCCCTCCTTCTCCGACCTCTGCATTTCCTTCGCATTGCGCCGATCACACACTCCTTCCGCGATTATATTTGCTTGGATTTCACGGGAGTTCCTTGCTTGGGAGTCAATTCCCTCCGAGCGTTTCGGGTCTCAGTGTCCTGATAGGTGGATGCCGTGCCCTTCCGCAAGTAGCTAATGGGCTAGCTTTCCGCTGTCTGGAGCCATACCGAGAACATGGGTTCGTGTGTGAGTACAGAGGCGGCAGGGGATGCAGAATCGAAACGAAAGAGCCAGGCGATCGACCGCAAGCTAGAAGAGGATTCGAAAAAGCTACGGCGAGAGTGCAAGATTCTATTGCTTGGTTCGTTGCAATTCTTAATCCGCTCAATGTGCAGTCGGTGATATCTCAAGAGGCAAGCCTTGCTAACGGTGATCTCTTGATTCAGGTTCCGGAGAAAGCGGGAAATCTACTATCGTCAAGCAGATGAAGATTATCCACCAAAATGGCTACACAGTTGAAGAGTTGGCCCTGTATCGTCTAACTGTCTACAAGAACCTCCTCGATTGCACCAAGTCTCTCATCGCTGCCTACCATCAGTTCTCGCTAGAGCCATCGAGCCAGAAAGTCCGCGATTATATCCAATTCCTTTCCGACTACAATATTGACCCCGACCCTAACATACCCCTGGATGCCAAGGTGGGCGATGCGATAACCTATCTCTGGAATGATCCGTGTACGTCCAATGTACTGGAACATCAAAACGAATTCTATTTAATGGATTCGGCACCATAGTAAGTGCCAGCGCCACCCCGGGGCCTCCAGACATGCCGGCTGAACGACTCATTCTAGTTTCTTCGAGGAAGCCAAACGGATAGCATCCGTGGATTATATTCCCAACGTGAATGATGTGCTTCGTGCGCGGACGAAAACAACAGGTATCTACGAGACACGATTTACAATGGGTCAGCTAAGCATACAGTATGAAATCCTTTCGCCTTGGGAGTCCCCATTTCGCTCACTTAGTATACAGCATGTTTGACGTTGGCGGCCAGCGCAGTGAGCGGAAAAAGTGGATTCATTGTTTCGAAAATGTGACATCCATCATTTTCTGTGTGGCGCTCAGTGAGTATGATCAAGTATTACTAGAAGAAAGCAATCAAGTATGTCCCCGCCCACTTCGGCGCTGGTTTCGCCGCTAATCTCCTTCCCCACTTCAAGAATCGCATGATGGAGAGTCTAGTACTGTTCGACTCTGTGGTCAACTCCCGGTGGTTTATGCGAACGAGCATTATCCTCTTTCTAAACAAAGTCGACCTTTTCCGACAGAAGCTCCCACGCTCTCCGTTGAACCAATATTTCCCCGACTATTCAGGCGGTAACGACGTGAATCGAGCGGCCAAGTATCTCCTTTGGAGGTTCAATCAAGTAAACAGGGCGCATCTGAATCTTTACCCTCAGTAAGTGGATCGGTCAGCTTATGTGATATAACTAGCCTCTAACCCCTCCCATAGTCTAACTCAGGCTACCGACACGACGAATATCCGCCTAGTCTTTGCGGCTGTCAAGGAGACAATCCTGCAGAACGCCCTCAAGGATTCGGGCATCCTGTGAACCAACTACCGTCCATCTAACCTCAACGCTCAGCGAGGGACGCTTTCATCTCGATTACAATGTCCGTTCCTTACCCCTAGACTCCACTTTGGCAGTTGCCTATGTCATGTTGTGGACTATTCTCTTCATTCTGTCAGTCGATCTTCATGCCCCGATTGTACTGATGGACATCGTTCGTGTCGAACATCTCTTTTTTCCTTTATCCCTTCTTCACCCTACGATTTGCACCCTGTTCACAGCTTAGGCGTTCGTTTTTATTTTCTCCTCTTGTTCCTTTATCGTCTGCTTCAACACATGCGTTCAGTCGGTAGGCATCGGCGTTACGGTGCTACTTTTACCTCACAGTTCTATGTGCCTGGCGCTGGGATGGATCATGGTCGTTGGAATTTGTGGCATGGTGTTCCCTTATTTTCCTTTGTGATCATTTCAGGTCAGGATGATGTGCATTTTGGGCTTTCTGTCTGCGTTGGCCATACTTGACCACCTCCAACCTCTTCTTTGGCTCGAGATCTCATGAGTCCAACGCCTCGAGCTAAAAAAGTTTACAGGCCTCGGCACTACTTTGCATATACCAGGTGCAAAGGCTTCTGATATCCTGTCTCGTGCTGTCTGAGACCCTTTCTCCTTTCTGCTTCTTTCATGTTGACTCCATGCATCTAATGGCGATCTCTCATTATTCACTATCCTAATCCTCCGTGCTGTTGCCCAGCTTTTTCGTTTCTTCGTTGCAGTTGATTTGCCGTCCTTTATCTATACCAAGCCACTTGTTGTAGCGATCTTATGCATGCAATTGATCCCTTACCCTTGAGTCTTACTGTGTCCGTGATCCGACAGCAAATCCCTCCTTCGTGAGTGGTTCGACCGGACGAGTCTGGGACGGCGTGCTTTTCAACGTTTGAAAACTGTACTGTTGCCTTCACCGGATCTCCACGCCTTACCTGGATCAGCTGGGGCCCACGAGGGTGTATGTGGAAGACCGCCCATGCCAGTCCTGTGTACACTAGTCACTACAGTAGTTCACCGAGCAAGTCTAGGCGTTAGGGGCTTGCACCGTGCAGTGGTCATGGGAAGCACATAGCTTGCGCGGAATGTCTCGAGAACGGACCTCCCGACTCGAGCGCTCGTTGGAAAGGATGGCGGAGGAAGTCGATGACCGCCGATCTGCCACAAGGTTGCAGTGCGGGGGCGGGGATGAGGCCGGAGATGGACTGGGGCCGGAGGACTGAGCTGCGGGCGGCTATTTGGCTGTAGACGCTGGACGAGGAGGGGAAGGTAGGAAGGAAGGAAGGAAGGAAGGAAGGGAAGGCAAAGAACTTAGATCAATTTACACGTTCACCATCATTGTCATGGTCAGAATGCATGTTCTTCACTGGAGAGTAGAGAACTGGAAATGGGTTGGGAAGAACGGTACGGTTCGGATAGGATACTTTGACGGGGGAGGGAGGGATCTGGCCGCCCATCGATCGGGATCCCCAACTAACCACCAGCAACACCTTCTCCCCTCCTCTTCCCCACTCGCATCTCACGCATGCTCGGAATGCCATGCGTCATAGCGGCAGCCACCGTCAGACCAGATGTCGATTATCAGACGACGCGGGCGTAGGGCCCTTGTACCATTCCGGGGTCTTGTTATTCTCATGTCGCCTAGCTCGGGTCGTGCCTCCCCTCATCCAAGGAATGTTGCCATCATCATCCTCTCTTGAGTTCAGGCCCAGTTCCGGGCAATCCGTTCACACGCCAGCCCACCAGGCCTCCTATCCAATGTCGTTGGACGATCCGCGGAGCTACACCCAGTCCTACACGGCAGCTTCAATTTGCCCCAGCACGCTGCTCGATTTGCGATTGAGCTAGCTGTAGTTCCATGGGGGCCTAGACGCTTGACTTGCACAGCATGCATGAGAAACGGGCCACGAACGTATGATTCCTCCCAGGCATAGCCATCTGTGATCACCGACCTCAATTATACCCCTCCCGGTAGTCTCGCATGCCCTGCTTTCATCCCAGCATTTGGAACTAGGCACCTTGTCACGCGGTTGGACGGCGGAAGGTGAGTGAATCTTTTACTAGTATACGCCTCCCCTCCCCTCCCACTTCCTTCCTCCTCTTTGTTCTCTTCCTCTCCATCTCAACTTCCTCTTTCCCTTTCCCTCACCAGCACTTGAGACTGTTTCTGACTTTGGCTCTTCTCTTCCGTTTGCTCCTCGTTGCTCCTGTCATACTAAGCTTATTGAACTATTCCCATAGCTCTTCCTAACCTAGTTCTCCATCACTTCTCGCTCCTCTAGGCCCAATGTCTGAAGTTCGCCGCGAAAGAAGGCCCTCTGTTGGGGCTCCAGTCTCAGAGCTTCAGGGCCCTGTTGGTCCGGCCTTCAGTCGTCCCAAACACAGGCGGACATTCACTGGCTTCGGACCTGCAGAGATCAAAAGCGTCGAAGCCAGCATTCCCGAAAATTTGAGGGAAGAGTGAGTGCATGGACCCTGGTTCACTTGTGGCACACAAGTGATATCATAGCTCTCTAGTAGCTGCAGGCCTGCATATGCCAAGCCATTGATGGATTATTGCTAACCTACGTTGTTCCCAGATGGAGAAAACACGTAAGACAGTGGACCATAGGTCATATTTCCCATGTCACTCAACTAAATCATTGCCTGTCATAGTCCGCCAGTGGCTTCACCAACAAAGCAGAGTTCGAAGTACGTTACGCAGGATATCCCGTCGCTCAAAATGTTGAGCGTCCTACTCACAGTTTGAATAGCATGAGCTGGTTCGCCATATCGAGACTACGTTGGCTCGCTCGCTGTACAATTGTGATGAACTGTATGTTACCCTCTCCGGTAAACACCAGTCAATCATATCGCTGATGTGGTAGGGCTGCATACTCTGGAACCGCCTTGGCTTTTCGAGATCGCCTGATCATCGAGTGGAATAAGACGCAACAGCGGCAGGCGTCCGCTGACCAAAAGAGGGTGTACTGTATGTAGATCCTTAAAAGAACTTCTTAGACATCGGTTCCTTACCAAACTTACACCACTCTCGACAGATCTCTCTCTCGAATTCCTGATGGGTAGGGCATTGGATAATGCTATGCTCAATGTCGGCTTGAAGGATGTTGCGAGAGGTAGGAGCTTGAGCAAAGCCCCAATATGATACAAGCATCTCACTAACTGCATGAGGAAAGATGGCCTGAAGGACCTAGGCTTCCGGATCGAAGACGTCATCAGCCAGGAGCATGATGCTGCATTGGGCAATGGAGGCCTTGGACGCTTGGCTGCATGCTTTCTCGATAGTCTGGCGACGTTGAACTATCCAGCCTGGGGATACGGTCTCCGATACCGATACGGTATCTTCAAACAGGAGATTGTGGATGGATACCAAATGGAAGTCCCTGACTATTGGCTCGATTTCAACCCGTGGGAATTTCCTCGACATGAAATCACTGTCGACATACAGTTCTATGGCTGGGTTAAAAGACACCAGGATGACAATGGCAAAATCGTCAACTCGTGGGAAGGCGGCGAAACTGTGCAGGCAGTGGCATACGATGTTCCCGTCCCGGGCTACGGCACCCGTACCACAAATAATCTTCGACTGTGGTCTTGCAAGGCGTCTAGCGGAGAGTTCGACTTCCAGAAGTTCAATGCCGGCGATTATGAAAGTGCCGTCGCCGAGCAGCAGCGCGCGGAGACAATTTCCGCGGTGCTCTACCCGAACGACAACCTTGATAGGGGTAAGGAACTCAGACTGAAGCAGCAATACTTTTGGTGTGCTGCCTCTCTGTACGACATCGTCCGGAGATTTAAGAAGACGAAAAGAGCATGGAGCGAGTTTCCCGAGCAAGTCGCTATTCAACTGAATGACACCCACCCAACGCTGGCCATCGTCGAGCTGCAACGCATCTTGATTGACAACGAGGGCCTCGAGTGGGACGAGGCGTGGAATATTGTAACCAATACCTTTGGATATACGAACCACACCGTTTTGCCCGAAGCCTTGGAGAAATGGTCTGTTCCATTGGTACAGAACCTGCTACCACGACACATGCAGATTATTTTCGACATTAACCTGTATTTCCTACAGCATGTTGAGAAGACGTTTCCTGAGGATAGAGAATTGCTGTCGCGAGTGTCAATCATCGAAGAGTCACATCCCAAGATGGTGAGGATGGCTTATATTGCGATCATCGGGTCCCATAAGGTCAACGGTGTCGCAGAACTGCACTCCGACTTGTTGCGGACTACTCTGTTCAGGGATTTTGTCACGATTTATGGCCCTGACAAGTTCACTAACGTCACAAATGGAGTTACTCCGCGCCGTTGGCTACACCAGGCAAATCCACGATTGTCTGACCTTATTGCTTCTAGACTGGGAGGATATCACTTCTTGACCGACCTGACGCTTCTAGATCAGCTTGAGGCTTTCGTCGATGACAAGGAATTCCAACGGGAATGGGCGGAAATAAAAGTTGCCAACAAGCTCCGTCTTGCCAAGCATATTAAAGAAACCACCGGCTACAGTGTGAATCCAAATGCACTGTTTGACATCCAGGTCAAACGCATTCATGAGTACAAGCGGCAGCAGCTTAACATCTTCGGTGTCATCCACCGGTATTTGAAGATCAAGTCCATGTCTCCGGAAGAGAAAAAGAAGACTCTGCCGCGCGTTTCTATCTTCGGAGGCAAAGCTGCCCCGGGCTACTGGATGGCAAAGACCGTTATACATCTGGTGAACAAAGTCGCATCTGTGGTTAACAACGATCCGGACGTTGGCGACCTCTTGAAAGTCATCTTTGTTGAAGACTACAACGTCAGTAAGGCCGAGATCATCTGCCCAGCATCCGACATCAGCGAGCATATCTCCACTGCTGGAACCGAGGGAAGCGGAACCAGCAACATGAAGTTTGTTATGAATGGTGGATTAATCATTGGAACCTGCGATGGTGCTAACGTATGAGGCCCAATTCCGATAGATCTATGATATATGATGCTGACTACTGCCTCTCTGTAGATTGAGATCACCAGAGAAATCGGAGAGCAGAACATATTCCTCTTTGGCAACCTGGCGGAAGATGTCGAAGAGCTTCGCCACCGACATCTTTATGGAGATTTCCGACTTGATCCTCACTTGGTTAAAGTTTTTGATGCAATCAAAGGCGGCATGTTCGGTGACGCTGGCAACTTCTCTGCGCTTCTTGATTCCATTGTTGAGCACGGAGATTACTATCTTGTGTCCGACGACTTCAACTCATATATCACGACGCAAGATCTGGTTGATGAGTCATTTCAGAACCGCGAGGAGTGGATAGCCAAGTCCATCACGAGTGTGGCACGCATGGGCTTCTTCTCTACGGACCGAGTCATCAATGAATACGCCGAAAGTATCTGGAATGTGGAGCCACTCGCGGTGAAGGACTAGAATGTTCGATTGGAGTTGAGTGATGCATCATACATCAATTGTCCTATCTAGCTTGCTGCGTCTGACACCCGCTGTTTCCACGTTTCTTTCTTTGGCGAGTTGGATTTCTCTGTACGTGGATTCCACTGGACGGTTTTGAGAGAACAGGGAGAGACTTTTGTAATGGAGCCATTCGCTCATTGACAACAACCGACTGTTTGGATCAGGCATTATGACACAGCTATATTCTATGCAAGTTAGTGTTCTTACAGGCTCCCCTCCCCTCTACACCAGCCATGAACTTGTAAGCTGCCCCGTACGGGCTGACACACCTAAACACGATAATGACAAAGCAGAAGACAAACGAACAATAGTCAGATCCAGTTATGCTCTATATTGTATAACACAATTAAACCAAGATTGTATAAGATCCCTACGAGGCACTCAATTCAGCCATGCGCTTCTGCAATTCGGGAACCATTCGAAGTTGGAGGTCCAGCTCCTCCTTCTCACTATAATGACAGCAACGTTAGTTCACATTCTATGTTTGACTGGGTCGACAAAGCAAACTGTCGCAGGTCAGAGCATATAACCACTTACTCTTCCAACTTGAGTCTTCGTTCCCAGTCCAACCCGGTGAATATATAGCTTCCTTCTCCATCGAACTGCAGGATCTTCTTATGATACTTCCAGAGACTGCGGCGATGGGATACTGTCATCAATGTAGTTCCCAGCTGCTTGGCCGTCTCGTACATGACTCGTTCAATCTCCAGAGTCACGGAGGAGGTACATTCATCCAGGATGGCGAATTTGGGTCGGTGATAGAATAATCTAGCCATGGCTATCCGTTGTTGTAGACCGCCTGAGAGTACGTCACGCCATTCCTCTTCGGCGTCCCAACCCCCTGGGCGGTCGACGACCGAGGCAATCTCTACAACGGAAAGGATATCAAAGAGGTCGTCATCGGTGATACCCTTGGCGCGCATCTCGCGAACACCGTCTGGGTAGATGACCTGTTGGCGAAGAGTGCCTCGCGAAAGATATGGTCGTTGTGGGATGTAGAAGATATCTTCGAATCGGGGTTTCTTGACTCTTCCTCCGTAGACGGGCCATAGGCCACCGAGGATGCGGAAGAGGGAGGATTTTCCGCATCCGTTGGGTCCGACGATTAGGAGGTGGTCGCCTGGGTGGACGGTGAAGGATAGCTTGCGAACTAGAACATCGCCGTTTGGTGACACGATAGGCACATCGGTGAATTCGATGGAGTCGCTTTCCTCGACGACCCCACGACCGGATAGAATTGCTGTGTTCTCCTCCGTGGAGGCGGAGGATACTAGCTTCTTCTCGAAGCGGCCTGCCAAGAGGTCGTCCATAACCTCGAGCAGTGAGGAGACACGGGCTGTGTGGCCGGCTAGTTCGGAGATTTCTTTGTAGGAGAACATTAGACGTCCGAAGGCGTCGGACGAGGACAGCAGCATTCTCCGATTCGTAACGAAGCCTATTTGGGATCTGTTAGCTGCCGTACTGACAGTTATAGTTTGGTCTGGGTCTATGTACTTACTTTCGGTACGGTCGCCCATGGTTTGGGTGACTTGGCCAGGAATTCCGAAGAAGACAGGAATACTGCACAAGATCAAGCCCAAGGCACCCCAGAAGTACTTGATGACGAAGTCCTCCATAAATCCATGGTATAAGCGTCTTCGGAGAATGCGGTTCACATGTTTGATCAGAGTGAAGTAACCCTTGTCCAGGGTGTCTTTTTCCGCCTCGTGGCCGTGGTAGAGAGCCACCTCCTCGCTGTAGTCGATTAGCCGCGAGTGCAGGAACCGGAACTCTCCTTCCAGGCGGGCTTCGTCGGCCACGTATTTGCCGAAGGGCGGTGTCAATGCACGCATGACATTCGCGGACAATTGCACGAGCAGGCTCATGATGAACAGGCCTTCTCCGCCCACACTCTTCGAAAGAGAGTAGTTGTAGATAGCCATGTCCAGGATCGGCTTGGCCAGATTGGAGTACAGCTCTGCCAGGCTGTCAGAAAATCGGGACACATCTACCGTGATGAGCTGATCGGGGTTCTTGACCCTATCGTCCAAAGCTGAAATCGCATAGAATGTCATGTTAGACAGATACTTCTCATGGATGTAGTCTGTCAGGCGCTTGCGGTAGGCGAGGGCCAGTTTGCATTGATGATAAGAAAGCTACCGCGCAGCGAGGGGGGGTTAGCTCTTGGGCCTTTGGTCAACGAGGCATAACACTGCAGACTTACCATCGAGTTTGTGAACGTCGCAGGAACCGCCACGATCATCCACCACACCAGTCCCAGGAGGAAATCTTTCCCTCTCCCCCTCACCAAATTACTAACCAGCCGCCCATCCAGCTCCGCCACATACAGACTCAGCAGCGTCCGCAGCACCAAGAAGACACTGTGCCCGAAAAGTAGCCGTAGCTCCTTGCTCCGCCAACCGGGGATCACGATCTTGAGCAGGCGGATCAGGTTTCGAAAGAATTCCCGGTTAACCTCGACCCTTTTGCGTGGGCGGTCGCCCTCCTCGCCGAGGCTGCTGGTTCCGGGCCGCTTCCGCAGTGCTTCCTGGTGGTGAGAGGCCGCCTTTTGCTCGGAGATGGCATTATGGACGCGTTTCACGAGGGCGGCGAAAAGGGCCAGATAAACGGTGCGGGAGATTTTCTTACGGTGACGGAGATAGGTGGCTGCCAGACGGGAGAAGAGGTGTCGTATGGACCGCTCGGGCGGAAGTAGTTTGGACTGCGCAGCCATAGTAGCGACGAGGGCGGATGGAGCAAATGGCGTGCATTCAGGGAGACGAAACCCGGGTGATTAGCCAGAGTCGACGATGGCTAACATGACCGGGGAGTAGTAGATGAGATGAGGGGCGGGGAAGGGGGAGATAAGGGTTATAGGAATGGAGGGTGAGCGAAGGGGAGGGGGAAGGGAGAGGGAGAGGGAGAAGGAGAGGGCGCAAGTGATGGATGACGACGGACGGGGCCTGACATGTGAAGGCAACTGCCTCCCCGGATTTCGGGGCCTGCCGAGGATGCCCGCCTTACCTAAGCGGGGCTGCCCCAGTTAACTACATAGATAGCACCTCTCCCTATCTTAGGCGCTGACCAACAGTCAATCACTTCATTTCATCACATCATCACCAATCTCAAACCGACTAATCCGCCCCCTAGCTGCCTGCTCCGACCTGACAATATCTCCGAGGAGCCAACGCCCGTCTCCACCCCCAAGAAGCCCAAAGATGAAACAGTTAAAACAAGAAGCTAAAAAAGAGATGACCACAGAACAGATCGGGTGGGATAGATTACAATACATATAATGTCACGCGCCTCCGGTGACTACCTATATACAGGGTTATCCTCTGCCGGCAGAGATCCTGGTCAATCAGAGATACCAATGTAGATAGTAGATGTGTGCAGGGCTATCCGCGGTTGATGCCCCACACGGCATGTGTATAGACCACAACGTGGTAGCCCGGCTTTCATTTCATAAGGCAGGCTGCTGGCCTGGCACGATCTTAGCTCCGTTGCTTGCGCCGGGTATGGCAGGCGACGACCTCTTGCCACTGTTGAATTGCGCGGCGATCTGGCTTTGTCGGAATTTCTCAAAGGTCTCCGTATCGTGCTTGCGAGCAGCCCACAATTCCTCCACCGTCGTGCCCAGATCCTCCAGGGCTCTGTCCGCACCAGCGCCCTCAAAATGCGAGTGCGTTTGTTCCTCGTGTAAGCGATCGAGCTTATCGCGCAAGGCGGCCATATGGGACTCATCGAAGGAGAACGCCGTCATATCATCATCCGCCTGATCGAGGGAAGGCCGGAGAAAATCGCGCCGGATACCTTGCCCAAGACGGTGAACATGTCCTTCCTCGGAGGTCATGGCGCGTGAATGAAGCGACGTGATCGAGCTCGCTCGCGATAGTCGGACAGCATACTGGTCCTCCTCCTCGTCCACTGCAACCTCAGCATCGGTGTTGATGGCATTCTGCTGGTTGCTATCAAGCGCAGGACCATTCCACCCATCGTCACCCGAATTCTGAGAGCTAGTATCGTGAATAGCGTACGAAGGCATGGTCTGGGGTACGATGCGTGTTTCAGGGTACTCGTCTTCGAATCGCTGGATCATTCTCTGTAGGGTGAAATCAAGGAACTGAAGGCGTCCTGTGGTAGAAGACTTGGTCAGTATTACCCCCACGCAAGAGTTGACGAGAAGAAAAACGTACTGTAATTGGTGTCATTGCCGGCCTTGTCTTCGCGCACAAGAGCCGACTGGATGCGGGTCCGGATATTCCGTGCCGCTTCCAGTAGGTTCTTGGACATGTCACGAGGCCGCTTGGTGACGAACGACCTGCTGGACTTCCGGTGCCTGGGTGTCGTTGTGCCACTTGGGGGTCCGGACTGGTCCCCTGGCATATTACGATCCAGATTACCCAGGCATACACCGAGAGCTTTGACCACCCCGGTACCCCCGATCACATAATCCTCGTCAGGTGCGGGTTCGTCATCCTCTTCGGGTTCGTCCCCAACACTGTGGCCGACGATGTGCTGCAGGATTTCCGGGACATGGACAGTCGGTCGTGTTGCTGTGTCCGTCGGATCAGAGAATTCTACCGCAATGGCACCTTGTTCAAGATTCTGAAGGGAGTAGGCAACTATCTGGGAGGCCAGGGCCTTGACGACCTCATTGCTCTCCGCACTTGGAACTTCAATGTCCACGGCGATAATCGTCCTCGACACACGCACCGCTGCCATCAAGGATGCATAGACAGCACATGCTTCTTCTTGACTGGCAGGGTCCGTTGCAGAGGCCAACGAGGCAATGGCTGGGTTTTCAAGGATATTCAAATGGCATAGACTGGGGCACTCTGGGAGGACTTCGGCAAGAGCGATGGTTTGGTCGGGAGACAGATTGACGTCAGCCAGGTGAATGCGCTTGAGAGCAGGCATCTTGGGGAGGAATCGCCTGAAAGTGGCTAGTGCATCGGGCTCAATGGTGAAAAGGTCTGGATTGTGGGAAAAATCGACAAAGCGAAGGTCGGGCAGGCGTGTCAGCCCCTGGAACAACGGGAAGACGGCGGCGGGTGTCAGGGAGCAATCGGCCAAGCTCAGCGCATATAGCGGGTGGTCACTCGTGAGAACGGATGTGATCAGATCCAACTCGTCCCGGATCGGGTTCCCGCCCAAGTCCAACCCTTCGCATTTTCCTGCCTTTAGATAACCAACAATGTGCTCCAAGCCTTCCCTGTTCAGCCCGTTGTTGGCGAAGCCAAGTCTCCTCAAGCCAACAGTTGCAGCTGCGTCACAGATCTTCTTCACATCTTCGGTTGTAGGTTGGCATTCGCTCAACAACAATTCTTCGAGGTAGTCACCGCCCAGGCGCTGTGCAAGCGAGTTTGCGAAGAGGGTCGTCACGTCGGTGACATTCTGGGTCTGAGTTGCGCCTTTATTGGAGCAATTGACAGTAATAGGCGTTCTGGGAAGTGAAATGCCCGACAGGTCAATCGCCTTCAGAGACTTTGAAAGATGCACGAATAGGCAAATATGACGCCACCCCTCGGGGCCAATCTTTGCATTATCCTTTAGAGATAGCTTTTCGATAACACTGAGCCTCTCTTCTTTTTCCGAGGACTGAGCCTCTGACTTCTTGCCCCTTCTACGCCGTTGCATCATTTGCTCCACTGTTCTGGTGGAAAGGAGTGCGGCCAGAATTGATCGAACCGAGTCGTCCGTTAAAGCAGATCTTTCAAGGATGAGCTTCCTGACTGGCACAACAGCCAGCCAGTCACAGAAAGTGGCAATGTCCTCAGTTGTCATGGGGAAGTCGCTCAGGTCAAGTACAGCAACAGTACCAGGAGACTCCGCTAACGTGGAAGAAGGCGACGAAATTTCGTCCACGATACGCTTCAGCACAGGTGTTTCACGCAATTGACAGCAGCGTCGATAGATCCGTACGGGATCAGTTGTCGGGTGACTTTGTGTTTTTGTACGGCTTGTGCTGGACACGGGTGTTCGGGACCCATACTCTTGACCGTCGGCTGTCAGTTGCATTGGTATGGAACCATTTGCCTCTGCCTGTCTCCGCTTCCTTTCCCTCCGTTCCCGGCGTTCTTCCTCTGATCGCTTCTTCTTCTCCTGTTTTCGAGTGGGTTCCTTGGTTTCGCCATTGGCATTAGCTTCAGCCGTGGTCGTTTCTGAAGATCCAGAAGGATTCTTTTCCTCCGTTCCATTTGTCTGGCCACTCTTTTCCTTGGAAGAAACTGCAGCTTGTGGGTTCTTCAACGCCGCAGCCTCATCCTTCTCTTTTGACTTGGCACTTGATCGTTTGGACTTCTGGCCATTGACCTCCGGGACAGTACGTCGCTTGCTGCTTGCCGGTGGGCTGTCTTCATCCGACTCCCGGTAGGATATACCAGCAATCTCCACATCCACGCAAAAAGCGACACGCCGCAGTTTGGCGGGATTCAGATCTGGAATCTTGCATCTATCTCGGTCCTGATCAATGTTCATCACACGACGCTGGCAAATAGTCCCAGTGGAAGCCATTTTGTTAGCCCCGCTGGATGCAGAGGATGAGAGTTTCCGGAAAGCACTTGTGAGAAACGAAGGGCCCTTGGGAGATGTCGAAGCAAAAGGATTGTTCTCATTCGTCCTCTCATCTTCCTTATCCTTGGGTGAATAAGCCGCACCAAAAGGATTATGCATATCCATCTTCGAAACCGGCGAGGTTGCCTTTGTATTTTGCTGGGCCTTCATATTCGACTGCGACGGCGGGGTAGATCCAGAGGAAAACTTGGAGCTAATGCTTGATATCCAAGAATTCCTTCTCCCGGTAACAGGCCTCGGCGAACTCTTCTGAGACGCTGGCGAAGTGCCAGTGGGCTTTCCTTCCACTGACTTGTCTTCATTTTTAACATCCTTCTCGGCATTCGACCCATCTGGCTGAGATGTTGCATTGGGCGCGGAAGGGGGAACGGACGAGGATAATGAGCTCTGATCGGTCGTCTTTTCGGTAGTACGTTGTTGGGCGATTGTGACCTCTGAATCGGCGACAGACTTATCGCTGACCACAGATGATGCTGACTTGCAGCGGGATAGATGGTCTTGTGGTCGCGTTAGAAGACGGTAATGCATCGCAGGCACGATGGCAATTGCGCGGCGTGCAACTTACCCTTTTGCGAATGATGAAGCCAGCTGACATCCACCGTCTCAACTCCTTCCATTTTGACTTCGGGTATAGTTTGATCGCAGAGCGCTGGCTGAACAAGCGTATGAGGCACACCAAGTAGGGCGCTGATCTATGATACGTAATAGGAACGACCCTCGGACGGGAACTGGGCCTTTCGGGACGATGGTGGGTACAGATGGTATACGGAGGCAATATCACTGCACGAGTAGTCCAGAATAGAATGATCGAGCAAGCTGATTATGCCTCGCGACGAGAAAATTGCAGATTTGGCCAACAGATGATTAAGAACGGCGATGGTGGGTACATTCCATCATGGCATTGCGGCGAAGTACTGCGGGCATGGTGACACAGCAGATAGACTGGGACGAGAGCGTAAGGAAGGCCAACTGAAGGGGAGAAGAGGTAGAGAAGGGGTAAAACGATGAAACACAGGGGGTGAGGCGGAAGAGGGAACTATCTTAAAAAGGGTCTCGAAAAGAAAGGGAGAAGAAAAGGGTGCGGGCAAACAGCGAACGAGCGAGGCGATCGGGGATGAGGAGGGAGGTTCCTCAACTGGGTTTAGTGGGCGTAGCATGATTCCCGCCGGTGGGGAGCCCGATTGATTACATACTCGAGTTTGCCCGCTGCGGAGAATGCCAATCGGGCGGATTACGGCGCTCCGTAGCGACCACTCCCGCACCCATTACGCCTCCCATACCGAGCCCCTGTATCTATCCACGACCAGTACTTTCTACGGAGTACTGCTGCTGCTCCCCTGGCTTAGCACTTCGCTTGGTCCTGCACATTGTTGTCGCGTAAACTTTCGAGTCGACTCACGATGTCTCGCCCGGTCCGTAGGCGGATGACGGGTCACAACAGAACCTCCCCCACGATGGACTGACAGACTTCAACGACTGCCTGACCCCCTTCTCTTGCCACTCCATGCCTCTTCCGCATATTCCGCCTGATATTACCGGGGAGGCAGGGAAATCCTCACACGACACCCTGCCAAGCCCACTCTCAACCGGCGCTGAAATTACAAGTGCGTACGCGAACCCGCAAATCATCGATATCCAGATGGTCTAAACCAGGCCTGGCTAGTCGCGAGACCTGGTGGTTCGTTTGGGGCTGATGGTCGCATCCAGCGACCGACACTAGGGCCAAAAGTAAGGTAGACTCTGGAGTAGCTGATTAGCTCGTGTGTGCGCTGTCCATCTGGCCATTCCTGCCGGTTCTGGTCCTAACTATCAGATCTACCCAAAGCACCTGATGCGTAGTACATAGTACATAGTAGTAAGGTACTTGTGTACATGACGTTCCCCTCCAGCACCTGACCTGATTGCTTCAACTTCCGCCGGAGCTTATTTTCCTTTTGGCTACACGGTAATCTGTGCTGGGAAACGTCAGTCCAACGAGAGCGGATCGACTGATAGGCCCCCATTTTGATCTCCCAAACCGACTCTTGCACAGCAGCTCCCGACCATCCCGCGTACCACTGCCCAGCTGCCCAGAGTGGCGTTCTTGCAAAAGTTGCAACATGCACCAATTGCCGACTTCATCGGGTGAAGGAAAGAGGAGCCGAGCCATGGGGAAAGAAGACAAATGTTCAGAACTTCAGACTTTGATCGTTGCATGGCAAATACGGAGTGCGGAGTACCGGATTGTCATAGTACGCGGTGCCTTGTTCCATTGAACTTACTCGATCCACTTATGGAACCGGAGAGGAGAACATGTTGATCATACACTCCATCCAGCGAGTGCGCGACTCATCGAGTATTGCTTGTACCACACCTTGACAGTACCTGGGATGTTCCAGACTTGTCCAGCATTGGTTCAGACGTATGAGGCGTGGAAGGACAAATGGTTACACAGATCAACCTAGAGGGTGATCAAATTCAAGCCTAACCCCTTCACCATCAAATGAAAAAATGACATCATTTGCCCCATACCCTGGCGCGTTTGCTTTTTCGCTTAATGACATGTCATGCCTAACTGGATCGGGGCAAAACGTGATCCTGCCCACATAGAGCATCCGATCTGAGTACTGAGCAGTGAGCAGATAGGAACTGTAGGGAAGGGCCGGGTGGTCCTGCCAACAAGAGGACCATGACGGTGGTCCAACGACCGAACCATGCCCATGGCAAAGTCAAATGGTCATGGACTATTTTTCATCACAGCATCAGTCAAACAGGATTGCATGAGCCAGGAGAGGTTACATCCTCCGAGGGATTCCGGGTGTGATGGCAGATTGTCCATGGACATTTATTCCCAGTTGTACCCAAAGTCACTGGGCGGACTGAGGAACATGTTCCGAGTGACGGGCACGAGAACGGCATTTAGGGCTTCAGGGCTATCCCCGAAGCAGACTAGCGAGCGATGCATGTGACCCACTGCGGTAGAAGTGCTCCCCAGGTGCTCCGTACCGAGCACACTACACACCGCTGGCCGCGGGAATTTTGCTTGATTCCCCACAGGTCCTATGGTCTTCGAACAATCCATATGGATGTCGAATGGACGTCCAGATGCAAGGAGGGGTATCATGACCATGTGCGGTGCCTTCCAATGTCAACTCTACAGTAGAATCTACGACACCCATTACGGAGCACTTGTACATGGTCATAATCAAAAACTCCCATTGTGTGCATCCCATTATTGCACCGTAAAATAACCCTGCCATAACTCCGGTCATGAGATTTCATCAAGACTACTGGATATCACAATTCACAAAAGTATTGGGCAAGAAGAACCTTAATTCCCCTATATCTCAAAGAGAATTATAAAACTTTTGACTATCGCACTCAGTAAAGCATCAAGCACGACGGACCTAGCCTAGCCAGCCATTTAAGCAGCAAGCTCACGGATCTTCTGCTCAACACGCTCCTTGCGCTGCTCGCGGGTGAGGCGGACGGCGCGGTGCTTCTTGGACTCGGCCTTCCACTCCTCCTTGGTCTTCTTCTCGCCCTCCTCCTCGTCCTTCTTGAAGGGGTCCTCACGGATGGCCTTGTGGGCCTCAGTGTAGAGTTCCTCAATGTCACCAGCCTCGATACCAGCCTCGGTGTACTTGTGGAACTGACCACGGAAGCGCTCCTCGTCGTCGTCGGCGAGACCCTCCATGTACTCAGCGACGTGACCACCGAAGATGTAGTTGCGGAGAGTCTCAGCGTCGAGCTCCTCGGACTCGATGTCGAAACCGGGGAAGCGGCTCTCGGAGTGGGGGACGAAGATACCACCGTCGGAGGCACCCTTCATGGCACCGAAGACACGGGCACCAGTGGAGGTACGGGCAAGACCGACATCAAGGAAGGCCTTGAAGGGGCGGCGGGAGCCCTCGTCGGTCTCAGCAGCCTCGGTGAGGGTGTACTCACCATCGGCCTCCTCGACACCGGGGAACTGCTCATCGAGGCCGAGCTTCTTGAGGGTACGGCGGGCGAGGAGGAGACCGGTGGCGTAAGCGGCAGCCCAGTTGGTCAGACCGTTGGTGATGCCATAGCGCTTAAGCTCGTGGGAGTAGGCGCTGGCGAAGACCTTGTCACCGGAGATCTCAGAGTAGACGATCTGGGTGATGATGTCGCGGTTGGTGAAGCGGACGACCAGGCGGTACTTGGGGGCGTTGTACTTGTTCTTGGCCTGGGTGATCAGGCGCTTACGGGCATAGTAGTCGGTCTTACCCTCGCGACGACGACGGTACTTGGTCTGGTAGCGGCTGCAACATGTCAGTGAGAAGCCCAGGAAACAACATGCGAAGGAAATCATTCTTACCTGTAGTAAGCGCTGTTCTTGACGAGCTTGTGGAAAGGCTACAAGACAGACAGGCGAGTCAGCAATTTGCGCTTCAGAAAGACCGTCCGAAGCATCTTGCAAAGACCCATTTCCAATCCCATGGTGCGATCGTCCTTCGAGGACGACCTGGATTCAGGCGAAGAGAATTTGCGACGATGTCGGCTCTCAGCCACATGGAATTACAGCAAGACTCACCATCTTGACGGTTGCCGCGAGTTGATAAACTGGGTTGTCGACGTGGGCTGCAAAGGAAGAGGCGGGAAATTTCGTGGGATGACTTTTGTGGAAGCCTTCGCTTAGCGTGGCTGCATCCCGGCGCCAAACTGTGGTTGGCCACGAGCGGCGGGTTGAAGGACATCCACCACTACGGATCAGACAATCACCACATTATCTAGTACATCTTACCCTTCCGAAAATTACAAAAAGAATGTAGATGTGCTCGCTAGCATTCATAGATTCTAATCTTATGATTCGCATGCTCTAAAGGCATACATGACGGCATTCAACAAGCCTTAGAGCCGAGGCTTGTCTGGTCTATCCAACAACCGGAGCCCTGTCATTCTCTCTAGCTCCTGAACAGCATCCTGACTTCGTCCCAAATTGACCTTGAGGGTTCGCATTCCGGCTTTCTTCGCAGCCTTCAGGTTCTCCCCAATATCATCCAGGAAAACGATATCAGCCGGGCGGATCCCGTCCATCCCTTTCTTCCGGGCTATGGTTTCCATTTCTTGCAGCGCAACCTGATATATTTTCCCGTCCGGCTTCCTGAGGCCGGTATGCGCAGATGAGATGAAGAAGTCAAACTGCGATTTCCTGTCGTCAAGATCCGCATTGTAGGGATGGCCTTCAGGAAAGATGACTGTATTGGACAGAGCACCCATGACGAACTGCCCCGATTGCTTTAATCTCTTCAATGCAGGGAACATATACGGGTCTGGCGTCCGAGCCACCTTCATCATTCCCCAGAAGAGGGCCTCCGCATCGATTGCGGGTAATGGCGGAATCGACACTGGGGCGTTATCCGCGCGCTTTTCCTGAAGTCTCTCATGGAATGCCTTCCAGAGCCCAGGATCTCGTAGATCCTTGTTGAATCCCGCAAAGAATTCGGCATCCATCTTGATTTCGCCCCGTTCGAGTTTGTGCCAACTACCGTTCGGAGAAGTGCGGGAGATACTGAAGTTCACCCATCCTGTGGGGATATTGTGGGCCAGCTCGTAGTCCAAAATGGCCTGAAATGGGGAAACAACCTGAAGCTATATTAGTGCACGATCACTCTTGAGGGGTTCAATGGCCGAGTCTTACACACACTCCTCCAATGTCGAACAGCAGGCCCAGAGGCCGTCGGCTGTCAGTCATAGTAGCACTGCTCTGGTCGACTTGCACTTAGGGAAGTAGTGAACAGATAAACTTAACACCGTCAATGATCTTTCAAAGCCATACAGATGGGGATGATGTCTGATATCTGTATGCGGAGCTAAACCTGGGGCCGCGAGTTGCCGAGGTTAGATAGGCCCGATCAGTCGGCGCTCCTGGATGGCCACTAAATCCGAGGCAACACAAGCCTCATTGATGGATTCTAGACCCTGAAGCCAGAGATGCGATGCGCCGACCTGCAATGTTTGCAGCATAAAATCTACAAGTGTTTAGGAAGCAAGGAGGCTGGTTGGGATTGGAGTTTGTGATGACACCCCTCCGGAAGGGATGCGCATCGGTCACGTGCGCGTTATCGATAGCACGGACGCGTCCAGGAAGCCGATGAAGAGGTTCGCTTCCTCTTTCACGCCTCGAGGCGATCGCAACTCCTCACTATGGAGCCATGGAATCAACCCGTACCATTTCCGAGCTGAAGTCGTCCTTTATTAGGGCGCAGGTGCGAATCCTATCTGAAAGCCTCGAGCCACCCGAGGATTGGCGAAACTACGCCGCGGAAACTGAGGAAGATGATCTCAGCGATAAGGTAGTCGGCGATGTCTTACAAAAGTGTAAGTCAAGAGTCATACTTGTTCCTTTTGTCTAGCAGTCTGGCATACTACTCAGATTTTCCCCTGATCCATTGCGTTCAACAAGGATCTTGCGTCTCTTTCTTTATGCATGTCTCTGACAAACCGATCGAGCTACAGTAAATGCGGCGTTGAAACAGCACAGTCGCATTGTCTTTGCCTCTCAGGCAGTCCAGCATGTTGCACAGCAAATTACCAGCTTATATTGGTCCTCGGTGACCCAGGCGATCCCCAATCCAGGCTCTTTGTTAAAGGGTGTCGAGAGATCGGTGGACCTGTCCAGTCATTTGTGAGCCTCAAACATGCCCTGCTGCGAAGCGGTAGATTCTGACATTGCAGGAACATCGCTCAACTCCCATTGGAGCTAGAGGACCAATCTGCGAGCGAGGAACATCGGGCGAGGTCTGGGTGACCCCAATGGTCAATTTTGGTTTCATCTGGCTCATGGTGATACAGGTACCAAGAACTCCGAGAACGTCTCACTGAGCTGGACCGTCTCCGGCAACAGCGACAACGGCGCCTCGATCAATTACGACAGCTGCAGCGATTACTCGAGCCGTTTCAGGAAGCCCAGAAAAACATCCAGCCTAACTTGGTAACACGCGATGGAGAGCTGGTACAAGAGTTGGAGAAGATGAGGATGCTGGTGGCGCGCGTCGGCGGCCGGGTTGAACAGGGAAAGAAAAAAATGGGGATCCAGGAGAATGACAGGCCGTATCTGGGTTGCGACCAGAAACTAGATGCCCTATTGGACATGACATGATGACAAATAGTGAGGAAGGGCCCGGCTAGATCATACTACATTTGAAGGAAGGATGCCCGAATAAATCGAATGCCTTGCCTAAACCTCGCGGAACATCGCGTCTACATAGCTTGGGGATATGAGGAAGTGGCCCTGCCGAGAGAGGTCACACAGATGCATGGAAAGATTGCACTGGTTAATCAGTAGATCCCAATTTCTGCATCTACCTGCTCGCTGCCCAAGCAGCTATAAAAAACGTCGCGATCCCATGCGGCTGCCGGAACGCTGAGAAATTGCAAGGGGGGAAGGCGATTGCCTGCAGCTGCACCATTCATAGCAGGTGCCAGTGACAGGAAGAAGGGAGAAAACGAGAGCCAAACGGTTGTTTGGACTGGACAGCAGCAGCAGCAGCAACTTCCCTCTCGCTCAGTGGTTCTTGGTTCTTCACCCATCAACGTTTCTTTTTTCTGCTTCTTCTTCCTCTCCGCTCGATCATCTGCAGTTCCACCCAGCTTGCCCACCCCACATTGCTTCCCCGAGATGGCTGCCTCTGGACTGGCGATGGAGAATCATCGCGCGGCCACCGCCTCAAGCCGTGGCGCGGCGGAGGCTGATGCTCGGCTCAGTTCTTCCGAATTCCCGACGCTTGACTGTTTTGGACCCTCGGCGGCCATGGTTCACGATGATGACGACCGCCATCTACCGGCCTTGTCTGCTTCCTCCCCGTGGTCATCTGCCCTCACCGCAACGGTCCCTTTTCCCCTCCTCGACTGCACCTCGACTGCGCCGCTCGATCGCCGAAACAGAAGTGAGCCCTGTACATCCGGCATCATCAGCGCGTCTACGTCTCCCCCTGGTTCCAAGGCACCCTTTGTGCGTGGGCATCGTCGCCGCTCCACCCACGTTACTCGTCGTGACCTTGAGAAATTCAGAAAGGACGTGTTGGGCCTGGAGACCTCCGGTTTTGGATTCGACGACGACCATAAACTCCCCCCACCCGATCCTGCCTTAGACCCGGAGTTCAAGGCATTGAACAGCGCTTTTGAGGCCGCAACCATGTCGTTGAACAGCAGCGGGGGTATCACTGGGAGTAGTCCTGGATCGGCCATGTTTGCCAGCTACGGGGATAACTCGAGTAGTGTCTCGAGCTTGAATAGCGTTCCCCGCCAGTCTCTGCCGCCTGCGATGCCTCACACGCCTGCACAGGTGAATGGCGGCGGGATGCCTGGGATGAACGGTGGAGTGCCTATGAACGCGGGGCATCAGATGGACCTCCATCACCTTTACGATATGGTGCTTGAATTGAGCGACGTGTTGAAGAACAACCGCGAAATGACGAAGAGCATTGTGACCAGCGCCGAGGAGATTATGGTGTGACTCCCTTGAACACTCGGGACCTAGTTTAACTAGCTGACAGGGGCAGAAACGATCTGCTACGGAGGGAACGAATCCGAACCTGCAGCAGGTGAACGGCGAAATCACTGGTGAGTGGTATGCGAAAGACTCTTGTGGACACCTGTTAACAAGCCTAGGCGCCCGGATTGCCGAGCTCGAGCGTGCCCTCGCCAAGGAACGGCGTCTTACTGAAATCCTGAAAACCGAGCAGATGGAGAACGCCAAGTTGATCGGTGAATATGAGGCGACCCTCGGCAATATGGTGGAACAAATCCGCAACTATTGCCAAAACAACAATATGCACTATCTGTCTCAGAAACGGCACTATAACAATTTGCTGCAAGCGGAGCGTGACTCCCACCTGGACAGCCGCTTGGACCGAGATTACTGGCATGCACAGACGATGAAGTGTGCGGAGATGATCCGCACGGCGTACCGTTTCCGCTCGGAGGAAGAAGAGCTGCCGATCCGCATCGTTGCGGGCCTCCAGAATGAGGTGCGAGCGTACCGCAATGCCCTTGGTATGGAGCCCGAGCGACCGGAGGACGAGTACGGATGGGAGATTCTCAAGGATGTCCCGGGCAGTGCCGAATAAGGAGAGCGCATACCCTGGTGGTGTGCATGAGCTATGACGATTGGTTACCGATATATTGATTAGACAGTGTAGGCGTTTTGGAGCGGCTGATTCGCGGCTACGGATTCCCGGCGAAGATACCCATTCTTGCATGGCTTGTATAACGGCCTTGGATGCCGATTCAGACCCAGCATGGGCTGCGCTTCTGTGCTTGGACAGGCGCATGTATTTATACTAATCTTGAGGCACGTATTATTCTTTCGGTGTATGCTGTTCTATTCCGTGTAGAAGACCTCCTCTAGTTCTTTCCACCATCCGGGTCCTTCTGCGCTGCCCACGGCACCAGGAATGGGACTCTCCTGTATCCGTAAGTATACCCACAACTGATCCCCAACCCATCAGTTATAATGCATAGTACATACCTGCATCCCATCCGTCATCGCCCACCACTCCCGCACCTTCGGTTTGGCCTTCATGCGCCGCATATCCCCCTCAAAGTCGTCCCCCACGTACTTGAACGTCGCGAACAACGTCCGCTCATTATCAAAGAAGATGGAGTCTATTCCATGCTTAGTTAGCCAATATGCCACTACTTCTCTGAGAATGGATAGGGGGAGGGGGAGGATACAATCGCGAATATTGCACTCTTGGATCTGTTGGAGCACTTCGGGCCATACGTTCGCGTGGCATTCTTTGTAGGCTGCGATGGCGGACGGCTTGAGGTGGACGATTTGGGCGATGCGGCGGGGCATTTCGGTGGTTTTAGTTGTTTGGTAGGGAGGTGGGTGGGAGGGAATTGGTTGTTTGCTTGGTCAAGAGTGTGTGGGGATACGAATGGTAGTATATATGCTCTTCTCGGGGTGAATTAACCCGATGGATGGGTGGATGAAGTGGGTTGGGGTGAGGGGTATATGTTGGACTAGTATATTTATCATCGAACGAATGTCCCTCGAGATCATGGAGAGTATAAATAGGGAGTATAAGAGTTAGATCAGACTATGCAGGGCGTGTTTTCTTCTGCTATATCGTAAGCTAGTGCTGTACGTAGAAGCTAGTACTGATTCAATGCTAACTTTGGCTGCAACGGGAGACTATAGCTGATGCCATGCATATATTATCTACTTCTGACTGTGCATCTTTTCAACAAGTATTATTATCGATCAGAAGAATAGGGTTTGATCCCATATCACTGAATCGTTGCTTGGTAGAGGGATCATAAATGCAGAGATCAAGATGCAGGAACTGGGACGATTATCTTCAGGGAAGGTTTATAGTATCAGCATCCCAAAGGGACGTCTTTATAGCGTTAATGATTAACTACAGCTATATACCAAACGTGATAAATAGTCCACCCATTATGCACCCCGAAAATAAAACTAAGAGATAACCCAAGACACAGACATAGATCACTAAATACAAAACGCCTTAACCCAACACACCCCCGCCCCATATTACATCCAACAAACCTATTTACTCAATTACCCACACGTATCACCAAACCCCAATTTCAGAAACCATCACATCAACCCCCCATACGTCTGCCCCTCCCTCTCCAACTCCTCATCCTCATGCAAATAATCCTTCAACTTATCCATCTCACTTTCCTCGCCATGATGCGAGGGTTGCGTGCCCTGTTGCGCCACCGTGCTCTGTTGCGTCGAGTATTGTCGTTCACTGGCCCCGATGTCATCGTCATCGTGATGTTGAGGATTATTATTCTCCTGGGGCTGGGTTTGGTTGTGGTGGTTGTGGTGGTGGTGGCCGAAGAGCTTTTCGAAGATGCCTTCGTGGTTGGGGTCTGTGTTTATTTTCTCTGGTTAGTTGGATGAGGGGATGGGTGGTTGGGGGGTGAGTAGGGTAGAATTAGAATGGTGGTGTTTGGGGAAGGAAGGGAGGAGAGGCGGGGGAGGGGTACTTTGCGACATGGTTACTACTCTCTTATTCCCGTTCGATAACTTAATAAATGAATGAATGAATGCAAGGCGATATCTCTTCTGTTGTAGCAAAGTCAAGTAGATACGATTCAGATCGAAATACTTTTAGTAGATCTTCAAAGTTAAGAGACTACTAGGCTCCGTCCTATATCTATACCATCATCCCTCGAACCTTAAAATCGCGCGTTGAGATCATCAACCCCGATTAAACTTCCCGGGGACATCCGGGGGCGAGATGCATCGATAGAGCTTCTAGAACGACTTCCCTTTGTAGGAGTCGACATGTGGACGTCTAGACCGGACTATGATGAATGGGCTAGGATGTAGGTCCCTTGCATTCAGTCAGGAAATACCTCACCGCTGTTGTGTGGACGCTGTCCACTCATGTTGCTATTGTCCTTGCTGGTTCTCCCGCGTCCGTTGTATGGAGGACTCCGTACTGATGTTGGGTTTACGAGGGAAGGGAAGATGCGTTCTTGATCAATACTGTGCAGTCTGACATATCCCGGTTGGCAAGACATGCCTGAAAAGCTGAGAACGCGCCCAGTAGAGGTCATACACCGATTTTTGAAGTAAAAACTCAGATGCGGATTCATCATATACTAAATCAACACAATCACGCAAATAAATCAAACAACCTTCATTGGCTCACAACCGGCTTCTTCGCCACCGGCCGGATCCACGACACGGCCACATTGGCCGCGAGCGAGATCACCCCAATAATCCAAATCGACCGGGCGTAGTGAGACCCGTTGTAACGGAAGATAATGGCAAAGATAATCCCCCCGAGGTTGCCCATTCCGCCTACCGCACCAGACACGACACCTATCCCGGTTAGTGATTGCTGGTTCAGGTAGAAATATCAGACTCACCATTGGCAAACGGATACACGTGAGGGACCAACGAAAAGATGGCGCCATTGCAGGCTTCGAGGGAAAAGGCAAGTCCCGCCATCAGGCCAAACATGGTTGCCTCCGATTTGGGGTTGGTGAAGCCGATCGCTAGCTGGAAGGCGCCCATGATCACCCCCAGGAACACGAGCAGGATCTTCTTCGACCACAGACTTTGCGTGGTGTGGAACAGATAGTCTGCAAGGAACCCACCGGCAGGCCGGGAGACAATGTTCAGCAGCCCAAACATGGCTGCCCATTGTCCCGACTGGGTCTGTCCCATGCGGGGGAAGTTGTCCAAGTAGTAGTTGGCTAGGACGGACTCGATGGCGAGTTCCGCCCCGAAGGAGCAGGCATATGGGATGGCAACAGCGGCCGTGGACAGGCTGAACAGCACGTTCAGCGCCTCCTTGCGCGTGGGGGCCACCACCGTGTCGGTTCGGAGCGCGTCAAACTGGCCGATCCGCTGGGACTCGGGCTCCAGCGAGATTGGTGTTTGGGTGCCGCCCTTCTTCTCCAGATCTCCCATGACATCGGACATCGAGGGAGATTTCGAGGGGCTGGACACCATACCCGAGTTGAGGTCAACGATGTTTCCCTCGGATTCAGTGGCCTCCTTCACCCAGAGGTGACGCTCCGACCACTTGCCCGTTGGGGTGTCCTCGCATACGAAGAGCATGGTCAAGGCCACCGCGACAATGATGATGAACGGAACGATATAAGCCACCCGCCATGCTTTATGCGGCGTTAGGCCCTGGACATGCACCAGTGAATCAAAGACAGCGGGCATCACGAAGCTGGGAAGCGTGAGTCAGACGTTATCAAAGACATGGGAGGTCAACATACAAGGTGATTCCACCGCCAGAATTTCCCCAGCCACCCGCAAGAGCATTCGCAGCGCCGACGATCTTCTTATCGAAGAATCCCGTGCACCAGACCTGACACGGGACGAAGGTGCCTCCGAGGATGCCCACGAAGAATCGCAGGGCAATCAGGCCCGAGGGCGTGGTGACCAACCCAGCCATGGCCGTGGGGATCGAACCGCAAAGCAGCAGTCCGATGAACACCAGGCGAGGCCCGAACCGGTCACAGAGCGGTCCTGCCACGAATCTCACGAGCAGACTAGGCCATTGTCAAACACGGGTCAATAGTATGGGAGCGCGGAGCGGGTGAGGGCTTACGTCGCGAGCAGGGCAACGATGTTCGAGTTTGCGACCTGTGTCTCTGTCATATGCAGGTCTTGACGAATCGTGTCGGTCAACTATATGCATCCTCGTATCAGTCTGGCTCCTGTCTCGGAGGATAGGAGATTACTTACCAATGGCGGGAAGGCATACCACGACAGAAAGGCAACCATGAACCCCAGCCACGAGAAGAAAAAGACCCGGCCATACTTGTCAAACGGGTTGAGGATCGGGATTGACTGAGCCTTGCGATTACTGGGGTTGATCTCCGGAGAGACAAAGAGAAGTTTGACGTAATCCATCGCCAGGGGAGTTCGATTGATGGTATACACCGCAACACGACAGACAAGAAAATAAGGTACAGGAGCTTTAGGTATGCACAGAGCCGGGTATCAAAACAAGAACACCTCCAGGGCGGAAAAAAATATGAACAGACCAATGGACGACTGGGTCCGGGCGGCGGTGCAATGGGTCTTGGGGAGTCTGGTATAGGACAAGGCAGAAGAGTTAGGGCCGAGCTAGACGGAAACGTCGTTCATATATAGACCAGTGCTTCGGATAGAGACCCAGGGAGTGGGAGGGCGATGACAGGCGTTGCAAACCTTCCGGGACCCCCGTGTGGGCAAGGTAATCAAGGGCATCAATCTATCTCCTAGGAGAGAGCGTCAGTCATTTGCCAACGCGCTGCTGCGTGTGGCTGCGATAAAACACGACCAGGAAGGCATGTCTCTTTGGAATTCGTAATGTCCAAGCACCACGACCAGAGCAACAGTCGCAACCACCAAGATAAACAGGACGGACCAAGGAAGGCCGACGAACTCAATCTGGAAGCAATGGTAGTGGATCCGCCGGGTTGTCGCTTTGAGCGTGGCTGTGGATACTCGGTCGCACAGTAGTCACGAAATCACTAGCCATGCGCCATTGCGCCAGGCCTCGAGATGACCTCAGGGTTCATGCCATGGGGATCCAGGCCCGTTTCACTGCCCCCCATCGGGAGACGCGGGCCAACGAGATGATCTCCTACCATCCTTATGATGTAGAGATAAGCCAGGGTCTCTGCACGGCAATTAGGCTCGTGATTGGCATGGGCCTGGGACTGATAGCGATAAGGTCTGAGAATCTGGAGAAGTAACTCCGCGGGCGTCTGGAGAAGCCATGACTGTGTCAGAGACCACTAGATAGTAGATAGATAGATAGGGAGAGAAAGCTTCAAGCTATCGGAGGATCCGCCAAGAACCATGGATTGGCAGGCCTCAGGAAGCGACGGACTAGTCCCGAACGGACGCCCGTCACTGACAGGCCCCCAAAAGGGCCAAAATCCACTCACTCACTGGCAGGGTGGGCCATTGTCACCGCAAGTCATCCTTCCTCAAACCAACCGCTTCGGGGGGAGGCTAGGAAAATTTTTCTGCGATGCTTGCCATTGCTTGACTCCCCAGTCCGGTTAGTTGCAGGCTAGTTTCTATTCCCACCTGGCTGGGTTACTACTGCCAAAGGCCGTCAGATGGGGCAGCGTGAAATTAATAACGGGGAGCACTACGTATCCCTAAACGGAGCCTCTCGTCCTAGTTGCCTTTCGCCTCTTCAACAGTCGACTAGTTGTCTCGACCAGGTTTCGAACTGCTCCAGAGCTCCATCATTCTTCACCCAGGAGCCACATTGGAAGGAAAAGGGGGTGCAGATCTGCATAGTCTTTGGGATCGAGCTGTGATCCCTCCCGATATAGGGGGGAGGTGGTCACTCGCCGCATCCGATTTCGTATCAGGACGGGAAATAATACGGAATACCTAGGCTGGCCGATAAGGAGAACCAAAGAATGGGCACAAAAGTAACAACCAAATTGCCACCGAAAACTGAACTCCCAGCGAGACCCAGCACGGGCCACCCGGCTTCATGGGCTGATCCGCGATAGCCCACTGCCAGCCAATAGGCGACCGTTCATTAGAGCGACCGGGAGCAACGTGACGTCCGCTGCCCTAGGCCATGCAAGGCACGTCAGGCAAACGCGATTCGCCTACGAACGGCTGCCCCAGGCCCCCAACGTTCAGGCTGACGGCTTATGAGCGATATATGGCCCCGAACCCGTTCTAATATCGGTTGTAGCGTCGGATATGATATGGCACCATGTTAATATACAGGCATGTTTCTAGTGGTGTCGTCCGGGGGCTCCCCGGGCACTAACTCGCGGGCCTAATACAGACCGACAGTGGGACCTGTAACGGAAGGGAAACGTGCGGTGGAAGAGGTTCGAATAGATTACATTGGCCTCTGGAGAAGCACAGGCTATCACACTCTAAGGAAACGTGGGCTTAACGCTCATAAATCATCATCGTCGCCGAACTACCAGTCAATCACCTTGGCCGGCCCAGCCGTGCCACTCCCCGGGACCTTGCCCACCTTCTTCCCTCGCATGCCCCGATACTTCTTATCATGCTTCTTGAAGGGATCCGGCGCCTCTCCCTTCTTCACCTTCCACTTCTCCGTCCCCAGAACGGAGTCCAGCTCCTCGACCGGAGGCAGCTTCATGTAGACCCACCCGTCCGAGCGTTCCTCCACCGGGAACGTCGCAATGTTCATCTCCTCGTCGTTCGAGCACCGACCGGCCTGCTCGCCGTTGAGTTCGAAATTGCGCTTGTGGTAGGGACAAGACACCCAGTAGTTACCCGCGTCGTCGTCCCCGATCAACCCGTCCGACAGGACGAAGGCTCGCTTGTGAGGGCACATCTGTTGGGTTGCGTAGTACTTGCCCTTGACCTTGAAGATGGCCAGTTGCGTGTCCCCCCGCTTGACATTGGCGGACGACATTTGCGGGGAGCCCTCGGAGAAGTAGTCAGCCTTGATGATAGGCTGCCACGAGAGACTGGACCACTGGTGACCCTTGAAGTCCTCCTTGGCGGGCTCGTTAGGCCAGTAGGTCGGTCGCTGCTGATCCCGCTCTTTGATCACCTCCACGGTGTCGACGGTCTCATCCGTGTTGGCAAATTGCTGGAAGTACTTGCGCCGTTTCGGATTGCGGACCGTTTCCGTCCACTCGCAGAAATAGCTGTCCACCAAGTCCTGCATCTGCTGCTCCATCTCCGCGCCGATGCCCAGTTTGTCATCCACGACTACCTCTCGGAGATATTCAATGCCACCCGGGAGATTCTCAATCCAGCGAGCGGTTCGCTGGAGTTTATCCGCTGTGCGAATGTAGAAGATGAGATACCGATCGATGAGAGGGATGACCTTCTCGGGCGGCACATCTTTCGCGAGGATCTCGGAATGCCGAGGTTTAGCGCCTCCGTTGCCTCCAACGAAGATGTTGAAGCCCTTGTCGGTGGAGATAAGACCAAAGCTGAAAACGATTAGCTGAAGGACTGAGACCTGCATCAGAGAGACTCACTCTTTGTTCTGCGCTTCGGCACATTCTCGCACACAGCCCGAGACAGCTCCTTTCAGCTTGTGAGGGGATCGGATACTCTTGTAGCGCTCCTCGAGCCGAACGGCCATGCCAACACTGTCGCCAATACCGAAACGGCACCAGGTCGTACCCACGCAGCTCTGAGGAGGGTCAGTTTGATTCCCCAACGATACAACCAGGGGAGGGACAATAGAAGTACCTTGATAGTTCGAAGCGACTTGGCGTAAGCGTGGCCACTCTCCATACCAGCATCGACCAGTTCCGTCCAGATGTCAAGAAGATCCTGCTTCTTGGCTCCAAACAAGTCGATCCGCTGACCACCAGTTATCTTGCAGTAAAGGCCATATTTCTTGGCAACCTGCCCAATCGTGATCAACCTGTCCGCCGTGATCTCGCCACCGGGCACGCGAGGAACAACCGAGAATGTCCCGTTCCGCTGGATGTTGGCCAGGAACTTGTCGTTCGTTTCTTGTAGTTCATGGAGGTCCTTGTCCATGATGTGCCGGTTGAAGAGACTGGAGAGAATCGAGGCGATCGCAGGCTTACACAGCTCGCAGCCAAGCGAATCGGGATTCTTCCCAACCGTCTTCATGACATCCTCAAATGTTTTGAGTTGCTTGATGGCAACAATATTGTAGAGGTCGACCCGAGAGTGAGGAATATGAATACATACTGCATCCACATTAGAGGAGACCAGGAACCATGATTGATGGGGACCTACAGTTGTTTGATACTTCTTGACCCATGTCCAGCAGGGTCTTGTTGAAGATGGACTGCACGAGAGGCATACAGCCGCCACAGCCGGTTCCGGCCTTGGTGCAAGACTTGACCTCCGCAATGGTTTTGCAAGTGCCATTTTGGATGTTCGAAACCAGGTCACCCTTGGTGACATTGTGGCATGCGCATATCTGAGTGCTGTCATCCCTGTTGATTGTCAGTCATTAGCCAGCTCGTTCATTCAGGTAACAATATTCAGTAACCTACAGATCATCGGCATTTTCCTCCCCATCGCCTTGAGCCCCCAAAATGAATTGGCTGGGAGGGACATCCAACTCCTTCTGGGCCTTCACCATCTGATTCAACTTCAGGTAGTCTTTGGTGTCCCCGATCATCATACCACCGAGGAGGTATTTCCCATCCATGGTGAAGAGATACTTCTTGTAGACACCACCAAAGGGGTCCTTGTAAGTGAGCGCCTTGACAGGCGGCTCCTTATCATCGGCATCATTTGCTTGGTCAGACGGCATGGACGGCCGCTGCCCAGGAAGAAACTTGGGACCGTCCCTGTCGGCGAAGAAGTCACCAAAGCTCGCCACGTCGACTCCCAGTAGCTTGAGCTTGGTACTCAAGTCGGGGCGTTTGAAGCCGCGGGGCTCCTTGTCGGGGTTGGTGAGGTTGTATGCAAGCACATCGGCCATCTCGATACCAGGAGCAATGATGCCAAAAGTCTGGCTCTCCCAGCTCGCACATTCACCTACTGCGTAGATGTCTTTGACTGAAGTTTGGAGACTAACAATACATTAGAATGCGATCGAAAGAAAATCAAGGCAGGGGCTCACCTTTCATCGATAACAAACCCTCCCCTTCCACCACATTGGATTCCCGCGGACTGGCCCAGCTCATCTCTTGGTCTCACTCCGATCTGTTCTCCGAGTCAGCATACCAGTACCAGCAGACAAGGGACATGGGAGCATACGGCAAAGCAGATGCAAGAGCAGGCGATTTGTTCACCATCCTCAAAGACGATTCCAGTGACGTTGTTATCATCATCGGTGTTGATACGTGCCACCCGCTTCTCATGCAGCACATCCAAGCCCAGCTCCCTGATCTTGCGGGTCACCAGAGTGCCAGCATCCGCATCGAGCTGTCTAGCTAACACCCACTTGTTGCGATCAATGAGTTTCACATTGCCAAAGTCTTGAAGATCTGTCATCGCCTTGGCGGCTTCTAGACCTAACAGGCCTCCACCAACGGTAACTCCCGTCTCGCCTTTATGTTCGGACGCAAACTCTATCAGCTTCTCCAAATCCGAGATCGTCCGGTAGACGAAGATGCCCTTGGCATCGTGCCCCGGGGTGTGAGTGGGAAGCACGGCATCCGAACCCGTTGCCAGGACCAGGATGTCGTACGGGATGATATCATCGGTGGAGGTTTTGACCGTCTTGCGGTCCGGGAAGATATCGGTGACTCGGGTGTTGAGATGATAATCGAAGGACCGATCTTTGATCGAGCCGTACTAAAAGACGCCCCGGCATCGGCATTAGCATCATCGCCATTGCCGCCATTCCGATTGGTTCAGAACACCAGGGTGATTACTCACCCATTCCTTTGGGTTTAGATATAGATCTTCAATCTTGCGATGCTCGAAAAACGACGACAGGCCAACTCGGTTGTAGGCAATATGGGGCTCCTCGCCAATCACGACAATATCATATTTCCGTCGCTCGGAATCCTGCTTGACTAGCTTTTCACTGTAGACAACGAGGCGGAGTCAGCATCTCAACGTCCAGGTATCCAGGACGTAGGTTGACTGCCGAAACCTACATGAACGATATAGCCACCATGCCTAAACCCACCACAACGATCTTCTGGCGTCTATTCGTGGTGGATCGTGGTAGAGAGTCGACGGCCGCGGGGGGGAGGGTGACAACATTGGGGATGCTGTCAGCAACGACGGCATCCCCGTTTCCGGACCCATCCAACAGAGGCATCGTACCGGAAGATGGGACTCAGAAAACCTGCATTGGCAGGAAGGAGCAGGCAGGAAATCCGCTCGGTTTTGTTTGTGCCACAGGGGAACCCGAGCGGCTCCCGGTTGCGAGGGCTGGACATATGACAGTCGTCGTCGCGTCCCGCCAAGAGAAACCCGAGAATCACCCGAGGCCACAGCAGATAGACACATGGTTCTGTTTCTCCGTGGCATCTAGAAGGAAGGGTTGACTTCATGCCGTGAGGTAATCGATTGGGGCCCATGCTGGATCGTAGTGTGTAATCAGGGACCTCGAGACCCGCCGCGCCGATCGTTGGTGCCACCGTTCGTGGAAGGGCACCGGAGCCAGGAAGTGCGGATAAGAAACGTCCATGCGAAGGGGTTCATCGGCACTTGGTGACTGGGCGCTGCGATGCCTCCGCGGAGATGCAGTGGAGGATGCGCGACGAAACGGAACTCAGATAGGCTGTTGCTTATCGCGACCCCCATCGGGCCCTGATAAGCTCCTGATTGGCCGCTGTCGGAAGTATACGTCCCAGCGAACCCGGGGGGAGCTGCAAGGCTCCTTGCAGCAACTGCGTCGCCCTCATGAGGGAGAATGAAGTCGTCAGACTATCCGGAGTAGATGGATGGAGTAGCAGCAGACGAAATCCGGAGAAGTAGATAGTCGATTGCCGATAGGACCGTCGTTTTTCCTGTCCCCCCCTCCCGGCCCCCACTGCGGCAAAAAGCTCAGCAGTCGTCAATACCTTTGTAAATGTAATACCGCCGCAATCAATGGGCGGTGGATCCCCGGTGGATCTGGCGCTATCTTTGGGCTTTTTTATTTTATTTTATTTTATTTTTTTCCATTTTATTTTCTCTCATTACCTGTACGAGCTACACTAGTCTCGACACTATGGAGGCTTCTTTTCCTCTGCCTCTACTCTTAGCTGACGACCGTTTTGGGATTATGATTTTATTTTCCCTCGTTTTTCTCCTCGGGACGTCCAAGTTTCACGCAGTTTCCACTCGCCGCCGGTTAGAATGTTCCCGGCTCTCCCGACACGAAACCAACCCGGCCATCTTATTATTCCCATTACATATCGATCTCGTCTGTTTTGTGGTCCCATTGCACTGGGGCCCGCGGAAATCGCCCCGGCCGAATGTTGGCGGTGGCTTGGTGCTCAAACCCAGAGAGATCCTAAACACACTTGCTTTCTCCGTGGACTCACCAGACCCCGGGTGCCTGCTGTCACGCCGTTGGACTAATCCAAATGCCGGCAATCTCCTGGACCCAGCTGCGAGCCTGTTTTTGAGCGATTAATTTTCCGTGACCGTCCCTGGTGTTCTCCCGATGGGTGTTCTGCCTGTCCGTTCAGCCTTCTGGATTTCTTGCATCTGATCGAGCTAGACTCGTCTCCATACTCGATCTATCTCATGTATCTTGTCCTTCCAGACCTTCAAAGCACACAAGCAGACCATGGCCACTGTCACTGAGGTGCTGACGAAGCCTATCACCGCGAAAGGCGTCCCGATCAAGTCGGGTCAGATCAAGGTCCACCACGATGAGCTGCCCGTGGTTGGATTGTCCGATATTCCTCTGCCGCCTCCCTCCAAACAGCCCACCGAGGTGCTCAGCATAGACAAACCCACCCCGGATCACCATGTTCCTCGCGATCCGCGTCTCATCAGATTGACGGGTGTCCACCCGTTCAATGTCGAGCCTCCCCTCACGGATCTGTACAACGAAGGTATCTTGATTTGCTCCCCTATTGTTCTGCTCTTTGTCATGCTCGATCATAGTCTTTGCACCTGCTCGGAGATCTGTAGAGAGTGATACTTACCAGCCACTAGGGTTCTTGACGTCACCGGAACTTTTCTATGTCAGAAACCATGGTCCCGTTCCATTCGTGAAGGACGAGGACATCCCTAATTGGGAGATTAGTATCGAAGGGTCAGAAAGTCCGTACACATCAGTGTCTGTATCGGCAGCTGACAGTTATATACAGCCTGGTGGAGAAGCCGCTTGTCCTGAACTTCAGGGAGATACTGCAGCGATATGATCAGATCACGGCACCAATAACACTCGTTTGTGCAGGAAACAGACGTAAGGAGCAGAATGTGGTCAGGAAAACCAAAGGTTTCTCGTGGGGTTCAGCTGGTCTGTCGACGGCCCTTTGGACTGGCCCAATGATGGCAGATATCCTGCGGAGTGCGAAGCCCCTCCGGAGAGCCAAGTACGTCTGCATGGAGGGAGCGGATAAGCTAGTACGTTGTAATCCGTGCTCACAAAGACCACCCACTGACGCGTTGCCTTAGCCAAACGGGTATTACGGGACATCAGTCAAACTGAACTGGGCCATGGATCCCAATAGGGGAATCATGCTGGCCCATAAGATGAATGGCGAGGATCTCCGTCCAGATCACGGTCGTCCATTGAGAGTTGTTGTACCCGGCCAAATCGGTGGCCGAAGTGTCAAGTGGTTGAAGAAGCTCATTCTGACTGATGCACCCAGTGATAACTGGTACCACATTTACGACAACCGTGTATTGCCGTGAGTCTGTCGGGTCCAATCCGACGCATGTGTTGTCTAACCCTGCTTAGGACTATGGTTTCACCCGAAATGTCATCCAGTGATCCAAACTGGTGGCGCGACGACCGATATGCCATTTACGACCTTAACGTAAACTCTTCGGTAGTATACCCCAGGCACAAGGAGGTGCTAGATCTTTCGTCGGCAGGCCCGTCGTATAACGTGAGGGGATATGCGTACGCAGGAGGCGGGCGAAGGATTACGCGAGTCGAGATATCCTTGGATAAAGGCAAAAGTACGACCTTCATTCCACGTGCTCTTTGAAGCAGTGCTAATGTGTTACCAGCCTGGCGATTGGCCAACATCTCATATGCCGAGGATAAATACCGTGATTTCGAAGGTAACCTGTTCGGGGGTAAAGTGGATATGTCCTGGCGTGAGACTTGTTTCTGTTGGTGCTTCTGGTCGCTGGATCTCGCTGTTTCCGAGCTGGAGCAGACAGACGCCTTCCTTGTCAGGGCTATGGATGAGGCGTTGAGCCTTCAACCGCGCGATATGTACTGGTCGGTTCTGGGGATGATGAACAATCCTTGGTTCCGGGTCACCATCACGAAAGAAAACGGAACGCTCAAGTTCGAACACCCAACTGATCCCACTGGACCCGGCGGGTGGATGGAACGCGTCAAGAAGGCGGGCGGTGATCTGACCAACGGCAACTGGGGAGACCAGCACGCAGGCGAAAAGCCGGCAGAGCCCGAGCCCGAGAAAGAGATCAATATGAAGAAAGATGGCGTGAACCGGGTGATTGATCTCCAAGAGTTCAAGAAGAATTCAAGTGACACGAAGCCCTGGTTCCTCGTCAATGGCGAAGTATATGATGGCACTGCCTTCCTGGAGGGTCATCCAGGAGGAGCCCAGAGTATCATTTCCTCGGCGGGGACCGATGTTTCAGAGGAATTCCTGGCAATCCGTATGTCTCACAGACCTTCAAGAAGGAAACACAGTAGCACTGACACTGTCACAGATAGCGAAACGGCTAAAGCTATGATGCCCGATTACCACATTGGAACGATGGACAAGGCATCTCTGGAGGCGCTCAAGAATGACAACGTCTCTCAGTCGGATGGACCACGGGCAACATTTCTCCAGTCCAAATCATGGGCCAAGGCAACGCTCGTAAAGAGAAAGGACGTGTCTTGGGACACACGCATCTTCACTTTCCAACTCGAACACGACAAGCAAACCCTGGGTCTACCGATCGGCCAGCATCTCATGATTAAAGTCGCCGACCCGACCAGCAAAGAAGCCATCATCCGCTCGTATACCCCCATCTCCGACACCAATCAGGAAGGAACGATGGATCTGCTGGTCAAGATATACTTTGACACGCCCACAGTAAAGGGTGGCAAGATGACCATGGCCTTGGAGAAGCTTGCCTTGGGCTCGGTAGTCGACTGCAAGGGTCCCACGGGCAGGTTTGAATACCTTGGGAACGGCAAGATTCTGGTGAGCGGGAAAGAGCGTCATGTTCGCTCTTTCAAGATGATCTGTGGAGGTACTGGTATCACGCCGGTATTCCAAGTCCTACGTGCTGTTATGCAGGACAAGCAAGATCCTACAGCATGCATCGTCTTCGATGGAAATCGACTGGAGGAAGATATCCTGTGTCGCTCCGAATTGGACGCTTATGAAGCGTTAGACAGCAAGAAGTGCAAGGTGATTCACACCTTGACCAAGGCTCCGGACAGTTGGACCGGCCGTCGTGGACGTATATCCGAAGACTTATTGAAGGAATACGCGATTCCCGATGGCGAGAGCATGGTGCTTGTCTGTGGTCCAGAGGCCATGGAAAAATCTGCCCGCAAGATTCTACTGGAGCAGGGATGGGCGGAGTCTGATCTTCATTTCTTTTAGTTGTGGCTTTTCGGGAAATAGCGTCGTTGGTCAGTATAGAAGGACGGGATCCCTAGACTGTATATAGGTATGATAATGTCACAAGATATACGAACTGTGATGTCAATGGACGAAAGAACATGTGTTCTCCAATGCATAGAGTGCCGAATGATCGCATTCGCATCTGCGCGTGGACATACGCAGGTTGTATGTATGTGCTGCAGACCGGAGACTGCCATGCCAGAAACATGTGCCAGTGTTCATTCACATCAATCCAACTTGCTGGACAGATAAGCAATCAATTGCGCTCTACGAGGAAAAGCAATGGTGGTCTGAAGGGTCTTATATCATAGTTCGCATTGGATATATTCAGTAGTACCTCTTCATCTCCAACCGGGCCAGAAGATGGTCGAAAACAGTTGTAGGCGCTGCTCGGGGGTTGAATGCCATACCCGACCTGTCTAAGGACGTTGAAGCGGACTTAACACCTTCTATGCCGCGTAAGTAGCCAACGAAAGCCGAAACTTGTTTTCGGAATAGGCTGTATAACCGACGAGCGGTGGCCTCAGTCTCGTGGCGCACACCCTCGACTCCATCCAGATGAGACAGTGGAGCAAAAGTGAGAATCGTCCCATAGATATCGTCAAGGAGTTTAGCGACTTCGTTATGCTTTTTGCTCTGAAAAAGTGCATAAAGCATCTGGTCTAGGACATCCTCATGGTAATCCCGTAGTCTAGGAACCGAATGAGCTGCTTCTATCGTGCCATCGATGTCACCATGATCTAGGCAAGATTCAATCTTGGAAAGGGCCTCCTGGAATCGTCGCCATGTCGATCCAATTCCGACGTGAAAGCAATAGTCGCTTATGGCGAGTACGAAATGCTGAGAGTCAACCCGAAATCTCTGCAGCACATTCCGCGTATCACCAGACTGGGAACCCCTCACCGTTGAGTCTCGAATGAGTCTCTTGACGACCGATACCATGCGCAGCAGTCGGAGCAAATGCTTGAAAAGACGGTCATATTTGTTAAGGCAACGCTGCGTCAGAATGGTCTCTAGAACAGCAGAAGGTTTGTATTGTAGCCGAAGGAAATCAAGCGCCTCGATAGCATTCGGGTCCTTGCATTTCCCGATCTCTTCGTCCGTAAGGTCTCGAATAGAGAAACTTAGGCCACCAGGTAGCTCTTTCTCATTGCGTCGGTCAGCATGGGTCGGAATGTCCAGGTGATCATCCGCATCGTGGCATTCGTTAAGCAGCCCTATAAGCACGAGCCGCAATTCAGAGCTTGCTGGAGGCCATGTATCTCGACTTCCCAGACGCAAGCCAGCGTGAACGTCGCTTCGTACCACGCCGACTTTCCGTTCACCACTCTCCATGTCAGGATCAAAGAGGGAATTAGAAAGACGGGACGTGAAAAAGCCATCACCAAGGAGCTGAAACCGCCATTGTAAAGTAAGGTGAGATCGGAGCTGATGCTCTTTGAACAGAAGATGGAGACAGGAGAAATCGATCAGGAGCGCCTGAGAGGAGAGGAGGGGCGCCAAGGATAGATAAAAGGACGATGTCAGGTCTGGGCCGAAGTCGCGTTGAGCTGCGGATAGCTCAAGATTCTGGGATCCGTCAAGCAGATGCCCGAGCTTATCCTTCTCGGAAGTTCTGTCTTTGTGTAACAACCCCGTGGCATTAGGCACATGGTCGAGATCAAAGAGTTCATAAGTGCCTGTGAGCACTTCGCGATCCTCAGCATTACCAGAACCCTCGGTAGAGGGGGTTGCCTCTACCCCCCTGCAGTAATCGCCACGGTTATACCTCAGTATCTCAGAGCGAAGTTTGGCTTCATACTCAGAAGCCTTCTTCTGTATTCTCTCGATATCGAACCACGTACTTGCACATTCAAATTTAGGCGTATGAGCATCGCGCATTTCGTGGTTAGCAATGGGATGCTGTGGGTGGTTCCTTTTGAGAAGCCGGAGACTTCGTCCACTTTCAAAAATCAAGGATGCTAAATCTGTGGGAATGAAAGGGGGCATCTGGTCAGGCAAATATCTATAGTCGACCTTCGGCGTCTTTGAAAGCGCCCTTTTATTCTCTGCCTGGCTCTCCACGACCACAAAGCTCCTGCCACTCGAAGCCAGCTCAATCGATGTCGATGTCTCCGGGCGAAGGCCAACCCAGGTTTCCACAAGCGTGAGCCAAGGTTCAGTCACTCGATTCACAATTTCGCGTAAAAGAGCCTCCATGTGGTCGAAAGTTTGCGAAAAGTGAGCGGCTCGTTCAGAAACAACCGAAACTATCTGGGCCTCAGAAACTGCCCCATCAAGGGCACTGACCATATTCGCGAGAACGCTCACTACCTTTCCACATTCGTGGAATAGTGCCCTGATCTGAAGCAACGAGGCGATACTTCCGAATTGCCCAACAAGCTGCTTCTCGAGCGTATGGACAACTACAGCAGCAGCACCAGAAAAGGCGGAGAGAGCGGAGGGTTCGTTCGACTTGATAGGCACCTTGCCAACGAAAAGACGTATTCTCTGTATGTCTGTTCCGCAGTGAAGCAGCTCCTCGATTATCCCATTTAGTGAAGTTGAGGTAATTCCTGAAATCCGAATATCATTGTGCACGCGTTCGAACTGCCTCTTCTGTTCATTGTAACGGAAGAACATGGAGTTCCAACCCAACCCAAGCTTGAGCAAAGCCTGGAAGAGAACATCTTTCTGGACCATAAATCTTTGGGTCTGGGTTCCCCACTTTGCAGCTTGCTTCGCCAATGCTGCGTCGAAGCCTTTCGCGCCCGACTCGCTGAAGTATGCGGGGACGGGCTCGCGGGATGACTGGTCATGGTATCTCTCCCAAGATTTCAGCAAGTCTTCACGATCCTGCTTGATTTCCAAAGCCCCAAGGGCCCATATATCCTCTGCTTCCTCCTGTTGGATACTGTGTTGATCTAAGGTTGCATTGAATTGACTTTCACTCGACGTATCAGTCGTCGATCCCAGCGTCTGATCTGGGTCGAATAGGTCGGGTCCGAAGGTACTAAGGCCGGGGAGTTCGGTCGCATATTTATCGAATATATTCAAGGGGCTCTTGAAAATACCGCCAGAAAGATCTTATGAGAAGAGTTTGTTAGCCCCGGACCGATAACTAATGACGTCTCAGTGTATAATTAGCACGCACCAGGCAACTCCTCGTCCCACGGCAAGGGCTCCAACGGCTGCAGGGACTGCAAGGTGAACTTGGAAACCCTCCACAAACCATGGCTGGAGAACGGGTCTGTGATAGAATCCTCCTGGTCCATTGTCCTTATGGCGACACAGCCCTCCAAGGCCTCGTGGAGCAACTCGCTATCGGCTGGCGACGCGTTGGCAGCGCGAAATCACGCCTCACTAAGCCTCAAACCGGCTAGCGTTTCCCCCATCCAGCGCCCGGACCACCGCTTGTTCGGGAAACCGAAGCGGGAGGAATTCGCCGCGGTTCAACCGCGAAGGACGAGAGCTTCTCTCATTCCATCCCATCAGTACCCGAACCCTGAGTCTCTGAGCACCGATCATTATGCCTCCACGAAAGAAGGCCAAGCTCACCCCGCAAACCGAGCCCTCCGCAAGCACTGCCGGTCACTCGAACACAGATTACGACCCGGTTACGGATCCTTGGACCGATGAGCAGGAGACCGCGTTATTGAAGGGGATCATAAAATGGAAGCCGGTCGGTACGTGGGAAGCTTCGCCCTGGTGGGTTCCAAGCTGGGCACTTCACTAACCAGGATGCCGTGCCCTCAAAGGCATGCACAAGCACTTCCGGATGCTCGCGATCTCGGAGTTCATGAAGAGCCAAGGCTATGCGCCCGCACATGCAGAACATACACGAATACCTGGGATCTGGAAGAAGCTCGGGACGCTGTATAATCTGCCGGCTCTTGACGAACGGGTAGGTGATGATCGAGATTCGTTCCCCAGAACCCTTGACCTTTACTAATGCGCCATCTCCGAACCAGGAAGACTCGTTAATAACAGACACGCCCGACGACATTGATGCCTCAAGAGAATTCTACTGTCCATTCGAACTGCCCGCGGATGAATATGGTGAATTGATGTTCGAACGGCGACTGGCAATGGAAGGATCCGCATCTCCCGACCCCAGCGCCCATGCTGAATCCAGAAGAGGAAGCACTGTGGCTGACACAGACGGTGCGTATATGGGTAACATCTGTAGCACCAAGTGCTCGAGGAAATACATACTAACCGCAATCCACCGGATGCAGAACCCCGCTCTTCTCCCGCACCCTCACGAGGAAGAAAACCCGGTCGCGGCGGCCGTCCCGCGGGACGAGGCACACGCTCTTCGCGTCTCCACGTCGAAGTCGAACCACCATCGAAGAGATTTGCGGTCGTTGATGATGAGGGGGATTCTGGTGAGGAAACGGGCCCGAATGAAGAAGGCGACGAGGAAGCTTCAGACGCTGCAAAAGATGACAGTGAGGTCGATGAGGAGGCGGAGGGGGGCTCGCCGACGACGCGAAGCACTCGAGCACAGACATCGAGAACGAAGCAAAAGGAGCGGAGAGGTACAGGTACAGGAACTCGAAGGGGCCGGCGGCGCCAGCCTTGAAAGACATGTGCCTTTATCTGTTATTTGTTGGTTCTCTGTAACACGTGGACAATGATACCTTGGAGCAAAGAGCAGGCGTTTTGGGTTACTTTTGGTGCAATGATTACTATTTATAATTCGTTGGTCTGCTAGATGATAGGGAGCACCGCGTATCCATCACTACCAAGTATTACTGTGACGCATTATATCATGCTTCACTGGCTGGGCTACAAGATACAATTCTCCCACAACCACCGCTGGAAGTCGGAAGAAAAGTGAACACCAAGACACAAAGTAAAACGGAGATAGCATCTAGATACATAAGAGCACATACAGTAGGTCACTACATATTTGGTCTAGTCATTCACAGGCTAAAAAGGAAACAATATAGGGGAATAGTACAGCGTGTTCCAATCCCTTACAGACGCTTCATGATGGCCTCGGCATACTCGTGGGTCTTGGCGTTACCACCCAGGTCACCAGTGAGGGCCTAGAATTGCAGAAGTTAGCACCGGGTATCAAACAAAATATGTCACACGGTGAACGCTTACCTTTCCTTCGGCGAGGGTGTCGAAAGTAGCCTTCTGGATACGGGCAGCGTGCTCATTCAGACCCATGTGCTGAAGCATCATGATACTGCTCAGAAGCAGAGCAGTGGGGTTGGCAAGACCCTTGCCAGCAATGTCGGGAGCGGAACCGTGGACGGCCTCGAAGATGGAGCACTCGTCACCGATGTTACCGGAGGGGGTCAGACCGAGACCACCGATCAGACCGGCGCACATGTCGGACAGAATGTCACCGTACAGGTTAGGCATGACAAGAACCTTGTCGTTGTAGGGGGTGGGGTCGGTAACGATCTTCAGGCAAGAGTTGTCGAGAAGCTCGGCGTCGAACTCAATGTCGGGGAACTCCTTAGCGATGTCGCGGGCAAGGTTGAGGAAGAGACCGTCAGACATCTTCATGATGGTGGCCTTGTGCACGACGCGGACCTTCTTCTTGTTGATCGAGCGGGCGTACTGGAAGGCGAAGCGAAGCACTCTCTCGGAAGCCTCCTTGGTGATAAGCTTGATGCTCTGGACGACACCGTCGACGACAACGTGCTCAATACCGGAGTATTCACCCTCGGTGTTCTCGCGGATCAAGACAGTGTCGACATTGTCGTAGGGGGTCTTGTAACCGGCAACGGACCGGCAGGGACGAACGTTGGCGAAAAGGTTGAAGGTACGGCGGAGGGTGAGGTTAAGAGAGACGTGGCCCTTGCCAACGGGGGTCTATGGAGGAGAGCTGTTAGACGAGATTTCGTCGCGTCGCAGTCAAGAAAGGAATGACATACAGCGAGAGGACCCTTGAGCGCGACGTAGTTCTTCTGCACGCTCTTGATGGCCTCGTCGGGGATGGCGGTCTTGCCGTCCTTCAGGATGGGAGTAACATCGACGGGCTCCCACTTGACAGGGGCCTGCACACACAGACTTTAGCATCCAAAGTAAAAAATCCATGCGCACTCTAGGCGACCGGGGAAAGCGGAAGGCGTACGTTGGCGGCAGCGAAGATATCCTTCACCGACTGGGCGATCTCGGGACCGATACCGTCACCCTCGATCAAGGTCACAGTGTATTTTCCCTGCAAAAAACAGACATCGTCAACAACACCGTCTCATTATCTTGAATCGTTCGGAAAGATCGTTGGATATAGGCCGTCGTCGCAGGTAGCGGCGGAAGGTACCGGACCAAAGGAAAGGTGAAGTAAAAAAATGTTTCAGGCGTTGCCGGGGACGCGACATACATCAGAACCCTTCTGGCCCTTGAACTTGGCGACACGCTCATCGGCAGCGACGGAGTAAGAGCGAAGCTATATGTTAAGTCAGACCCAGACACGTTTACGATGATGTCGTGCCGAGAAGAGATCGGTGGTTACCTGCGAGAAAGGCGAGGCAATGCGAGGGGACACACGTGTTGTCCGCAAGCATTGGCGGGCGGGAGCGACAAAGTTTCTGGCGGCAATCATTGTGACAAAGTCCCCGAGATCAACGTCGGATGGTCAGGGTGGGAGAAGAGAAGGAATTGGGGGGAAGAAGGGAAGAGAGGAGAGAGGAGGATAGTTGAGGAGAGAGAGAGAGGAGAGGAAAAGGCGGCGGCGGGTTGCTTGTGCGGGAACAAAGGTCACGGCGAAGAGAAGGCAGTCAGGCTTTAATCCATCCACTGAATCTCGGCACCGCCGCACCCGGTCCGACCGGCTTTGGCTCACGCTCTTGGGTTGTTCGGCCGTGTTTGGGCGAACCGTCAGTCCACCGGGCCCATTCATGTCCCCGTCCTTGATCAGATAACTAGCTCTCCCACGTCCCATGCCTGGCTGTGCCTGTGCCTGTGCCCATCCTTTCTAGTTTCTATAGTCGGACACTCTAAATCCTCCCTCCCCCTCCCCTCCCCCCCACACTTGCAGCTGCGCGTTCCCTGCATGTGGCCTCCCTGATCCCTCCTCCACCCTCCCCCCGTGGTTGATCGCCCACCTCCCATCAATCACCTAAGCAAAGCCCCGTTATCGCCCTTTCTTCCGAAATGGCTGACGTCGACGTGGCCAGTTACTATAACTTGCCATCCGCTTTTCCCGAAGAATGGCCTGCAGAGCTGGACGAAAGCGACCATTCAGAAGATGAGGTCCTGGAACGTCGTGGCTCGCGCTCGGAGAAATCCCGATACTTTGCTCTTGAGCGCAGCAATAGCACCAGGAAGGGGGTCACCTTAGGGTCATTCAAAGGGAACAATGGCCGGGAGAACCTCGTCAAGATGGATGAGCCAGATCCTCTGGGGACCGGGGACAGCGTGCTCAAGATCCTCAAAACGCGAGGCTTGTCTTTGGATGAAGAGAGTCGTTTGCGAAATCGCTTCTTGCTCTCATCCACGTCCTTCTCCCCGGCGCTCTTCCTCTCCCAAGTGCACTCCGATGCATCAATACGGTCCCTCCTCGACGGCCTCAACATCCTCTCGCAATCCATTGATCAGAAGTCGGCCTCGTTGAAAGTCCTCGTTGAAGCGAACTTCGAGCGTTTTGTACGCGCCAAAGCGACGATCGATAGCGTCTATACCGAAATGCGGAATCAAGGCAAGAAGGAGGAGTATTTGAGCCCTCAAGTCAACCGCCGGTCGGTTGGCCACTTTCGGAACCTCTCTGGAAGCAAGCACAGCATATCTACCTCTGCCATTGCCGATGCTGGACCTGGTAAGAACGCTTTAACGAAGGAGAGTGAATACGGAATGAAAGGGATCCGCGTCCCTCTGTTAGAGGCGTCTGTCAAAGCAGAGGAGCTGTGGGGGCCGGCATTGGGTGGACGCGAGAGAGAACAGGTGTTGAAGTCAGTAGTCGACACCATGGAGAAACACCGAGATATCTATGAGATAGGCGGTCTTCTTTCCAAGTCGATCAAACAGAGGGACTTCGACTCGGTATTCGAGCAGTACGGAAAAGCGAGAGCCCTTTCGAAGACTGCTAGGGACATTGCGGACACGGCAACAAACCAGCGTCGGCCATTGACAGATGAGGAAGCGCATGTCATTCTGGCCATGGGTAGGATGTGGATGGATGTTGATTCGCAGATTCAAACCTTCAAACGGGATCTGTGGAGGCGTCTCAGCGATGCACCCACCACATCGACGACAGTTACTGCTACTGGTCCAGTTGAGGAGCACATGGAACTGATCGGTGCGCTCTTGGAAATCGGGGTGGAGGACAATCCTATCTGGGTCTGGCTTCTCAGTCGCTACGACTTCCTCAAGAAGAAGATCACCGCTTTCTGTGAGCGTTGCAAGGTCGAGATAGAAATCTTGAGGCGTCGACTGGCTAGCGGTGAGAAACCGACGCCTCAGACAGTGGCCTCGTATCTGAGGCTGGCACCACGCGACGGCTCCCTAGACACTCAGACCATGCGAGATACCGATCAAGTCATCGAGCTTTGGGAATGTATCAATACCTACTTGAGCAGGCTTCTGTCATCTCAAGGGGGTCTGCTTGGCGAGGTCTTCGACTTCTGGGAAGTAGCACAATCCTTCATCGACGGCAGCAGGCAAAAGCTTCTCCCGGCTGGGTTCGAGGGAGAAAGCCGTAAACACCATCGACTCTCTTCCAGTAACGCGAGAGACCTGCAGAAAGGTGCTATCGAGCTGGTCAATTCAATCCGCGAAAGCGTTCTTTCTTTATTCGCCGATCCCCCTGTGGACGATGTGTCCCTTCTGACATCACCCATATCAACAGCAAGCCCCAGTAGCCCTGGAAGTCGGGGCGTGACTCCGACAGAGTCCCGGTTCAAGCTTGACCCCAAGAATATGCCATTCCCCACTCCCAAACGGGGAGAGCATTGGGAAGATTATGCCTTCTGGCCACCCTTTTCCAATTCACTCAGCGGCGTGCACTATCTTAGTCAATGTCTCGTACTCATCGGCACGGCGGCTAGTGAGATGGCCGCACTGGAGCCTGTGCTGAATAGTCCCAACACCCATGATCTCCTCAAGTCTCTGGTGAGTGTGGCACGCGAGCGCTCGGTCCGTGTCGCATGCGCAGCTTGGGGTAAGGACGCGGAGATCTGCAAAATGCTAGAAGACTGGACGCGTGATCCCGAACAGAGAGATCTGACAAAGATGCCTGGTCTGTTTGTCGCCTTCGAGAACGCGATTATCGGCGGGATGCAGAAGATCCTCTATATTTCCGAGGCCATGGCAAGGTCAGGTTCTGTGGATGTTGTGACACAACCCCCTGCCAAACTGCTGCAGATGGTGCGCACGCAGTTCGTGTCGAGTGTTTACAAGGCTCTCAGTGGTCTGGTCGAAAATGCAGAACACCCCACGTCTTCGGAAGATGCGGACGAATGGATTGCAGCTGGGTCGAGGGCGACACGAAGCCAGTTTGATACGTCTCCGTCTCTTCTTATTGCCGATGCGGTTGACGCTCGGAATAGGGTAAGCTTTTGTCGTTCTCCAGGGGCGACGTGTTGTTTCACCAGCTAATGGGATCTATAGAACGTGCGCATCCTCCTCACCTTGTCGAACATCAAGGCCTTCCAGGCCGATCTCGTGCCACAGCTGGTGGCCAACTTTGAGAATTCGTTCTCCGTCCGATTGACTGAAGAAGCCAAGACCGTCCGCGATGTACTCAACCAGATCGATGATCGTTTGTTTCAGTCATACACGAAGCCAACCATCAGCGCGCTGAACTCAACGATCTCCAACGCCATCGCTGCCCCCGAATGGGAACCGACCACGGCGCGCCCCGACCAAGTCCGTCCATACGTCTACACTACGATGTTGGACCTTGTGCTGGTGCATACGGAGATCACCACCACCATTCCCTCCACCCTGTCGACCACTGTGACTCGCTCACCCTCAACGGCTCAGTCCCCGTTACTCTCGGTCGTCCTCACCTACCTGCTGACCCAGGTCTCAACATCGCTCCTGGCCGCCTTCAGTTCTCGGCCGTCGTACACTCTTGTGGCCCTCATGCAGGCCACTCTGGACACCGAATTCATCGCCCAGACCATGTCGCAATTCTCTACGGACGAAGCGTCTGCCATCCAAAGCCAGATCTATGTTGAGCTAGACCGGCGAACCACCCACGAGGCACGGGCACGCCTCCAGTCCGAACTGGGCGAGATGAGGGGCATCCTGAAGCGGTTGAGGGAAAGGACCAAAGGAGAATTTGCGTGCTTCCGAAAGCCGCGGAGCGGCGCCGGGCACAAACCATCCGCCTAGCTTAGTTTTGAGAAAACCCAACCTACATCCTCACGGAATATAATTCATTTGGACCAGTAACCTCTTGATCTGCGCAAAATCAAACGTAGCCATTGCTTAGCGGGTATCATATTCAGAACTTTTACTCCCTTCTACTGCCTGCCCCTCCAACCATCCGTTTAGGCCTGTCCAACCATGCGTTCCACGCGACTCAACAGCACCTTGCTTTCCCTTCCCAGTCTCCTCTTGCCGTGCTGATCCGGCCGTCTAGCCCGCGCCATGGCCTCGCGATCCTTCTGCCGGAACTCGCGCGCCTCCCTCCGCTTCTCAGCCTCCTGTCGGCGCTTCTCCGCAATCTCCATCTCCTTACTGAAGGCCGAGGGCTTCGGTTTCCGCACCCGACGGCCCCTGGCATCTCGCCTGTCGCCGCGCTGTGGCCTAGGAGCCGGCTCCGGCTCCGGGGCCGGCTGGTCTAGCATAGCCTGTCGGTCCGGGTGAAGTTCCAACGACGCCGGTTCGGGCTCTGGGGTTCTGTCCTCTTTCTCCGCATCGTCACCGTCCTCGGCCGTGTATCTCGGGTTCGATGGGGCGGCGGCAAGCTCTGCGGCTCGGACTTTGGCGTACGCTTTTCTGACTTTGGCTTTTTGGATCAAGTCGGACTTGATCTTCTGGGCTATAGGTTTGAAATTTCATTAGCACGTGGATCTAGTGAATTTCGACAATCACGGGGAGCCGGTGGGGGCACAACGAACCTTTACGACGGTAGGTACCATCGGGTAGGTTTGCAGGCCCGACGGAGAAGCCCTTTCTCTTCTTCACGGGGGCATCGGTGGTGGTCCGCTTCTCTTCGGAGGTGGTCTCGTCGCGGGAACGCTTGGGAGCCATGGTGGATCGGAGGTCGATGGACAAATGGCGCGGGATTGATGCAGGTTGGGACTGTAAGGAGCGGTGTATTGGGCAACAATCGTATTTTTTAAATCGACGTGGCAGGGTGAGGTGTGTTGGGGTGGTGGTCTTGTACTCCGGCGAGTGGTCGCAACGGGGCCGCAGAGGGGAAAAAAAAAAAAAGATTCGGCGGCAGAAGTGATGGAGCGGGTGATGGCTCTTGCAGGGACTTGCAGAACTGCCCGGGTTCAACTGCGTTGTCTCGACTGGTAGTGGCGGGATCTTGAGACTGGACGAATAATGCAGTGGAGTTATGATTGTCAGTACTATTGTAAGGATTACTCCCGTATGATTCTATGGAATGGGGCAACTGTCGGGCCTGGGCAAGAAATCAAATAATAATGATCGAATCGCAAGCGTCACCTCCTCCGCACGGGTTCCAATCCCCTCTCCCTCCTCCTCCTCCTCCTCTTCCTCTTCCTCTTTCTTTCGCCGTCTCGTCTTCTCCTTGTCTTTCTAGTCAATTTTTGTGCCCGGTGGATCCGAGAGCCCTTGTCGTTCCGAAAGCCGCCCTGGTCCGGTTCATATCGCTCCCTGCCTCATTCTTCCAGGTGCTGCACTGTTGTTGCTATCTGCCGATCCAACCCAACGCAACCCGTGGCCGTCAAGTCGTACTCCACCGTGACTCCTCCGCCACTTCGGCCCTGCGGACCGCTGCAACCTCTTTAATCCCCTCCCTCGTTACATTTACCTTAAGTCTCTCTGCTTTTTTCTCCCAAGGTTGCGATGTTGGTCCTTTCCCCTCGCCATTCTGCCCATCCCATCTATCGGTGACCATGCCTATCTTCCAGGACCCGGATGATCGCCAGCGGCTCCCTGACCTGTGGTCGGATGATCACCAGCCAAAGCATGATGGACAACGACAGACCATTTCCCCCTGGAAACATACCCCTCCGGAGCCCCTGGCGGGCTATCCCCTTGACAGATGTGAAACCGTTTCATACGAGGGTCCCTTATCGGACTCCAGCCGGGCGCATGCAAACCATCGGGACGAACTGATCCAGTATATCAAAGGCGCCGATGCGCTCAGATGGGCACCTCGTTGTTCGGTATGTCTTACCGCTTCTTCAAGCGCTGTCTTGTCTCGTTTTCTTTGATTTGCCCCCGCGATGGCAGAAGTTCTCTTAGCAGTCATCTCCGGGACATTGGCTGACCCCAGCCATGTAGTTGGGAGACACTCAGGTCCAGGTCCCGCAGGCATCCGATAAACCCTCCACCAAGATGAAGAATAACTTACCGGAGCACTCTGGTCTTAGCGACCAGTCTAGCTCAAATGACCAGCAGCTAGCATCACCAGCCGACATTGAACGCCCTCGCTCGGCATTGCATTCGGGGGACTTCAGAGAAGGAACTTGTCAGGGTCCGAGCCAACAGCAACCACCCCCATCCCCATTGCCGGGTCGCACCGTCAATGCACCCTATTCTCTTCTAAGCTCCTCTCCGACGACTCCCTGGTTCAGCACCCCCGTCTTCTCGTCCTCGTTGCGCGGCCAAACCTCGTCAGTCCAGAATGCGACTCCGATCGCCCGCGCCCGGGCACCCTCTTTCGGCTCGTTCTCGTCGAGCTACATCCTGAAAGCCCCGACAAGCCCGCTTGTCCATCAGGCGAATAACACGGACTTGGACTTCTCTCCCCGACCGGAGTTCGTCAACCGTTCCGACCCCATCGAGAAAGCCAGCCGCCGCCGTACCCTCCCTCCGGAAACCTTCCAGAACTTGCAGGCCTCTCCTACCGGTCATGTGGAGGGGATATATTTCTCGTCTGATGCTTCACCAACAAAGTGGGATAAAACGACATCTTGTCACTTTCGCCCTCCTCGACGGTCTTTGACCTCGGCATACAGCCTTCAACTCGCATCGTCGGCTCAAACGCCGGTTGCGAGGATCAGAAGACCCTCGATTAGCTCGGAGATATCTTCCAAAGCACATGCGCCAATGGTTGGCTCATATGAGGAGTCGATCCTCCGCGGAAGAATGTCAATGAATCCATCCAAACCGCTAGATTTCACTGCTCAAATCGGCGTTCTAGGTAAAGGCAAATGTAAAGCCAACCTCAAGTGTCCACCACATGTCACGGTCCCATTTCCCGCGGTTTTCTACAGTTACCCCACTTCAGGGAGTGGACGCTCAATTTCGGATGATAGCCCTAGTCCTTATGTTGGCCTGATCGACCTGGATAATCACCTGCCGAAGGACACGTCCAGCAGCAGTAGCCGCCGTCGCAGGCGCCACCAAAGCCCTGCGGGAATGATTAGTGAGCAGGCCATGGGAAACTCTCCAGATCCTTGGTCCAATGACCAGGAGGCTTTGCGCAGGCGGGAGAAGAAGCACAGGAGAGCAGAATCGCCTAGGTGTCCGCCAGGCGGTTGTTATCGAATACCTCAACATGGCCAGTTACAGATCATGATCAAGAATCCCAACAAGACAGCTGTCAAGTTGTTCCTGGTGCCTTATGATCTCACTGATATGGAACCCGGGACGAAAACGTTCATTCGACAGAGAAGCTACTCGGCTGGTCCCATCATCGACATGCCGCTGAGCGCTCGAAGCAATTATGGGACCGATCGCCCCGAAGCATCTTTGAACACTTCCGGGGATCCCAAAGACAAGCCTACTTTACGGTATTTGATTCATTTAAACATCTGCTGCCCTTCCCGGGGCCGATTTTATCTTCACTCTAGCATCCGGGTTGTATTTGCCAACCGAGTCCTCGACGGTAAGGAAAAGCTGCGCAATGAAATCCAATACCCTGATCCCCGTTACACGCCTTACAAACCTTACCGGGACTCCAGTCATACGCACTCCGCTGCAAGATCCTCGACAGACAAAGCACCATTCAACACCCCATCAGAATCCATGGCCTCGGAAGACCTCTCCTACTCGGAGAGTTCCTCCACATATCCTCAGGAAAGGTCGGGCCCAAGTCACACATTCGCGAGACAGGATGCCGTTCCCCTGGGTCACACCAACTGTTTCAATCCAACTGAACGCCCCTCGCATCCTTTTCAGCCGATCCCGTCGCTGAATCCTAGTCCGCGACTGGACACGGCTCTGACTGAACAGTATAATGCAGAGCGTGGGCTTTATGATAAACTCAGTAAGGGTGACACCGGCTATGGTGGCTATCCGTTTGCCTTTACCAGTAGCCCTGAAGCTGGGGACAGCCTCCTTGCCAGAAAGCTGAGGGGATTGGATGTGCAAAAGCATGAATCCCGGTCTCAATAAGCCCGAATAATGACACCAGTGCAATCCCCTACCGCTTTTGCCCCATCGTGATGGTAACCTTAAGTTTCGGCTTCTGCTTCTTTTCTCTTCTCTTCTCTTTTCTTCTTTTACTTCCTCTAAATACGCAGTTTCTCCACCCTTCGCCAGGACGAGATATCGGAGCAGGACAATCCAATACTTTGCTCAACTAACCACATAGCACAGCACCTTCACGCCCCGATGCAGGCTCATCCCTTTTTAATCTCTTTCCTGTTGTTCGCAAAGCTAAATACGCTCAGCAAGGCGCACAGGACCACACTACTGGACTAGCGATAATACCCAGCCCTCTGTTCCATTCAACTCTTCTTTACGTACCTTCCTTCCATAGCTCGACATGCTCGTACCAAATCTCCACTTTCTCCCCAAGCTCTTACCGTTGAGACCCTTCAGATTTTCGAATCCCAGTTCAGCAAGAGGGGGACAGGGGGGTGTTCAGTGGTACATTTTCTTGACCCTTTCAATGATTTGGTGTCTGCGGTCTGGCAATGAATGGGCCGATTTGTTGGCCCGCTCATCGCCCCCCAGCTGAGGCTTTGTGGTGCAGTGGCGTTGTTGCCGGCATGCTCTGTCACTTCTGATGCCTGTCGCGTATCCCCCTGATCGAAGTTACGGGCTGCCATAAGCACCCATATTTGACACACATTAGTCAGTCACATGCTGCTGTAGATTTGACATTAATTAATTGACCTGAATTTGATGTCTTGGACGTTCTGTTTACCGTGTATGAGGTCAAGAAGAAAAACCCCCTGATACCTTGTAAAATAAGCAGGAATCCACCCATGATTATCGATCCAAGTCAGCGCTTCATTCTCCATATATCCAACGCCAACTACCAAAACACGGGAAGGAGAGCGTATAGAATGGCAATAGAAAATTGGCTCTATCTACATGGAAGAAGATATAAAACACAGCAGAGAAGAAAGTTTGTGGGCTAGATGGTTTCCAAATTGCCGTGTAACTAAACATCGCCGCCATTGTGAGGGGGACTGAGGTATCCAAAGGGGGTGTGCTTTTCCCAGGCTGTTAGATGGTTTAGCCTGCGTGCTCGACGATCTCGTTGACGAGGACACCGTTCTTCACGTAGGTCTTGATTTGTTCAGGGATGGGACACTCCTTGGTATCTTCGTCTGTGCCTTCCTTGGGAGGAAGCATGATGTTCACTGCGGTGCACTTGCTGGAGAAGACCTCGGTGGCCAGGCTTTGCTGGCCGAGGTAGACGGTGGCGCCGTCGACTTGGTCGAGCAAGAGGGTGGGAACCACGCCGTCTATTTGCAGGGCAAACTTGGGCGACTTGATGACGTCGAGGCTGCTGACCAGGGAATCGACGATGATGGAGAGGCCGGTGCAGTTGTCGATGGAGATGGCGTTGGCCTTGTTGTTCACCTTGATGATGGTCTTGTTGCATCGCGAGATGAGGATCGAGTGGTTCTGCTGAGCGGTGATCTCCACGATCTCACCGGGGTTATCGAAGTTCTCGATGAACCACTTGTTGCCTTCCAGCTCCTTGCGAGGCGGCTTACGCACGCGCATGCTCTCCGGTTTGGGCTTCTTGTTCGGGGCAGGAGACTTGCCCCGGATGGCACTGCCTTGTGAGGTGGGGCTATCCGGGACTACAGAGCTGGCGCGAAGGCTGGGGTTCTTGTGCGTCATCTCTGATCTGTCGACCTTCCGGAGGCCCGAGGTGACGGATTCACCTTGGTTCAGCTGGTCAAAGACAGCTGACATATCCGGTGCAGCTGGAGCTGCTGCAGGAGCAACACCAGGCGGTGGCGGAGGAGGGGGAGGAACTCCGCCAGGGACATTCAGAGTAGGCACCGGGGGCGGAGGCGGGGGTGGGGGTGCCATGCTGCTGGAGGGAGGGTTAGAACTGCCCCCCTTGACCTGTCTGAGGGCTTCTTGTGCGTCGATTCCATCCGTGTTGTTCCATGTCAAACCTCTGGGGTAGTGCTTCTTGAGATACGCAGCAAGGGACTTGTAGATTTGGTAGTATGCCTGGATGTATTGGACGTGGGCACGGTCCCTGTGAGCATGTTAGTCTCCATTGGACAGTGGTGTAGGCTGTCGGCACGCACTTCTCCTTGTAATCCTTCAGGACCTTGTTGCCGTAGTATTCAACGCCGCCGGCCATCTCAGTGACGAAATCGGCAGGCTTGTCCGCGAAGAACCAGCCAAGAGCAACAATACCTTCTGCAACGGCGCTGAAGTGGTTGAAGAGAGGGGACGCTCTGTTCGACTCGCGGATGTTGTTGATGCTGTCCGAAGCATTGTGGAGCTCCGTCATGAGCTCCGGGGGCTGCTGCTCAGGCTTCCTAGCTTTGGTTGACACGAGTAGGTAGGTGCGCTCGGCTTCGAAGGCTTGGAGAACCAATTTCGACTGCGGAAATGATAAGCGAAGGACTTAGATGGGATGCGCTTCGTTCCCTACCTGTTCTCCAACCAAACCATCGATCTTGGCACCCAACTCCACGAAGTTCCGGACATCCTCGTTGATCAGGGTGTTGAAGTCCTGGATCTGCGGCGGGACGGGAGCTGCTGCGGGAGCTGCTGGAGGGGCTGGCTTGGGAGATTCGGGAGCTGCACTTTCGGGCACAGCAGCGGGGGCTATGGTCTTGGGCGAATTGGGGTCATCCAGTGACATGGCCATATCCTCCAGGCGGGAGGTTGCGGCTTCCAACCTGTTGGCATTGGACCTGGTTAGCCACAGATGCAATAGAAAGACTTGTGGACTTGATGCATGGACAGGTGGGCATAGCGACCCCGGGAGTCTCCAACCCCAGCCAGCCCAGAACTTACCGCTTAATGAGAGTTGTCAGATTGTGCATGTGGCTTCCTGTCGCCATCTTGACGGCCCCTGTTGGAAGTAAGGAGGGAACTATCAAAGACACTCGGGGACGGTGAGGACAGAGGACGAGAGTGAACGGTAAAGTCTATCAGACACCGCGATTGAGGGGCAGAAGAGCGATCAGCCACAACCTTCTGGCAAGGGAGTGAGATGGTGAGAAGCGCAAGGCAGCCGTTGCAAACGGGGTCGGATGTTGCGAGACCAGCAATGCTCCTGACCCGGCCGGGCCTGAGGCCAGGAGCTCCTGATAGTGGGTCTTACCGTACCTTACGCCAGGGTGGCCGCTATCCGGCGGCCCATTATGACGTTGTCAGTATCAGGCGGTAATCCGATAAGGCGCCGAGTCGACGGCTTCTTCCCTCGACCCCGCCAGGATGAGATCTCGCCAGGCAGTCCCTATTGAAGGCAATTGATCGCTTCTCCGGAACCATGGTCGAAGAACATGGCGCTTCGGAGCAGCTTGGAGGCAGTGTGGAATTCTGCACAATGGGCATGTTCATCCTTGGTACGCCATGACCTGCCCATGCACATTCAACCTCGCAATATATACTTACCGGGCTGTTCCCTTTGATATAGACGATATAGATTTCGACGGGACGAGGCCCAATGTAAAAAATGTGCTTGGAGGTGCAGCGTCTTTTGCCGTCGTTGGCGCTCGTCTGGTGGCGGGACAGGCGCATTCGCAGGCTGTGAGCTGGATTGTCGATGTTGGCTCCGACTTCCCTCCGGAGGTTCTCAGCGTTATTAAGTTGTGGAGTACCAGCTGCGTAATAAGAGAAGACCCGAGCCGATTGACCACCAGAGCCTGGAATGGGTACGGCGCAAACGAAAAACGGGGTCAGGATCCTTCCCTGCTTTTTACCTATTGGAGTGGCATCCTAATAACATGACGCAGACTTCAAGTACCTGACCCCAAAGCTGCGGTTGGAACCGGAAATGCTGTCTGAATCTCAGGTATTCTCAAAGACCTTCCACATGGTCTGCTCCTCTTCGCGTTGCATCTCAATTGTGCAGACTGTCTTGCGCCGACGGGAGGAGCTACGACGAACAGGTAAAGCTCCCCCTTTCGAGCACGCTACGAGAAGACCCATCTTTGTTTGGGAGCCCGTCCCGGATCTATGTACGCCCGAAGAGCAGGAGAGATTTCTCGCTGCAAACCGAGTAGTAGATGTGGTGAGCCCCAACGAACTGGAACTTGGGATGATGTTCGGCCAGCCTGGTTGGAGCGAAGAGGCCAACTATGGAAAGGACATCGTCAGGAAGATCCTTGAATCAGGCATCGGGCCTGATGGGAACGGGCATTTGGTTATCCGCGCGGGCAAAGACGGCAGCTACTCTTACTCTAGAACACAGAGAATCTGGCTGCCCGCTTATCATCAGCCCAGCCCTTCAGGGGCGTCGGCGGTGGTCGACCCCACTGGTGCAGGCAATTCTTTCCTGGGGGCTCTAACACAAGGCATGACCAGTGCAGGAAGGGAACCGGCCAATCTTGTCGAGTCGGTGCTCGCAGATTCTACGGCATGGCAGCAAGCAGTTAAGACTGATGCACGGTATAACCATGTCTTGACGGCCTTGATTTTCGCTACTGTTGCGGCGAGTTTCGTGGTGGAGCAGATCGGAGTGCCTCGCATGTCTACAGATAGCGATGGGAGGGAGCTCTGGAACGAAACTGAGTTCACGGAACGGGTCCGTCTGTACACACAGCGCCTGTATCGAACATTGGAAGAGTCTCCCCAGAAGCACTTTCAGATCAACTGACCGTTTGAAGAACGCCCTTCTATTGTCGTACAGCCCACAATCTTATGAAACAAAAACCTGTCATGCCATAGAAAACCACCACAGTTGTCCATTTTCCCCGGACTACCTCTGCATTCCGTTGCCGATCTATGACTCGTTCTTAGCGGCCTGCTGCCTCTCGTGTTCAATAATCTGCCGGCTCCAGCTAGATAGAAGCAATAGAAAGTCAATACCCGCTGCTTAGAAACACACGCCACGAGATTGGCTGAGGGAGACTGACTTGCGACTGGGGAAGAATCTGCCCGGCTCGGGCATCTTGTCGCGATGCTCACGGTCAGCGCTGATGCTCCAGGTCACGGCGGCGATTCCAATGACTGCAGCACCAATGATGGCAGTGTTGACCCTCCAGTTCGCGGGCTGAGCGTACCAGCCACCCGCGGGAGACCAGACTTCCTTGGGATACCTGCGGAAGAATTTCAATCAGCTCCAGCCGCACTGGCAGCACCGGGGGGTAAGAACGGTCGCATACGGGATCTTGCCGCCTCCGCCCATGGTGATTGACGGTATATAGAATGTACGTAGGGGAAGGACGTAGACAATGGCTCGCTGGGAAGCGTCGTTATTCGGGGCGGGTTGGAAGCCGAAATGGCCGTCGTTCGTCCCTCGTCCAAGACCCCGTGACGCTATGTCCGTACAGGGTTTAGCGCCAGCTGGCCGAATCTCCCACGACTGCCAGACCCCGTGACTTCCGCCGAAGCTCGACTTTTCTCTACCGACCAAAAGTTCGTACCGGCTCAATTTGGATCCCCCCCAGTCTCGAACCCTCCACGCCACGTCCCGGGCGGTCTTTTGGATTGAATCGGTGATTCTCTGATTTACGGCCTCCTTTCCACACAGTTGCCCAGATGAAGAGGCTGCAGCTCCAACGATGGAGCAGTTCGGTCCTTTCGGCGCAGGCCCGGACTGGTGGCCGCCTGCAGCACCGTCTCTACAATGGCATCCGGCACCAATCGACCGCCTCCCCTGCTGCGCCGACTGCCAATGATCAATTGATCGAGGAAGAGCCGCTCGCATCACCCATCCACCCCCCTAACTCCCGACAATCCAAGTACCAGCTCCCTTCTCCTCCCGTCGAGGCCGCACGCGAGTCCGCCAAACTTGCTGCGCTTCATGCACGACTTTACCTCCCTTCACGATTACCTCTCGAGACCCTTGCTCGCTCTCTTGTGGATGCCTCGGCTGATCCCAACCCGAAATTTAACAATGATTCCTTGGCCACCCTCGGTCACGATCTGTTGACCCACTACACCACCGAATACCTCCTTTGCACGTATCCCCGACTCCCCTTGACCGTCATATTCGCGGCCATGTATGCGTACGTCGGGCCAAAGACATTGGAGGCAATGGCGAGAGAATGGGGTGTGGAATTCGCGGCTGCTCCTGGTGGAGAGGTTGACCCTGGCTACTTACAATTCAAGAGGATGCTCCCGGGAACCGAACCGAAGCCCGTCACCGGCACAGCAAGGCCCCACGAGGACCAAAAACACTGGCGGAAGTCCATCACTTCGAGTGTTGTTTACGATAACGAATTTGGAGACCCGGTCAAGGGGCCTAAGGATCCCTCGGAACAGTCCAGACAGGACACCCCGAACCTCAAGGGCGTTTCTGCCGAACAGGCCAGCGCCACCTTTGTGCGTGCTGTGATGGGTGCTATCTATCTGCACGCGGGTCGCCCTGCTGCCAAGCGTTTCTTCGAGCAGCATTTCCTCTCCCGTCATCTCAATATCTCCGACTTGTTCAATTTCTCCCAACCCGCTCGGGACCTCTCTCGCCTGTGTGCTCGTGAGAACTTCGAGCAACCCGTTGCCCGGATCATTAGTGAGACCGGTCGCAAGAGCAGACACCCCGTGTTTGTCGTTGGCATCTACTCTGGTCAGGATAAGTTGGGCGAGGGCGCTGGCGCCAGTCTGCTCGAGGCTCGTTCCAGGGCTGCTGTCGCTGCCCTCAAGGGATGGTACCTGTACAGTCCGCTGAACGTGCGGGTGCCTAGCTCGATGGAGGAGGAGGGCGCTGCGCCCTGGAAGCCAGTGCACGTGGACCTGGGTGAGGTGATTGTGTAGAGTGGGCATGAGATTTCGAACCGGCGTCACATTATCTGTTATAGATGTTGTCAATGAGGGATTGACAGCGATGCGACATTACATACTGCTACCCATCTATTCACCATTGCAAGGATTTGTACAATATGGGAAATCTATTTCATTCTTCTGATGTTTTCTATGTTCATGTTATCTGTTCTAAATTCTTTCTTCTTGCTTCCTTTTGCCGACATTCGAGACTGGCTAGAGATGGAATTGGGAATTCCGCTGTTGGCAGACTATACTTACTCTAGATCAAAGTACATAGAGCCATGTACTGCGGATTCAATCGATCTTACGCAAGAAGATCCTGCGTCCGTCTCCGCCGGGAGCCGTCTTCCCGACCCGGTAGGCATAGACGGACTGGCCAATGCCTACCCAAGTAAGTTAGTAGTAACGATGGGGTATTACTAGTAGTACCATCGAACCATAGTAGTGAGTGCTGCCGCCTCATGCAATCCGCTATGTACACAATCGATCCCATTGTACCGGGCCACTCTCAACCCAAACAATCATTCACGGTTAACAATTTCGTCCTCCCAGTCACCTTTACCTGCCTCGATAGGAGTATCCAAGTACCTACCATAATCTTCCCAGAGCTCCTGAACCCCGACACCAAACAGACCTTTCCAGAACCCTTCTTTCCCCGCACCGCCCCCTCCATCTTCACCGACATATCCAACCCGCAGCAACCGATCATTTAACAGCCCGACCGCACCTTTCCCCACCCGCACATCCTCCAGCCACGCCAGGAAGTAAGCCGTATGCTGATATCCCTGATCCCACTTCTCGGATCTCTCCTTGGCCGACGTAGGCCGCTTCCAATGCGGCGGTTCCAACCCCGCCTTAAGACGCACGAAATCCGCAATTCCCTCAATCAAGCCTCCGGGCGGCCGGGGGATCTCTTGGGCCTGTGGTGGCGCGGTATGCTGGTAGCAGTGCACGAGCTCATGGGTGAGGACACCAGTTATCTCGGCCACAGGGTCTAGGTAGCCGGTGCAGGTGCGAATGTAGGATAGGGAGAGGTGGATTTCCTTGTGGTCGTTGTCGAGCTCCGTGCCTGTAGTGTAGGCGACGCCGTCAATGTCGCGGAGGAGGACTGTCACGGAGCGGGTTGCGGGGACGTAGGGCGTGAAGGTCGACAGGGGCCTGGTAGGAGTGGGGTCTGTTCGTGGTGGGGTATATAGGTGCTCGATGATTGCTGTGAGGGCGGTTTCCAGTGTCGAGCTCACGTCGGGGATCAGATTTAGGAAGAATTTGGAGGCCGGGTGGCGGAGGTCGTTGATTTGGAGACGCAGTTTGGGTCGTGGGGCTTCCAGAGGCGTGGCATTCGGCTTGGACGTGGGTTTGGGGGATGGGAGGTGTCTGGGGAGCCCGGAAGGAGTGGCCTGGGTTATGGAAGTTGACATGATGGTGGGTGTGGGTTTCTGAGGAGGGAGGAGATATGGAGGGGATGGGTTAGTGGTATGGATGAGAGAATCTTAGAAGTAGTCAGTACCTAGTAGTACTTGTAGATGAGTACTACGCAGTGCCGTCATGCAATGTCGCTTGTTAGAAAGGTTGAATGGAAGGCTTGAAGCCGGGCGTTTAGCGGATATGCAACATACCGCGGGCGGGGAGTACTACTCGCCGCAGGGTCGCAAAGCTCACCAATCATGGACATCTCAGCCACTGGACACGTTCAATTGGAAGGTACGGAGGACTACTGGGAGATACATAGTAGTAGTAGTTAGTAGTACTCTAATAGGGGTACTAGCCTGGAGTAGTAATCGGCCTTTCTAGTCTCGGTCCTGACACGAGCCCCTCCGGCCGTCAGGTCTTTTTGCTCTGTTGCGTCGCGCTTGCGCGCCATGACACCGACACTGGTCCAAGTGTCTGCCGTACGAAAGATCCACCCCCGGCGCGGCGATCGAGTGGAGTAGTACGGAGTAGCTGCAGTCTAATTAAATCCACTGCAGTATGACTGGCCGCGTCAAAGTGTTTGGTAGATTAATACTAGGATTTGTTTACGGCTGGGGTTCTACATATAGATTTATATCGGTCATGTACGGAGTAGGTAAGTACGGAGTACTTCTCCGTTAAAATCTGCAGTGGGGTGGTCTAGCATCTGTTGTGGGTATTACTATTTGGAATAGAGGTTGTGGTGAGTAGTTATATATTTGAGAGTTAGTACCCGCAGGTACTCCGTAGAGGATCTAGTAAATAGTTTTTTTGAAGAATTGCACCCCAGCACCACCCAACCTTTCGAATTGTATCCTCTCACCTCCTTAATTGGACCTTTTACAAATCATTCAGAGCCTACCATCCCGATTCGAAATTTTGTAGAAACATGCATCTGGCTGGCACTAGGTAAGTTTCTCCTTGGGGTTCTTGGCTGTGGAGGTATCGATAAGCCGACATCCGAAAATCCAGTCTCCCCACGATCCACCTTACAGGACGCTCGCACCAGCGGCACCAGCGGACAGAACAAGGGGAGGGAAAAAGGGGGCGAGAGGGTTATGCGCAGCGCGGCGGAGACGGGAAAAGGGGGGTTTACAAAGTGACCACGGCTGTATCTAGATACTGATAGTGCTAGTACTCCGTATGGAGTATGTGTAAGCCGACAGACTGCAGAGTCCAGAACTCCAGTTCATCAACGCCTGTTACCTACCCCTTACTAATGTACTGCATACCTAGTATCTAAGTCTAGATAGTACCTAGTATTAGTTGGGCAGCTGCCACAACAACAATCGATTCGTGGCTGCAGACGAGGCCCCCCACTTGTTTACCTAAAACGGAGGGAATCATGGGTCCGGCGACGTTGCGGGTAAACAAAGCGAAAAAAAAAGGATTCAGGGACGGAGCCCGATCATCGCCCCCTCATTCGCGATCATCAACTACCTCCCTTCGGCTTCCAGTACACCATATCTCCATGCATTTCAACACCTGCCTTGGCGATTGCTCCCAGCCCTACATACCGATCCCCTCGCTGTCATTGTTTGACTGAACCAGGCCTGTGGAGTCGGCCCGATAAGCGAACAGGCGCGCCGATAAGCGCTGCGAACTTGTCCCGTCACTGGCGTCACCTTCCACCCTCGTCGCTTCCTCATCCTCCTCCTTCAGATCACATCTCAGATCCCAACAACCTCCGCCGTCTCCGTCATCGTCGGCATCGCGACTGCCCGAAATAGCAGGTATGTGCACCTTCCTCAATCGCCATCATGTTGGTTCTTCTTGTGAAGCCCACCGCGCCGCCGCGTCCTGCTCCTCTTCTTCCTTCACCCATCACCGTTTTCTTGCTCTGAATAGCTACGTTGCACTCAAGCTTCAATCTGTTCAGATAAAGAACTCTCTACTTCTCAAATCGGTTGTTCAACTGCTTTTCGCTTGCGTAAAACTTGACATTCCAAAAAAAAAAAACAAAACCAAACCCAAAAAAAAGCTCTCTGTTTTCAAACTTGTTGTTTAACTGCTTTTGTCTTGCATCGTTCCATTAAAAAGTAAATCACCAAAAAAAATTGTTAACAATGTCTGCTATCAGGTTCGAAGGCTCCATCGGGCACACCGAGCTTGCTCTATTTCTTACTTTGTATCTCTTTTTGAGTCCTTTCAAACTCTTACTATTCTTTGCTACCTTTACCTCCATCTATGCCCTGCTGACCGGACATACGGGGGCTCTCAAACCTCTTTTCGCAAAGATGGAACCGAAAGCCGCAGAGCTGGTGGCTATTCTGAAGAATACCAATCTGGCCATCGATGCTAAGGTTTCCTCCTTGAACGGTGTCAAGTCCGACATCAAACAGAAAAACGTCCCCGAGGACGCAGTGCCAGCTCTCTTTGAAGCGCTGCAGTTGTCCATCGGTTCTCAGCATACGCCACTTCTGTCTGCGGGCTTTTCTACACTGGGCCATTTCTTAAAGCGCCTTTTCATTCAGGATCAGCATGATTTGGTTGCTATGCAAGGTCGTCACCTCTATACCCTGCTTTTGGAGCGCCTTGGTGATCACAAGGAGCGGATTAGAGCTCAGGCGGCCCAAGCCTTCACTGATTTATGGCCTGCTGCTCGTCGTGACGTTGAACAATATGTGCTCGAAATGGCCTTGACAGGCAAGAATAATAGAGCAAAGGAAATGAGCATGATATGGTTGGCGAATGTGAGTCATCTTCCGCATCCGATTTTGATCGCACCTCACTGATGTCTGCTGCAGATGACGAAGAACCATGGCTTGCGCTTCCGTTCGTACGTTCCGAGCCTTGTCACATGCCTCGAGGATGCCGATAGTGCCGTTAGAGATACGGCCAAGGCGACAGTGGTTGAACTGTTTCAGTAAGCTTTGTCGTTCTCCTTTGCAGGTCTCTGCCGCTAACAAGAACTAGAAACGCACCCGCATATGCCAGGTCCGACCTCCGGAAGCAAATGAGCGAGCTTAACGTCAGAAAATCGATTGTCAGCACCATTCTGACCAGTATTGGCCTGGAGTCCGATGGATCAGAGCAGCCCTCGCGTCCCGCTTCACGCTCATGCGTGCCGGCTCCACCTTCGCGTCCGGCGTCTCGCCTGACAGGGCGTCCGGTGTCGCGCGCAGCCGGGCCTGCGGCGTTGCCGTCTAGACCCACCGAGAGTCGAATGAACGACCATGACAAAGTCGAATCAGTCATCGCTTCCTCCTCTCGAGCAATCGACGATGAAAAAGTCGAGCCAGTCATCGCTTCCTCCTCTCGAGAGATCGTGCGCTCAACCAAGCATGTGCCGTCACAGTCTAGACCGACCGAGATTCGAGTGAACGACGATGAAAAAGTCGAGCCAGTCATCGCTTCATCCTCTCGCGAAAACGCGCGCCCAACCAAGCATGTGCCGTCGCAGCCGAAACCGACCGAGATTCGAGTGAAGGACCATGGTAAAGTCGAGCCAGTCATCGCTTCATCCAATCGAGAAATCGACGATGAGAAGGTTGAACCACTCATCATTTCATCTGCTCGAGAGATCGACGACATCTTGCGTACAATGACTCCTTATTTTGAAGGACGTGAGACCGAAGACAACTGGAGTCACCGCGAAAAGAGTGTTCTCACCCTTCGTCGGCTCTTGCACGGCAACGCACCTCGTGATTACTCCGACCAGCTCCTGGCATCCATCAAGTCGATGCTCGATGGCATATTTAAGGCTGTTAATTCACTGCGAACCACTCTAGGGACAAATGGTTGCCTTTTGATTCAGGATCTCGCTATAAAGTGTGGTCCTAAAATCGATTTCATGATGGAAATCATCATGCAGAACTTGATCAAGCTGTGCGCCGGCATGAAGAAGATCACCGCGCAGAATGGCAATGCCACGGTCGAGATTATTCTTGCACATGTGTCGTATACACATCGCATTTTGCAACATATCGCTAGCGCCTCGCAGGACAAGAATGTTCAGTTGCGGCTATTTTCCGCTGGCTGGTTGAGAACCTTGCTCATGAAACAAGTCCTCCACAAGTCCTCCATTGAAAACAGCGGGGGCGTTGAGCTACTCGAAAAGAGCCTGAAGAAAGGACTATCTGATGCCAACCCTGGGGTCCGTGAAGCAATGCGGCGCACGTTTTGGACGTTCCATAGCATATGGCCCATCAAAGCCCAGACGTGAGTTCTCAACTCCGAGGATTACTAAAGACATTAAGAATGCCCGGCTAACAGAACACAGTATTATGTCTGATCTTGACTACAAATCACGCGCCTTGCTGGAGAAGGACCCAGGAAATCCAAATATCGGCACTGACGTCCCGTCGAAGAGCTCTACCGCACCGCATAAACCCCCTCGAAGCGTCGCTGCTCTCAAGGCGGCAATTGCCGAACATAAGAAAAAGTATCTTGCGCCGAAGCAAGCATTACCCCCGCAACCTGACTCGTCCTCTCGTGTCTCGTCTCTGTCTTCTGCCCCCATGAGGCCTGCTAATCGCGATCAAGCACCACGCTTGCCATCGCAACAATCCGAGACATCGAAGCTGAAAATGCTGGAATTGTCAGAGAACGAACTTGCTCATCGCGATAATACCGCCCGCCCTACTTCCCACGAACATGTCAACTTCTCTGCGCAGGAGGCATTGGAGTCTAAGGACCAAGCGACTTTTCGCGAGACTACACCGCAGCCTACGTCTCAAGAACAGGTTGAAACCCCTGTGCAGGAGGCACTGGAGTCCAACGACCAATCTACTTTTCGCAACATTACACGGCA